GAAAAAAAGTTTTTATTTGTGTATTATTATTTTAGAGATTTTAACTGCTATGTATTACTTAATAATGTAAATTTAATCTATGTATATTTAAAAACTTCTTTTAATAATTGCTAGATTTTGCTAAATACTTTAAAATTAATATCTTTTTAACTGTTTAATATAATCATAAAATTTTATATGTAGATTTTATTGAAACAGTTTACAAACACTTCTTAAATAGTCAAATTTATTTTTTTTTCATCTAACATTTACATACATACATCAAAGATGGGACGAGGACTTTTTTCTCACCCTCCCATCTCTGATATACATACATATTATGTAATAATATAGAGACAATCTACTTTGATTTTAGCCAGACTTTTAATTCATTATCCCACAAAATATATTTACTAATGGAATTGGCACTAAAAAGGAAATACATGTATATTTTATATTGCTAATATAAATAAAAATAAATAAAGAAATTATTTTTCGCAAATTACTAAATAGAAGATGCTACAATTAATCGGCTTTAAATTTTTTAAAAGTTCAATACTTTGTGACGGAAGTGATTATAATATGTTAATAAATTAAAGTATCAAAAAATTATTTAAGTGTTTCATTTTTAGAATAATATTATTTAAAATTAATAAAAGTTAATTTAAAGAATGTTCTCTACAAAATATCTTAGATTTCCTTTTCAAAAGCCTCGCCGAACACACGGAAAATATCTCTCGATATAAAAAAAATATTTGTTCTCTTTACTCAAAATATAGTTAACGATCTACAAATTTTAAAAGCTTTTCGATTTTTTAAATTAAAAAAATTTTAGAATGTCTAACTTTTGACATACATAATAAAAAATTAATTTATTTTATAAAACTCGTTAAATTTCTAAAAATCAACAAACTCATTAATATTCAAACAAAAATTCATTTTTATTTTCAAAAACACTAATTTTATTTCCCTCATTCATTAAAAAAAAAGTAAAAACAAAAGTACATTTAGTATATTTATTAAATATAAATTATTTTAATCCATTAATTTTCAGCATAATCCTCTTTATATTTTTTATTAAAAAGTACATAAAATTTTTTAAATTTTTGTCTGACTTCTGTCTGCTCCTTTCCTCCTCATTTAAATAAATTTATTCATCGCCCACATTTTTTATATTCACATCCTTTTAATAAGCATCTACTTATTATTTTAATTAAAATGAATAATTTGAATAAATTTAATAAAAAAATACTTTTAATTTTTGTTATTTTTATTATTTAAATTTTATTGTTAGGGGGGTACTAAATGGAAGGATTATTCTGACAAAAAATGGTTAAACAAGGAAATAAAATATAGGAGTGTGGGAAAAAATGCCTTGTTTTTTACAATCCTTGTGAGGATAAAAGGATGGATAGAGTTAATAGAAATTTTTCTCGTAATTAATTTATAAACCCCCCCCCTTAACATTTAAATACAATATATATACCGTATATCATTTAATAACTACCCTGGGTAACTTTTGTTTCGACCTTCCGTTGGAGGGAGTAATTAATCGAAGGAGGGTAATTATACGAGGTTTGAAATTTGAACGTGTTTTAGGGCATTTGTTGGGGGGGGGGGGTATCGCTGGATGGGGTAATTTATTGAAGTGGGGTAATTAATTGAGGGAAGGCAATTAATACAGGTTATACGGTATATGTTTTTATAAATTTTCTTTAAGATATCGCAATTTAATACTATTTTAAGTTCATTTAGGTAAAAATATTTTTATATTATTTACAGGTGAAATTGAACAAATAAAATTTTGTTGTGTAATAGATATTTAAAAAAGATAAAAATAGAAAATAAATTGCGAGATATTTTAAAAAATAAATGCACATAAACTCTCGTTTGTACCAAAATTATTGTAAAATCCATTAACACATTAAAAGTCATTTCAGACACTAAATATATAAATAATTATTAAAATATATTCCATCAGCTTTTTCCTTTTAGAAAGATAAAAGAATCTCTAAGTACGAACATTATACCGAGATTTTAATAAATATATTCCTTTGCTTTTAATTATTTTATTTCTATTATTATTTGCTATTGATGTTTTATTTTTCCATTTTTTTAATATTTACTAAATTAATATATTTCTTATTAATATACATCAGAGGTGGGTCGGAACAGTCAGAGGTGTCGGAAATCGGAAGAGCCGGAAATCGGAACTGGCTTAAAAGTCGGAACTCGGAAATCAAAAATTTTTTTTCGGAAATCGCTTGTCGGAAATCGGAATTCCGACCCACCTCTGATATACATATAAGTATTTACTTTAGACTTTAAGAAAATTTTCAAAAAATTATTTTATTTTAAATTAAGTCAGTTTTTTCATAAGTTTTTTCAAGTCAGTTCAACAACAATCACACAAAATATGACTAAGAAAAGTGTGTAAACTTTAGGTAGATATAAGTTTATCGTTAATTCATTTGTTCAACTTTTCACTTCCTCGCATTTCAACTAAATTTTCCCCACATTATAGTACATAAGCTTTCTTTTTTAATTTAATTTAAAAGAATTTTTACTTCTTTTTAAAAATTATCGATCAGGTAAATCAAAATTAATTTAATCATTTTTTCATAAATTGGGAGGAGGCGGGGTGACTTTAATAGATTTTTGTAATGACTTCATAAATAAAAAGTTCTTTAAAATAATTGAATTTTAAATAAAAATAAGGGAAAATGTGGGGGAGGTGGATGTCAAAACAACTTATTTTTATAGACAAATGTTCATTTACTATTTTTAAAAAAAGTACTTCTAGAGCTTACTTTAAGTAATGTAAACAAGTATATATAGAAATTAAATTATTCTATTTTTGCCAAAAATATATATTCTACATATATTTACCATTTTATTTTGCCATTCAAATTTTCTAAGTTTTTCAGAATTTTATATTTTTTTGTATTACCTCCTGTAGTCCTTCCTGAATCTTCGGAAAATCATGGTCCGTAATTAAAGTTTAAAATAATAACAACTGTCCGGCGACGCGACGGAGAGGGTCTTGAGAATAATTTTTGGGAGACAACGTCATTGTAGTAAATAATAAGTCGAAAATAAGCCTCAGAGGATTAAATTAGAGGTGTAAGTGTATTTGGATATATGAATCGAAAAATTTCGGGATATTCCAACCTTTTCGGACCCGGATATCCGGATTATCTGCATAATATTTGTTATAACTTTTAAAATTATTTCCTTTAATTCCACACAAATGTAATTGGCAGATTTGTAAATAATGTACTTATAATCCCTTTCAAAATTAATAAATATTATTTATTTTATCATTAAATTTTTTATTAAAAATTTACTTTTAAATATGTATAAACAAAAATTTATAAATATGTATACTATGTATTTCTAAAAATTTCTTTCTTCGTCCTCATATCTCTTCTTTAAAAACAAAAAAATATTAACTAAATTATGCATAAAAATTAAAAAAAGGAGGAAGGCATTTAAAAAGTGTTTATGCGTGAGATATTATTATTATTATAAAGAAAATTAAAATATAGTACATTTTTTGCTGTTTTTGCTTTAGGGGGAAGAAAGAAAGGGGAAAATTTTCTTTTACTTAAAGCTTATTATTATTTTAATTTTAACGTTTTGTTAAAATATTTAGATTAGCAATGCTCAACTTCACAGCCAATAATATATAAACTTTTAAAGCTTTTTGTTTGGCAAATTGATTATTCAATTTCTCCCACCCCCTTTTGTTAAAAATATTTTTTTAAAAATCCTCATCATTCATTTTTATTTTTTTTCTCCTCTCTTTTTTATTTTGTCTCAACAGCAGCGGCTTTTATCCTTTTTTAATTCTTTAATAATGAATAGCTGCAAATTTAAATGAATAAATAAAAGTTCATTTATTCCCTCAAGATTTAGTTAAAACATTATTTTTCTTCAATTAATAGAAAAGGGCATCCTTTAATTTAATATTTGAAAAATAAATTTAGAATAAATTTTTAACTATTATTTATATTATACGGAAGAAGTATTTAAAATTAAGACATTAAATTTTGAAATATAAAATTAGAATATAAATTATTTTATTTTTAGCTATCTGCCTAAAAACTAAATATAAATCATTTCTTTACTTTAACAATCTTACTAAATTCTCAAATTTTCTTTTTCAGAATTTTCTTTTAAAATTTAAACAGTTTACCTAAATGGAAACAACAACAATTCAAAATTTCCATTATAATTTATTAATTAACAATAATTCAACAAAATCCATAACTACAACCTCAAAAATAATAACAAATTGTTCAATGTTATTTTTGAAAGAATGGAGTCGTAGATTTGGGGAAATACAAAATAGTGTAAATTAAAAAGAATTATTAAATTTTATATTTTAATAAAAAAATTAGGTGGATATTATTATGTTTTGTTTATGTACTTTTGCTGTATTTTTAAATGTTTCTGTTATTCATAGTGCATTACGGCTTTTCCAAAAGAATTTTGACACAATACATGTTTACATTATTAGTATGACTATTGCTGATTTACTTATTGGTAATTAAAGAATTAAAAAAAATTTTTTTTTAATAAACTGAATCGAATATTAATAGGTAATTAAAAAACAAAACCCCGCTTGATTCCCGAAACTGAGATTTTTTTCTTATGCCAGCTAGATCCCTGGCAGAGGTGAGTCGGAACAGTCAGAGATGTCGGAAATCGGAAGAGCCGGAAATCGGAACTGGCTCAAAAGTCGGAACTTGGAAATCGGAAATCGGAATTCCGACCCACCTCTGATCCCCGGTATGTAATAGTTGGACCAGGGTGAGATTTCGATAAAAAAATCTTGGTTATCGGGACAGGTTATCGTACTGAGATTCTACCAATCATCAAAGCCACTGGGCTTGACATGCAAGAGAGATACCAAATTTATTTAATTAGGTAATTTATACTACTGCTAATTTCGAACCAGCCTAATAATCCTTTTTTTCTGACAGCCTCTTCAAAATCTTTAATTTTTAGTTTCGTGTATGATGTTAGAATCACTTGATCGTTTATTCCTCTTTCTAACACGTCTACCTTGTTCTGCTTTACATTTTATTGGATGGATGAGTTGGTCAGCATCTAGTTTATCTTTAGTGTTACTTAATAGTGATAAACTACTTTATTTTTGTTTTCCCTTACATTATCGAATAATTAAATCTGTTAGGAGAACAGTTAAACTTTGCCTTTTTGTTTGGATTTTATCTTGTTGGTTAGTTAGTCTTTAAATAATTAATTTGAAAATAAATTCTTTTTTCTTAAAGTTTTGTCAGTTATGTATGGCTTTCAAATATTTTAAATATTGGGCCTTCAAAATATTTTGTTAGATGCTCGGTTCTAAATTTTTAATAAATTTAAAGAATTTTTCTTTCATTTAAAGACAAGTTTAAATACTGGAAAATTACATATTTTTACTTTTTATACTCTTCTTGTTTGTGTTCTACCTATTTTCTCCTCATTAATTGTTAGCTGCCATCTGTTACGTTTGATGAGCCGTAAAAGAAGACACAGTCTTCGAACAACTTTACAAATTACAAGTTCTACTAGTAGTGAAGAACAAATAACATTAGCACCTGCTTTTACAAGAAAAGTAAAATTTTTCTCTTAGATTTTTATTTTAAACGACGAGGATGTTGCTTAAATTCTAGTATTAAATTAACCCATTTTTATTATAATATTTAAATTCGTTGTCCAGTTAAAAATAAATATTTAATTAAAAAATAATTATTTTTTTAGGTCCGTTCACTAGTTTTTATCTTCATAACAACAGTTTGGACTGCCATAAGTCTCTTGCCTTATCGTGTATTTGTATTAGCACAATACAACTATCTCGATACTATGCTAGCTGATATTTGTGGATGGAAGGCTTTATGGTTAAGTCAATTGGGGTGGCTACTACATTATTTACTTAAACTTAATCCGGTGTTTATTAAATATTTTATTTAATATTTGTAAATAATTAAAGATTGTTAATCCTTGTATTACGGCTTTTATTTATCATCCCTATCGAATGGATTTTGCCAAACGATTAAATAGACGTTTTCACAGCAGTACAAGAACACAGGAGGAGGCTGAACTTTAAAATTTGATTCGGGAATTTTTTAAATTTTATTTAAAAGAATCGGGTATTAAACATATAAATAATTTGTTGTTTACCTTTTTATCAAAAAATATATTTATGTTTTTATATCTGGCCCAAATTTCTAGAAAAACAATCCACATAAAAAATTTTATCCTTAACTAGATCATTTAGTCCTCTAAGCTACAGAACGAGTCAATAATGAGCTCATATTCCAAACTTTTTTTAAATACATTTTTGATTGTTGATTTTTAATATGTTTTAATTATTACATACTCATTTATTTTAAATTTTAAAATTGAAAAAACTGAAAAAATTTTTTGAAAATTTTGACTATCCACCCGATTTTCACCCATCACAATTTTACATACACTTGTTATCTATAATACAAAGGGGCATGTAAAATCAAGATTATACAAAAAGAAATAGACATCACATTAAGCACTATACTAGTAATATTCCCCATGTTAATATTTAGGATTTTTAATATTTAAAAAGGCAATTTATTCAAATATTTATAAAATAAATTTAATTTCATTGTCAATAAATAATCAAGACAGAATTTAAAGGTACATTGGTGTTTCTAAAGTAACATTTGTTAGAGCTTCAGTATACATTCTAGGGGTGTCTTCATTAATTGTTGATAGAAGCGGTGGTTGTTGTTGTTGCTGCAGTGTTGATATATTTCCACCAAAATTGTTAGGAATTACAGAATTAGAAGCATTTTGGTCAATCATTATATCTAAATTGCCTATAATCTTTAAATAATATTTAAAAGAAAATTGTGTAACCAAAAGCAAATGGAGGCGCAAAAAATCCCTCAATATGAGGAGAAGATGATTGTCTTGAGATTGGGTAAGTTGGAACATTAGTAGAGTGGTTGTTCAGAGAATTGTCAAATTTTTGATTAGAATCTTAAAGAAAAATAAATTTTTGGAAATTATTTATTGAATATTAATTTGTAAATAAATAAACACCTTCACAATTTATTGACATATCTGGGAAGGATTGAAGCATTTCTGAACAAGATGCAACCCTTCCAATTTGTTGGTGTTGTTGTTGTATATTTAAATTTTGTTGTTGATTTAAATGTTCTTGTGATAAATTATTTTCTCCAAAAATATTCGAAGAAAGCCAAAGATTTTCTTCTTGCGCTGAAGCAAAACTCATTTCAGTTTCTGAACGTGATTTTATTGAACAGGAGCGGGCACGACGATAAAAAAGATTTTCATCGTCAAAAGATGGAATAAAATTGTTATATTCGTTATTCAAACTATTATTCCAAATATCACCATTATTTATTTGGTTAATATTAAATTGTTGCTGCTGCTGTTGTGGCGAGTAATGTCCATCATTTACGCTCAAATCCTTAACAAAAAAATTGAAAAAAAAATATTTTCAATTTAAAAATAGTAGGAAAGAGGGGATACTTCTAATATCTAAATTAATAGAAGGCTTCGGCTAATTACGTTCAAACTTTTTCTGACCCAGTGCCCAAACTTAAATGAGAATGATATATTGTACTTATTGTTTCTACATATTAGAGTATGTAAAGCAAGACAAAAAAGAATAAAATTTTATTCGAGTAAATTTCATATACCCGGAAATACAACAATAAACTGCTTTATACCAAAAAATTATTAAATTTGTTAATGTATTTTTATTCAAATTTAAGTATTCTCTAAAAAGTCCTCAGCTTTAAATTACCGGAAAATTTTAATTAAAAAATAAAACTTTAACTTACTTGGCAAGAAAAGCTTTGCTGTTTTACATCGAAAAGATTTGGTTTTTTGCTAATTGGTGGAGGCCGACTTATGCTAACATAAGGGACATTTTGAGAGAACATAATATTCTATAAAAAAAGATTTTTGATTTTTCAAATTTTTAAAATTTTTAAAATTTATTTTAAAATTTTAAAATTATTAAAGTTACATTTGTTTGTTGTTGTTCTTGTTTTAACGATTGTTGATTCTGAGCAGCTTCCCAACTTTGAGGATCTCTTTGTTTCCAAAGCAAGTCTTTCAAAATTGAATTTTCTCTTTCTAATTCAGCAATACGTGCATACAATTCTGGTAATTTTTGTCGAGCTTCAACTCCTTTCTTTAAATAAAATTTAAATTAAAATATTTAAAATTAAACACAAACAATTCTATATGCTTCTTGATATTTTCTATTTGCTTCTGCTCTTTTTTGCTTTTTTTCTACTTTTTTAACAATTCCATTATTATTATTAAAGAACATGTTTGATTCTTCTGTTGACATACTTTTGGCTTAAATTTTAAAATTTTGAATGGATCCCCTCCTAGACAAATTTTTTCTTACCTCGCCCACGACAATATGATGGTACAGAGGAAGTGCCAAGCATTTATTAAATATTAATTAATTTTTAAAATTAAAAAAAGACTAAAATTAAAAATAAATTAACAGGAAATTAAGCAAAATATTTAGGTAATTTAATATTTCAATGAAAAAATAAAGATTAAAGGCAATTATGCAAGCAAAAGTTTAACAAATTTAGCGAAAAGAGTTGTTAATTTAATAAATAGATTTAACGAATATTTATTTAAAATTTAATTAATTAAAGAAAATTAATTTTATTTTTTTCTAAAAAATATTATTTTTAATTAACAAAAGAATAATTTAAAATAAAAATAATTTTTTTCTAACCTTAAAAATGCCTTTTAAATAATTCTTTATTCACAAACCCCCTCACATGATTAATTTAAAAAATAATTTTTTAAGTTCCTGTTTAAAAAGGACAAAACAACAAAATTGTGAAGGAGTAAAAATACTCAAATGATTAAAATAAAAGTGGAAGGGAAGGGGGAATCAATTAAAATTTGTATTAAAATTTAATAGACTTTCTTTAAAATTAAATTTAAATTTAATATGTAAATAAAAATAAATTTAGGCATATTTAAATAAATAAACAAGGAAGTGTTCTTTATTTAAAAAATATTTTTATTTCCTTGTATTTTAATTAAAAAAATATTTATTAAAAAATTATTTAAAAACATTTAATAATTTATTTTAAAATGGTTGTTTTTGTCAAATTAATATTAAATTGTTGTCATGATTTCAAAAATAAAATAGAAGAGAACAAACAAAACAAACAAAAATAGGACAAAAAAATGTTGATTGAAAATAAAAAAGAGAAAATTTAAAAAAAAGAAAAAATATTAATTTGTGGATAATTTTAAATTAAAATATTAAATTAAATTAAAGTATCTTTTAAAGTTTTAATTCTTTTAATAAAATAATTATTAATAATTTATTTTGATCGAATTTAAAAGCAAGGAGAAGTTCAAATTTAATTGACAAATTAATATTTAGAATAAATTAAGGGCAAAATTGGAGAATATTAATTTAATAATTTAAATATATTTTTTAATTAATTAATAGTCTCTTTAATAAAATTTATTAAGAAAATTGATTAATTCGCGAAGCTCTCGTTCGAGAGAAAATTTAATAAAAAATACTACGTATTCTTTAAAATATTAATTTAAAAAAATATCTAAATTAATTATTGAATACTCGAAAAAAAATAAATTACAAAAAAATGCGCATAAAAATGAAAAACGTGAGTTGGCTGTACAGATAGTATGTATGTAGGTATTGTGAATTTGGCCAACAAAAAATATTCTTCCTCTTCTCTTCTCTTTAATAAAAGCATTCACAACATACTATTTATGTATTTAGTTACGTGAATAGTTTTGTAAAAAAATAATTTTTTTGACTATTTTTCTCATAAAAATATGACAACCATTTTTATTAATTCTTTTTACAGCGATCAATTCAACAATCTCGATTTTAAATAAATTTAATTTTAAAAAATAAATGTTTTTGTTTACCCTTATTTATTTAATTTTTATTTTTTTTCTTTAAAAAACAGCATTAATTAAAATTAAATTTTAAAATATATTTTTATTTAATAAAAAATGAAAAGAAAATTTTTATTATTTTTTCTCTATTTAATTGTAAGTATTTTATTTAATAAGGAATTAAAATGAAAAAATATTTTTTTGAGAAGATAATTTGTTTGAAGCTAAAAATCTTTAAATTTCTATAAAAATTTCCAAAATAATTTTAAAAAATAATTTTTTTAATTTGAGCCAGTTTTTAACGGTATCTCATCAACAATGAAGGAAATTACAAAAAGAACACTTATATTGGAAGAATCTGTCGGGAATTTCAAAAAAGGAAATCAGTATTTGTCTGAGAGAGTTCTTTTTACTTTAAGTGCTTTCTTTCCAATGTAAATTTATTTATTCTAAAGATAATTTACTATATTTTTAATTTTAATTATTAATTCTGAAGAGGGGGAGGGGAAGTGGCATTAAACTTTTAATTACTCATAAAAATATTATAAATTCTTTATAAGAATTTTTGAGAATTAAATCATTAATGTGTGAATTTAAAAATTCAATTTTAATTTTCTGAACAAAAATCACTTTTTTTTAATTTAAATACGAGGAAATAATTTAAAGTTTGTTTCTAAATAAAAGTTTAAAGATGTGATTCATTTACTTAGCAGCATTTAGGGTTAAAAATTTAAAATAAAGATTATAATTATAACAAAAATATTTTTTAAAGGAACAGATTTTTAATTTTGGTATTTAATGGGGGAGGGGATATAGCTTATCGTGCTGACCATTCTGAATCTGTGGAATATTCAAATAAAAATGTTGTTATTTATATAACTATAGCTGGTAATAGTTTTTTGGGAAGTAGAGATTGTTATGGAAATATTACAAATGAATTTAGAAGGTTATTAATTAATTGATTAAATTTGTGATTTGTAATTATCTTCCAAGGCAAACTAATTTTAAAATAAAAAAACTTTTTTTTTAGTTGTTATCCACAAACGGGTAATTTACTTATTCGAATAGGAGATGTATGTGGACAAGAAGGTGGATATAATTCAGAATCTGTAGGTCTTCGCGCAGTTGTTAAAAATATTGAATTCGGGGTTGCAAGTTCCCTCCCTTCTTATGCTTTAAAAGACGAATTATTTAATTGTGATAATTCAACGGCTAAACGTTGGCGTGTTGTAATTGCTCTTTTTCAAGACTAGTTGGTAGTGGGAATAAATAAATGAAAAATAATATTTAAAAATTTTTAGTTCAGCAGCTCAAACAAAATTTTTAGAAAATTATGTTAGCAATTTTACAAGGTTTTTATTGTAAATTTAATTTTAAATATATTTTAATTAATTAAAGAATAAAATCAAAGGCAAATGGAATGTTCATAACTTGTAAAAATAACTCTTTATTATTTGCTTCTGAACAAAATTCTGAAGAAATTTGGGAAGAGTTTTTAGTCCAATCAAATAATGACGGCACAATTTCATTTAAATCAAGAGTAAATCAAAAATTTGTTTCTGTTGACTTAAAAAATGGAGGAATTTTAATTTTGGGAAGTGATATAGTTAAAAATGAACAAAAATTTATTTTTGAAAAGAAAGGAAATGAAGAAGAATATACAATTAAATCTAAAATTAATGAAAAGTTTGTAAGTGTAAAACTAGACAAGAATGGAATTCTAATGGCATACATGGAGAATGTTACTGGATTAAATGAAATTTTTGAATTTAATACTTTTATATCTGAGATAGAAAAGAATGAATTATTAAGGTACTTAAATTTAAATACGGAGAGAACTATTTATTAGATACATCCGATACTACTAGACCCCAGTTTAGGTTCCATTTTAAAGTTTGATCGGGGTAATTTTTTAACACTCTTACAAGCTCTTTCAAATCATCTATCAATTGTATATATTAATTCCTTATTCCACCAACCAAGTGATTGAATGATCCCATGAGTGGTTGGTCTTGATCCAATGATTGATCCCATCGAATCCGACCAATCTTGATCCGATCTTAATCCAAGAATCTTGATCCCAATGCATTTCCGTAGGACGAGTGTGATCTATTAAACAACTCTATTACAATTTTTTAAATTAGTTTTCCAAATGTTGTTGATGAAGATAATGGTGTTTATATTTCCCCTGTTTTTGGAATTTTTGCTCTTTTTGGCACATTTGTTGGCTTTGTTGCTATTGGATTAATGTTTGATATTAATTACTTATTAAATTCAAATTTTTTTATCTCTCCAGGGGATTCTCAATTTTGGTTATGAATAAAGTTAGAGATAAAAGAGGTGATCTAAGTTTAAGAAAACAAATTTACTGGTTTCTTCGAATTCGAAAAGGACTGTTAAATAGAATATTGGATTGTACAGCCATAGATATTGAATATTTGATTTATTCTGGTAATTTATTTAATGGGAATCCTCATATAAATATTTAATTAAAAGGTCCAAATTCTCGAGTTTATTTTGGTCGTTATCGTTATTTAGAAGATGGAGTGATGGATGTTGTTGTTAAAGTCCCATCAAAAGAAGCATTCCGATTGGATATGATAATTGAAGAAACAAAAATAAATGCACAATTAAAACATGAAAGAATTGTTGAATATATTGGTTATTATAGGGATGCTTTTAATGATATGAGAATTGTTAGTGAATATATGCCTGGGGGTGATCTACATTCATTTATTAGTTCAAGAAAAAATGTTAAAGAAAAATTATTTAGAATTTAATATTTTATTTTGTAGATTTTAACTGTCGGACATATTTTTAATTTTATTGGCCAAATAGCTGAAGGAATGGAATATTTATCTTCCAAAAAGATAATACACAGAGATTTGGCTGCAAGGAATTGCATGTCTGTTCATTAAATTTTAATTAAATAAATATTAGGCTAGTAGGTAAAGGTTGAATTCTCTATGAATTAAAGACGACGCAGTTATACATGACCCTCACATCAGCGTTGAAAAATTGCACGTAAATGAGATTTACCTAGAAGAATTCCCCTTCCCATTCAGAGGATAGCAAAATTTAAAAATATGAAGTATAACCAGACAAATCATTTTATATTTCTCTCGTTTTATTATTTATTTTTATTAAAAGGTTGAATCGTGATTGTACGGCTATTAAAATAGCTGATTTTGGATTAAGTCGACATTTCAATGCAGATGCTAATTATACTTGTTCAAGTCCTGTACGTTTGCCTTTGCGTTGGACAGCTATTGAATGTCTGGGACAAAATGGGGAAATTCTTCCATATAGCAAATTCTCTGAAAAAAGCGACGTTTGGTCGTTTGGAATTGTTATTTGGGAATGTTTCTCTCGTGGAGAAATGCCTTATGGCACAGAAGAAGTTAGGGACGTTTTACCAAAATTAAAGTCAGATTGGCGACTTCCCCGCCCTTCTCAATGTCCAGCTGGACTTTAGTTTGTTAGAAAAATCTATTTTAAATTTCCTTTTATTTTTTCAGTGGACTTTTAGTTTTAAAATGTTGGGATATATTTCCAGAGAAAAGGCCAAGTTTTTCTTCAATTTGCATTTCCTTAGAAGAAATATTTTCACTTTTGATTGTCGAAGAGCCAGATATTGTTGTTCGAGAAATTATTTAAATAAATTATTTAATGATTCTTTCAAGCTTTTCTTGAAAAGATAAAAAAATAAAATACTTATTTGATTTATTCGTGCAAATTTAAAAAATTATATAGGGACACTATTTTTTAAGCAATCCTAAATCATTTTAGTTGAGAGAAGACCTAAAAGTTACTTATAATTTTCCCGATATTTTTACGTAGGAAAAGTTTTTAATATATTTATTACATTTTCTAAAATGGGGCTTTTTTCCAAAAGTATAATATTTCAAAAATATTATTTACAAATGCATACTAACTCAATTAAAAAAATTTTTTTATAAAAAATAAATTCTTTAAAAATCAAATTTTATTTTGCAATTTATTTATTTTATGTCAATTTAGTTTATTTTTTATCTTTAATTTACTTTTCTAAAACATCTTTACTTTTGCTTTCTTCATTATTTTGTGTTGCTTCACTTTCTGTGAATTTAAAAAAATTTAAAAAAATTTTTCGAAATTTTTATTTCAATTTTTTTAATATTTCCACCTTTATTTTCAACATTACAAGCAGAAGTGAAGAAATTAGTTAAATATTTCCAGAACGATTCTTCTTTTTTAATTTTATTTTTTAACTGTTTTTTGTTATTTTCTTGTGTTATACTTATTGCTTCAATTTTTTCTTCAGCTTTTGTTCTAATCTCTTCTTGTTCTAGCATAGCTTTTTCTAAAATATTTGCTCGATGTTCTATTTCATCAATTTTTTTCAAAGTATTTTTTTCTAAAATATAAAATTTTGTTTAAATTTTAATTTAAAATGAATAACAAAGATTTAAATAATACCTTCTTCATTATCCATTTTAATTAAAATAAAATATCTGAATATTTAAAAAATAAATTTAAAAATAAACCAGTTACAGTAAATGCTGAAACTAAATTTAAAAAAATAAATTTATAGTTTAAAACTTTAAATATTTCAAGACTAGAAAATCTTTAAGAAAATTTTTATATTTAATTTAATTATAGAAAATTTTATTTTTAATTATTGTAATATTTAAATATCTATACTACATTAAAGAAAACCTTTAGATTTAAATATTAAGTAAATATTTTGTTTATCCATTCTATTAAAATATTCTCGATTTTGATCATTTGATGCATTCATCCACACAACTTCTTGCATCCATTGACGACTTTTCCGACAACTCCTCCAACTAATTTGAATGAATAAAAATTAAATTTTTGATTTTTTTCCAAAAATAAGTAAAGATATATTGACATTTTATAGCCTTCTTGATTTTGTTTTCAATTATTACGGATTTCTATATATCAATTAGAGCTAGGAATTTTGAAAAAACCGGGACCGGGTCCGGGAAACGGGTTCTGAAAAATGGACCGGGCGGGTTCCGGGTCCGGGAAACCGGGAAAACCCGTTCCCGGTTTCAACCCGGTCTAGAAATGGGCGGGTCCCGGCCGGGAAACCGGGAAATTTTTAATTTGTTGAAATGATGGTCTATTTTCCACATAGGGCTGTATTTTTCAACTATCCTCCTATACTTATTCTAAATAACCTCTATTAATGTAAGTAAATGTCATTCACGATTATTTAACTAAAGATCAAATTCCCTTGTCTGAAACATAAGTTCGTCGGCAACTGGGGATTAATGGAAAATTCAAAGACATACTACATATGTTTAATTTCTTTCTATAGCCCTTATATGGTGGCCGAGAGGTTGTTATGTTAGTTCCTTCAGAATGTTAGTTCCCCTTAATTCCTTCAGAATCCTTAGATATCCCTTTTGATTCTTTTTAATCATATTAAATTAAAAATTCTTTGCGCCGTAGGCGAAAATTTACAGAATTTTGTAAGGCCTTAGGAGAAAAAAATTCAATTGTCAGAGCTGCCGGCGAAAAAATTTTTCGAAGTTTAGATGGTAATGAAGCCAGAACTCTTAAATCTTCTGCGCCACAGGCGAAAATTTTGGAAAATTCATGAAATAATTAAAATTTCTTATATTTTTTCAAGTTTGAAACATCAAAAAAAGTTTGCAAATTTAAAATCAAAATCAAAGTTTAAAATTATTTATCTTTGAAAAGAAAATTTTCTCAGCCACATTTCCATACATGGACTCGAACCCCATCCCTATCAAAATAACTAGATGAGTGAAGTAAGTAAACTTAACCACTCAACTATCGACCGACAAATGCAAAATGGAGAAATTATAAATATTCCTTTGCTTTTTCCTTCAAAAATTTAATATCAAAGTACGCAAATACACTAAATATTTTTCCCGGTTTCCCAGTGAAAAAAAAAGCCGGGACCGGGTCCGGGAAACGGGTTCTGAAAAATGGACCGGGCGGGTTCCGGGTCCGGGAAACCGGGAAAACCCGTTCCCGGTTTCAACCCGGTTGCTTCAAAAAAACCGGGAAAAAGGACCCGGAAACCGGGAAACGGGTCCGGGTCCCGGACCCGTTCCTAGCTCTAATATCAATACAAAATAAAAATTTCAAGAGAACATAAAACACTAAGGACGTCCAAGACTTTTGGTCTTGAGTCTTGCCTCAAGAATTTTCTTGTCTTGGGTTTAGTCATGGTTCTTGATGTTCAATCTGTTCTTGAGTTTTAGAAATTTTTAGGTCTATGATATCCTTCAAAAAAGTTAATAAGTTTTCTACCTATGCCAGTGACCAATGATACACCTGCTGCCGCTAAACCACGCCAAAAATCCTTCCAAAATGATGATCCGCTATCGTCGATAATTTTTCTTAATTTTCTGTTTTCTTCCTCTAATTGGTCTATGCGCTGATGAAGTCTCGCATTAGATTCAGCCATTTCATGCAGCTTTATTTCCATAGCAATCAGTCGATTATTTAACACATCAAGGATTTTTAAAAGATCTCTTCGTTCTAAAATAAGAATTATAAACTATATGTGATTTTAATATAAATAAATGTTGTGTCACACCTAAACAAAGAAATTCTTATACCGCCTCGAACTAATGTAATTTGAAATTATACCTACATAATTATCCGTTAATCCCAGCCCTAAACTTTAGACGGATTTTAAAGAAAATTGTACCTTGCACACTATCCATGGCGTTTAAAGTAAATATTAAGCTTGAAATTAAAGTATTTTTCTGAAATTAAATAAAATATTTAATAATCATTAACAGACTTATAGATAATATTTTTTACTTGACTATTAATAAAGATGGAAAAAATTGTAGAAAATGATCATATTTATTCTATGTATTATGAAAAAATAATTTGTTTATATTATTAAGTAATATACATATTTATGTATAATACTCCTGATTTTTAGACAATGTATCAGGATAAGGAAAAAAAATTTTATCCTAGAAATCGTTATTACATTCATTTAATTTAAAATATTTATTAACATTACTATAGACTAATGCAGAATTTCTTTTTTAAATAATTAAGCTTTTCAACTAAACCAAGAACCAATCCATCTAAAGAATCGGGATAACAAATTACCAATAGCCTTAAGACAACTAGAAATAACATTTCCAATTGCCGTCAAAGCACGAGCAATAACATTTCCAATTCCTTTTATTGCACGTCCAATAACATCAAAAACAGCCCGAATTCCACGACCAACTGCTCGACCAATTTCATAAACTAAATCGTTAATAGCCTCAATTGCATCACGAAGTGTAGAATCGACAGTACATTTCTTAGCGGCTAAATTTAAATAAAAATATTAATTACCTGATATATTAGAAATTATTTCTTTTAAATTTAAACAATTTTTATGTATTATCTCTAATTCCTTTTAAAGCAATATTTTGTTTATTTAAATATTTTGAGAAAAATAGGGATAAATAAATACCTTCTCGTAATTGCCGATTTTCTTCTTCGAGACTTTCAACTTTATTTTCAAGTTCCTCTTGAGTTACCATTCCATTTTCAATCATTTGTCCTACCCTCTCTATTGAATCATGAGTTTTTTTAATTCTATCCCGAAGATCTTCATTGTTTCGAACCTGAAAAATATTTAGACAATTATTTTTTAAAATTTTATTTTCTCATTTTTTGAACTCAATTAAAATATATTTTCTCTATTATTTGTAAATATAAATAATTATATTTTTATCTAAATAATTTAAAAGTTTATATTTTAAATGCTTTTACTTACTTCTGTTCTATATTGAGATGTTCTACAAGATGAAGAGCTTCCTCCCATATTATTTTGTAAATTTATTTATTTATTATTTTTTTCTATAATATATTTATATTAAAATTAATTATTTTAATTAAAAGAGTAATTAATCTTAAGCTTTTTTAAATTAAATTGGTTTGAATTTGTACTAAAAATGTTATAAATTAAAGAAATTCTGTGATTTTCTATTAATTATTAATATATGAATATTTGAAAAATATTTGAGATTTTATACCGAAATGATTTGAAAGAAATAAAATTGTAAAAACAAAAATAATATTTATTTGTAAAAAACTAAAAAAACATATGTATTTTCTTTTAATAATTTAAAAAAATATTATTTATGTAAAAAATAGACTAAAATAATATTATGAATAATTTCAACTAAATTTTATTGTTTCTACTTTAAGGCCCAACATAAGCTTTACACCACCTTGCAGTTTTATCTACCTTTCTGATCTTTTTCATTCAATTTATTTTTTGTTATTTAAAGATATTTTTAAATAAAAACATTTATCTTTGTAAATTTCTCCAACAAAAATAAAAAATGTGACATTTCTGATTCAAACTTTAATTATTCAACAAGTAATTCAACAAATATTTATTCATTTCCAACAATTTTATTCAAAAATATGTTTTTTAAAAATAAAAATGTCTTCTACTTTACGAAGAAAGTGAATCAAAAAGGGCGAAGTCTCTAAAAATAAATCCAGAATTGTCCGTCCATTAACCAAACATTGGGCCACCACAATATTAAATAATGAAAAAACAGATATGTGACCGTGGAAAGTGCAGAAGCGCAATTTTACATTTTTGAGACAATTTTGTGAATAATAAATATAAAGTGAAGATTGACCAATGTCGGGGACTATTATTTTCGTCGGGGACTATTTTGGAACATTACGGTGATCTTTACAAATATTTTCATTTCTTCATTTTATCATTAATTAATTAAATATTTTAATTATTAAATGATTACTAATATATTATTAATTTATTTATTAAGTGATCATAATTAATATTATTAATTAATTTGAGGAATATATTAATAATATTTAAAGTATTTTTATTTATTTTTTAGCACTTTTAATCCATTTCACTAACAACATTTAAAAAATTTTTATTTTAAAATCGAATCAAATTAAAAAAAAGTAGTTGTAATTATTTGAAAGAATAAATAATGTTTTGTTTTTTTATTGTTAACAATCATTCTTGTGATTGATAAAAATTTTAATAGAAAAAATGAAAATAGGCCAATAAAATAGGTGTGTTCTTACTAAGAATTTAGTAGATGTATTAATATATTTAATTATTATATATAAATTCGAATAATAATAAATCAAACAAACAACCTTTGATGCGACAAATAAATATTAATTAAATTACTATAATTAAATTTTTATTTTAATATTTTTATTGTTTTTTGGGTGCTTCTAATTAAAAAAATTATATCAAAAAATAAATATTTTTAAAAATTTGAGATAATTCTAAGATGAATAAATAAATTTAAATTACTAACAATAAATGTACTTTCCACTTACTTTCTCATTAGTAATATGTTTATTTATGCTCCAAAATATTGTAAGTTGATTTTTGCTAATTATATTTTTATCCAAGATTAAAAGCTTATTAAATATTTAAAATAATCGAGGCATTATTTAGAATATTGTTTCATCTGAATTAATTTCTGAAATTGCAAAAAAAGCATTTGATTTGGAATTAAATTCTGGAAATTTTATTTATGGTAACCAACATGTAGCTGATTCAATTCTAAAAATGCTGACTGCCTTCTATCCATTGTTAATTATTTTTATATTATTATTAAAATTATTTTTAAATTAAAAAATTCTTAAACCTAGAAAATATATCAATAAAAAATATTTCCAAAAAAACTTTTAACTAAAATTTTTGTATAGTCAACGTTTTATGATTTTTGTTGCTAATGATGGTGGAAATATTGCTAGACGTACTGATCATACAGAATGGTTTAAACAAAATGATAAACATGTTACTATTTATATTACAACAACAAGTAACTCTTATTTGGGAAGTAAAGATTGTTATGGAGATATTTCTGAAGAGTTTAAAAGGTTATGGAAATATTCTTCTTAATAAATCTATAACTTCATTATAAAATTAAAAAAAACAATTAAAATTTTCCAGTTGTTATCCAGAAAAGGATAAAATACTTAGAAGAATTGGAGACATGTGTGGAGCAGATGGAGGTTATAATCCAGAATCTGTAGCTGTACGTGCCGTTGTTAGAGCTGACGATTTAGGTTTGGCTAGTTCTCTTCCTGAATTTGCTATGAAAGACGAAATTTTTACATGTAAAAATGCGACGTCTCCAAAACAGCGCTGGCGTGTTGCTATTGCTTTATTTCAAGATTAGTAAGAGAATTTTGAATAAATGTATTTTAATCACTCCTAGTTTATTTTGGACTTGATATTTTTTAATTTTAATTAATTTCAGTAACAAAGTACTAAACGAGTTTATAATGGTTAAAAATTCAGAAAATAATACAAGGTGATAATTTCTAAAAATTCTTTAAAAACATAGTTCTGCCCATTTCAGTTTTCAACTAGGAACTAAAAGCAACATTCCTTTAAATATTCCAATGATTATTACTGAGGGTAGGCCTAACAATTTTGAGACAAATTCTTTTGTGAATATTCCATTAAATAATTTATATTTTGGAATTGCTGCTTTATTTGGAATTTTAATTACTCTAATTTGTATGGCAATAATGTAAAAAATAAATTTTAAATCAAAAATTGTTTTAAAATATTTTTTTAAATTTTAGAGCAGTCAGTATATGTTTTATAATCAAATACAACCAAAAAAAGAAATTAATTTGTTTGGGGAAGAAATATGAGTATTGTTGACATAAAAAGACGTTAAAGACTAAAGACTATCGGTCTTGGCTTTGGAGTGTTCGAAAATTTTAGGTCCTGAACGTCTCTATAAAAATGTATTTATTGAAATTTGTAAATGAAAAAATATACGTATTTCTCCAAAATAATTATTTTCAAAATTTAAGAGATCAAAAAATAAATATTTAATCAAAAATTTTAACTGTTAAAATGCTCTCCTTTTCATGAAATTATTCTTTAATAAAATGTTGATAAATATTATACTTAAACGGGTTATTTTCCAAATCCTCTCCAAAATTCGTTTCAACAGAACAACACAATAAATCAACAAAAGGCTTATAATCTTTACATATTCCTTCAATTTTAATTGTTTTACCTTAAAATAATTTTAAAAAATAATTTTTAAAAAATATTTTTAAAGACCGGTAAATGTCCATCTCGTGTCCCGCATGTCCGCAAAAGTCAACCCATCATTTGATTATGGTAGAGAGAAGGAAGGCAGAAAAAATCATTTTTGCAGAATGTCTTTTGCGGACATGCGGGACACGAGCTGGACATTTACCTTCAAGACTAATAAGTTTCCCATTTTGTGTAAAGAAAACATAGGGCAATTCTTCTTTAACTTTTTCTTTTGGTGGATATACTAATCCACACCCAAATATATTTTCATTCTTCCAAATAAATTCATTTAATTTAAATTCTTTCTCTTCATTATTTAATATATTTTTAATTAAAGCTTTGTGTGTCCATAATTCAATATAATAATTATTATTTCTAAGACCAAAAGCCATCCAATTTTCATTAGAATTTTTTTCCGGTTCAATAAAACATTTAATCTCATAATAAAATAAAGAATAAGTAATGGCATCATTATTTAATTTATTAAACGAGTTTACTGCCTCAACACGTGAATATTTATTTACACCTAAATTTAAATAATTTGTTTAAAAAATTTTTTTGTTAAAATATTTAAATAACCAATAATGGGGGCAAGAAATGGGATATTTAATTATCACTTTTTGAAAGTAAAATATGAAAAGATATTTGATCAAATTCAAAGGTACTACATGTACAAGCATAACCCAAGGTACCATAGGCCAATTTATTGCATACAATTGTTTAAAGTCTACTTTATTATTTTGAAACAATTCTTATCGAAAAAAGTATTTAAATTTGATTAAATCTCAGAGGATTACTAAGCACAACTTGAATAGTTGAATCAACTTTTGTATTTTTTAAATCTTTCCTTAAAAATTTTTCCTATTTAAATTCCCCTACCTTTATCATCTATTCGTTTATTATATTTTAATTTCCCATTTGACAAAACTCGAATACATCCATTTCCTTGAATACAACGACCACTATATTTTTTCTCACATTTTTTGTTACAGCAAGGATTAATGTTTACAACTAATTGCCAACTATTTAAAAGCTTTACAAAATTCTAAAAATATTGTAATCTTTAAAGGAGAGAAATAAAATAGTATTTATAGAAGATATTCTATTTGCCTATAATTTTTATTACCGTTCGTTTATTTGATCGCTCCAATTCACATCTTAATTTAGTGATTCTTTTGTTGAGTGTAATATTTGCTTTGTTAAGCTTTAATAAATTCATTTAATTTTAATTTTAAATTTTTTACCAAATTATTTTCCTTTTTTGATTTTTCTAATTCAACAAGTAATTTATTAATTGTTTTATTTAGTTCTTCGTTGTTTTCATTAGCCTTTAAAAATACATTAAAATTAAGTAATAATCTAATAAAATCAAAAACAAAACTTTTAAAATCCCCGACAACAAAAAATATTTAAAAATACAATACCTTCTTAGCTTCTTTTTCAAGCACTAAATTTTTATTTTCTAATTCCCCGACTTCCACTTTAAGTTGCCAATTAATTTCTCCCATTATATTCATTTGTTTAATCATCTTTTTCTTTAATTAAAAATATTTATTTACATTAGTAGTTTTTATTTTTATACCTTTAATTTTAAATCGAAATTTACTGATTCATTAGACATTTTGAGAGAATTTAATGAATTTACGAAAAAGAATATCTGAAAATTTTGGAAAATAAAAATTTAAGAGATAAATTTAAAAATTGATTTGATGATGAAAAAATTTCTAAATACATTAATATTTAAAAAAACTAATCACCTTTATTTCTATTTACTAACTTTTTAAAAATAGAATGTAATTTAACGGGATTTTTATTTTTTATTATTTGTGCATTAATTTGAGGTCAGAGCTGTTTCGAAACAAAAATCTGCGAACACTGAAAATATCCTAAATTCTCAAAATCGAAATTTTAAACGGCTTCGTTCGAGGTATTTAAATGTTATTTAAGAAAATCCGGTCAATGGCAACAAGTATTTTAATTTAAATTAAAGAGGACAACTACAATAATTAAGGATAATTACAATAATTAATCAACTACAATAATTAAGTTTATACATAACTAGGAACGATAATTTTTGGAATTAAGGGCATAATATGTAATCAATAAGAAAATTGATCCTTTATTTTTATTTACAAATAGGAAAATATTTCCTTCTTTTAGGAATAGGTATGAATGCGAATAATATTGGAGAGGGTAGGAAATTTTATACAGGACAGAAGGAAGTTATAGCAACAAGTTAAAACAGTTATAACAGTTTAAAACAACAAGTTAAATAAAAGGGCAATATTTAAATATGAAGTGTATATAAAACGAATTATAAATTTTAAATATAAATTTTAATTAATTCTTACAGAATCATTTTTAATCAAAAGAATTACTTAGGCAAAATTTACAAACAAATATGTATGTAATTGTAATTAAAATATAGTAAAGCAGAGCTAGGCTTATTTACTTATTCTTTCTTCAGTTAACCGGACTGATGTAGGAATTATTAATTCTTACACCATCGAAGAATTAAATGAAAGGAATTAAAAAGCTATCTGCTTTACAATAAAAAATATTGCGATCAAATAATATGTAATTAAATAGCTTTAGATTTATATTATCCATTTATGAATAGATTTTTTTGTACCATTTTCTACCCTTAATAAATTTGGAATAACGTTCAATTTAGCAAATATTTCACATACGTTTCTAAAATTCCTCAATCCGAAATTTGAGGAATTTTTCGGATTATATCTCAATCCGAAAAATTATATCACAATTATTTAACGCCTAAATGCTTTAATCAAAACTTATTTCTAATATAAACCCATTTTTTACTTAATTTTGTTTTTACTACTTGTTAATTAAATTTCGAAGTCTTGAAAGAAATTCTTAAAAGGAATGGAAACAAAGGGAGGGAAAATCAACGTAAATTAAGAATAAAATGAACGTTTTAATCTTTTATTGCTTCTCTCTCTTCTGCTATAATTATTGCATTTCGAACATTTCCATTAATTTTTTCAAAATTTATTTCACCAACAGTATTATTAACTATTTTAATTACTTCACTGCATAATGTCTCTACAGCGTTCAGAAAATCCTTTTTAAGACTTTTTGCTTTTTTAAATTCAAATGGTCCAATATAAGTCTCTCTCATGATTGACCAAAATATCTTTTTTTGATTTTTAAATTTTTTTATATATTTATTGTGACATTCATCTCCATCCTCAATTGAATATTCCCTTCCAATATTGCAAATATAACTAGCCAAAAAATTAAAAGAAATTTTTCCAAAATAATCAAATTCTAATTTTAAAGTAAAATGAATATTTATAAAGTCATATATTTTTCCTATAATTTCCCGTGTTAATTCATTAAAATCTGTTTCCGAAGGTTTTAATTTTCCTTTAAATGTTTCACTAATTTTTTTCCATAAATTGCCATTTTTCTTCTTTAAATATTCATTTTTTCCAATAATTAATGACCAAATTTCCGACCATTTGTTATAACCAATTAATTTATTTATTCCAAGTAATTCATCTGTTTCGAGTTGGAATGGACCTGAAAATTTAAAAAAATCTAAGGAAATTAAAAGAATCATAATCGAAAATTGAATAAACTAATTTTAATCTTGGAATTGATGTTTTCGAATGATACAAAATAATCGTCCCAATTTTTAAAATCAAACCAATATATCTTTTCTGTGAAAAATCCTCAGGTTCGTAATTCAATTCCCACGGAGATTCTCTCGAATTCTGCCAATCACTTTCTTTATTAAAACCTAATTTTCTTTTCATATTTTGTACAAAATTAAATAAAATATTAATTCTATCATCTTCAAATTCAATTATAAGTCCTTTATTCTCAACAATTTCTTTTTCTTCTTTTACCTCTTCAATAATGTCATCCTCTTCATTCGGAATAATTTCTTTACCTTTTCCTTTTTGGTTATAAACTTGACTAGTACTTCCAACATTATTTGAAGATCCTTTTAATCGGAAAAAGTAAGCGAGTTGTGGAATATTCAAAATACTAGTATCTTCAAAGAATTGAATTAATACGGCAAATAAACAAATATCTGCCTGAAAAAAATATTTTTCGTTTTAAATTTTTGTAAATACAAAGTAGGGTTAAACGGTATCGGGATCACGACAGATATTGGGTGGTATTTTTAAATCCCGATACTGCTTAACTCTAATACAAACAAACATTTGTAGGTTCTTCTTCAAAAATAAAATAATTTCCAACAATCATTTCTCCAATTAAAGATAAATTTTTATCAAAATTTTTGATAACTTTATTAATTGTCTTAATTTTTTTATTGGAAGAAATTTGTTGAATTAACTAAAAAAATAAAAATTTGAAAGTAAAAATAATTAAATTCCAACCATATTTTCAAAACTATTTTCTCCTTCAATAAAATATTTTTTAACAATATTTTCAATCCATTCATTCTTTTTATCAATAAAAACACTCCAATACTTCAAATCAAATATTTGTTTATTCCCCCCTTTTACTAATTTATCAATATATTTATCAAAAAATAATTTAATATCCTTATCATCCTTTTCGTGTTTTTCAATTTTTTTTTCCAAACAAAAAAGTTCATTCCAAAATTGTTCATCCATTTTAACCAGAAAAGCTTCATTGTCATTAATTTCAATTATTTGGGGTTTCTTATAAAGTTCTTCCAATTTAGGCAACAATTGTTGATGTATACCTTTATCTTTTGCTAAAAAATCAACTCCTCCATTTCGTTTTAAATCTCTAGTTGTTCTGTCTTTTATTAAAATTCTAAAACAAAAATTTTATCAAAGGGAAAAACATACGGAAATAATATATTATCAACAATTTCTTCAACCTTTTTTTCATTTTCATTTTCGGCTAAAGGTTTTCCTAAATGTTTTAATTTATTTATAATATTTTCCATTCCTTCAATAAAATCTCCATTAAATTGAATAAATGGAACTTGGCCATTTTGAGGAGAACCAAGTTTAAATTGGTTATTAATTCTCTAAAAAATAGTTATTTAAATTAAATATTTGCTTTTTTTCAAAAAAATTTCGTTAATCTTATCATTCTAATTCAATTGAAAAATAATTATTTCAATAATTTTTTCTCGATTGGATTGCTTGTTTACTTACGTTAAGAGTAGACACAATTTCAGGGCCGTAGACTAAGCCCTACTAGCGGGAAACAGCGCCAGTTGGAGAAAACAGCGCCAATACTTTGTCTGATACCCCCCCTCCCTTTTTCTTCTTTCTTTTTTTATGATTAATTATCATTCGACTCAGATCTTCGAGATGAGTCGAATAACACTAAATTAATTAGACAAAACAAAATCTCCATTTATTTATTTTAAAAATAAAACAAACATAAAATTGAATTTCTTTTAATTTTAACCAAATTTCCAATTTAAAACAATTAACATCCAAATCAGGCAAAGAAGAAATTCTTGGATATCTAATTAAATAAACAACATTTTCTTTCCAATTTTCAACCAAAAGTTTTGGATTTTCTGTTCCATTTTCTATTGGATATTTTAATAATAAACCTTTTTTTAAATTTAATTAACATTAAATTAATTTAAACAAAAAAAACTTACAAAAAATATTTGAATTATTTAAAATTATTATTGAAAATAATAAAAATAACATTTTAAATAACTTCTTAGAAATTAAAAAAAATCCTCAATTTATTTTAAATTTAATTTTGAAATATATTTATGTCTAAAATTATTTATTTAATTAAAATTTAAGAAATATTTTTTTTATTTTTGGCATGTAAATAAATGCCCAATTATTTCACCGATAAAGAAATATGTATGTCTACATATATTTACATTATGAAATTTAAAAATAAAATTTTGAATGAATATAGACTTTTATTTAATTGCACTTTTCTTTTTAAGTTTCCGAAAATGAATAAAGAAAAGTGCAAATATAATTAAATTGATTTTATTAAAAAATATTTTTTAAATAAATAAATTATTTGGAAATAATTAAAATTTTTTTATCAATTTTAAATTTAAAAATAAAAAATAAATAAATTTTAAATTAGAGACATTTAATTTAAATAAATAAAAATAATCATAATTATATCAAAATTTATTAATTTCAATTTGCTTATTTAAATTATTATTTTGTTTTATATTTACTTTAGTAAATAGTACAGCAACATTGTTATCGGCTACTACATTCTTTTTAAAATATTTTAAAAGCCATTTAAATTGTATTTTTAATGCATTTAAATGTTCACTACTAAAAAAATTTTTTTTAATTAAAATTAATTAATTTCAATTACCTTGTCATAAAAATAGCTACAACTTCTGTATTTGTTACAATAGATGTTGTAATCGAAAAATAAATATCAATTTTTTCTAATTCATTAGAATTAACAATATTTAAATTTTCAACATAAAAACGAACAATTAGATTTACAATTGAACAAAAAATTTGTAAAAGAAATATTAAAGCCAAAGATTTGTAAATTAATTTTCGAATAGATAAATCTTTTTTAATTTAAAAATTAATAATTAATTAAATAATTAATTTACCTAAAATTTCTTTCCCAAAAATTATTTTTATTAGAATAATTATATAACAAAATAATGTTAGTATAACACAAATTAATGGAAACATTTTTCCAAATTTGTTAATATAAAATAATAAACAATTTGTTAAACTAAAATTTATGAATTTTATTATATATTAAAATGATATTATATTATTTTAGTTTCATAAATAGGGTTTTCGATTATGGGCCGAACCGAATCGAAGAACCGAGGATTTTTCGGTTCGGTTCTTCGGTTCGGTTTCGGATATCTCAAAAATTTCCTGGAACCGACAACCCTATTCTTAACCTACACTTTTAATGGGGCTTCGCTATACACAACAGATTTGTAATATAGGGAAACGAAATCTTTTGGAAATCGGAACTCGGAAGAAAAGACTTCTAAATTCCGAAACACCTTAAGTATTCATCCCCTTTTTCTGACTTGGAAAATATTTTTATTCTTTCTATATTTTCAACAAAAATTATTTTTGATTATCCAAGTATTAATTAGTTAAATTATATTATTAAAAAACTAACGAATTATTTCCTCCAACTAAAGATTGAATAACTATATAAGTATTATAAGTTGGATAAATTAATGGCATTATTGTTAAAAAAGACCAGTAAAGTTTGCTTTTCTTTTGTTTATACCTTTAATTTAAAATATTTATTTGAATATTTTATTAAGTTTAAAGTGATTAGGAAATAGACTTAATATACATAAAATTATAAAAATTTATTTTAAATTTCACTAAAAAAATGAGTACCAAAGTGGAAAATAAATTCCCAACATTCTATCAATTCCAATAGCCAACATATAAGTAAAAGCTCCCATCATAAAAGAAAAAGGTATAATATTAAATATTATACAAAAATAAATAAATTTTAAATTTTTTTCAAAATTTGGAAGAATATATTGTAAAATATAGGGTATTAACATTATAATTTTGGAAAAAGATTGACAAATTGAATATAACCCGAGAAGTATATGACAAATAGTGTGGAGTTTTCTTAAAAATAATTTTTTAAATTAATTTATTTAAAATATTTTAGTACTTATGTTTAATCGTCAATATAACAATATTTCCGTAAAATAAAAATCCAATAATGTCAATAAATAAATTTATTGTTTTTAAAATAAATAAAAAGTTGCTCATTTTTAATTTAAAAGATTAATTTTTAAATTAGAAAAATAATTGAAAGAAAAATTTTTCTACATAAATATTCTAAGAATTCAGAGTTTATAATTTAAAATGTTTATATAAACTAACAATTTACTATATTAAAAATTTATTTAAGAGAAAACTAACATAGTATTTTACTAAAATTAATTTTCTTTAATTTTTGTAAGCAAAGAATAATTATTTTTTTAAGATAAAAAAGGAAGAAACAATTTTTATTTAATTAATGATTCTAAAAATAATAATTTACGAACGAAATAGTAAATATATTTAATTATTATTTAAGTTCTGTTTGCCATTCAATTGTAAAATTGTTAAATTTCCAAATGGTTGGTTGGCCATAATGTAAAGCATCAATTGTTGAATTTTTCCAACTAAATAAATTTTTAATTAAAAAATATTTTTTTAAAACAGCAACATACTTAAAAGGAGGTAAATTACTTGGACCTCCATGAATAGGACCTCCAATTACCTTTCAAAATAAAAATTAAATTTAAATTCAAAAAAATTTACAAACTTCAAATTGAAATTTATTAAAAAGTTTATAATTAGTTCCTTTATAGTCAATAGTTCCTTCATTTTTAAACCCCATATCTGGTAATTCCCAAGTTCCATTCAATGGATTTAGATCACTTCTTGTAGATATACCTCCCTTAAATTATAAATAAGAACCCCTATTTAGATATCCACAAAATTAGGTAAATACTCCTCAATTTAAGATAAGGGTTTCTTTAATTTAATTGGCCACAGAATTAATTTTCTCGATTAATTCCACACGGAAATTAATATTTCGAACCATCCGTCGAGTGGGGAAGTATTCGAGAGAGAGAGGTAAATTACTTGACCTCCATGAAAAAAACATATCTTAAATTGAGGAGTATTTACCTATTCAAGTTTTGAAATTTGGATGTGGGGAATTATTCTTTCAACCCATTAAAAATTAATCAAGAAAGCCCCAACTATACAATAATATTTTTTAACCCCGAGTGGGCATTTTTAACCCCGAGTGGGCAAAAATGAGGTTCGAATATATTTTTTTGATTAAAAACAAACATCTGCTGTGTATGGTGGGTCACATTTACATTTTGAATATTCATCGTGTTTGTAATCATTATATCTTAAATATTTTATAGATTATTTTATTTCGCTACTCGTTGGAGAGGGTAATTAAGGCTAGAGGTGGTAATTAATTGAGAGGACAGTACATATGAGGAAATATAAAACAATAGATTTATCATTTCTAATAGAGACTGGACCGAGACAGAACCTCGAATAAAAATCTCATTTGAATTAATATTTTTGTCAAATATTTAATTTTAAATAATATAAAAATAACCACCTCATTAATTCCCTTAATGTTTCCATATCTTTAACTTTATTATGATCTCTTTGAAATATTTTAGCTCTAGGTGAATAACCCCAACGCCACCAATTATTAATATTTGCTTTTTCAGTAAATCCACCCAAATCAGAAATTTTCTTTAAAAATGGAATATTATATGATGGCCAATAATTATATTTCCTTAAAAACCAAGTCATATCTCTGCTTACTGTTGTGCCACTTTAAAAAAGAGACAAAAAATATATTAATTTTTATAAAAATAATTTTTAACGGTATTTGTTCAAGAATCCAAAACAAATCATTTTTAGGCAATTCTTCTCCAGGTTTAAATAATTTATAGTCAAGGACCTGAACTTATTCAAATATATTTAGAATTTTTATTTTTATCATCCTCGGGAAGAAAAATTATCATAAAACGAGTTAATCTAATTGAATTTTAAATTATGGAGACTGAACCAACTTAAAGAAAAATTTGTATCCTAAAGTGAGAGATATATTAAAGAATATTTTAGCTCTAGGTGAATAACCCTCTAGGTGAAGCTTAGGTGAATTTGGTTAACTTAAAGTTAAGACCAATTTTACAAAAATAAACTTGCCATCCATTGATTGTTGTATGTCCCAGAATTGTGACTAAAATAATTAAATTAGTCTTATAAAATTTAATTTTATATGAAAAATTTAAATAAAAAAATTACAATCCAAAAATAGTCATCCAATCCTTTGATGTTTTTGCCAATAAATTAGCAATAAATGACCTAACCCAACAATGAAGTTGACCTTCTGGTTTTACATTAGAATAAATAGATTCATTTCCGAGAATTATTGTTGTCTCCATTGAAAGCTAATTTAAACATTAATTTTATATCAAATAATTTAATATACAAACCAATCCAGCACTAGTTATTGTAAAATCATCCTGTGATGCAAGAACAGCTGGATAACCAGAAAAAGCAAGAGTATGCCCGGGCAACTAAATTATCTACTGATTCTAAGAGATCCAATTGAACTCTTAGAATTATTAAAGAATAATTTAAGTTAGCTTTAGTTATAATTAATTCATAAAATTCACTGACATGTCTTTATTTCCTTCAAGTACTTTAATAAATCCAGAGCAATGACTATTTGAAGAATAATTAGTTTTAGGTTTTTTAAAAACTCTATCCAAATCATAAAACTCTCCGGCCATTTGCATTTTTAAAATTGGAGTAATTGCAAATCTAACTCTTGAAAAATAAAATTGTTTTTCTGGGCCATAACCTAAAAAATAATTTTTGAAATAAAAAATAATTTTTATAAAAACACGCAACCGTCTTGAATTCCAGTAAGTTGGGTATATGTCTAAAAATTCCAAAAAAAAAATAATAAAATTAATTTAATAATTACTAGATTAACATGACGCCAATATAAATCTGTTGGGGGGTTTGACATAACCTCAAAAAATATTTTTTAATTAAATTCTTTAAAATTTACCTGTGATTCAATCCATTCTAAATTCAACTTAAGATAGTCAAATAATTTTAAACAATATTCTTTAGCATTTTTACATAATTGGCTAACAGTATTTAAATAATGATAGTGAATTTGTACTTTTGTTAATAAACCTTTAAATTAAAATATTTATTTAAATATTCAAATAAATACCTTCAACAAGTCCAGCAGCATAGGCCTGCATTTCTACTGGGAAATTTGGAAAAGTTTCAACTTCAAGAATACCCCATCTAAATAAATTTATGTAATTAAAAAAATGTTAATGTTAATTTCAAATGCTAATTTCCATTTATAAAATATTGTTAATAGCTTCAGAAATATTGTTAATAGCTAACGTAATCTAAATTCACTAATTGAAATGCCCCACAACATTCTCTGTTAAAGTGGCACTCAGAGATAATATCAAAAAATAGTCCATTCATTTAAAGTATTTACATTAAAGACCGGACCGAGACGAGATTTCATAGAAAATTTTTGGGATCGAGATCAAAATCTGTTCGAAATATAAATCACGATTCTCGAATGACACTCCCATTTCGGACATGATTTTTCTAATCTTGTTTAATTTAAATTTAAATAACCCAGTCTCATTTTGAGCATTTCTATATTTTCCTACGGCAACAGTATAATTATCAGGACATTTTTGAACACTTCCTTCTAATTTATATAAAATAGGTAATGACTCATTACAACAAATATACATAATTCTATATCCAAATAATTTATTTAATTTTGATTTATTTGATAAATATTTTGTTGAAAAATATTTTTGTTGTGAACTAAAAATAATTATTTTAATTAATTAAATAATTAATTAATACTTTTCCAATTTTTTAAAATTTAAAGATTCAATTAAATGATTTTCATCCCAAATATCATTATTTAAATCTCTTAATGATTGTTGAGAAATTCTTTCCCAACAATAAAATTAATTTTAAACAAATAAAAAACTTTTATTTAAAATTAAAAACTTTAAAAAACAGAAGAAGGAACTTTATATAAACACAATTAAATTCTAGAAGAGCTCTGGATATTTGAGAAAGCCCAAAATTATTTATAGTCAGAAAAAAGGGGCGGATTTTAAAGAAAAATAGAATTTTCACAAAAGTACAAAGTGAATTTTAAAGAATTTGAGAAAGTAGGCGTTTTTCTATGAATAAGCATGATTAAAAGGGGAAAATTAAAAATAAATATTTTTAATAAAAAGACAGGGGACAAAATGGTAAAAAGATAAGTCGCCTTTCGCGACATTCGGGGGGACAAGAAAACAGACAAAAAAGCAAAAATATTTTCTATAAATATATAAAAAAATTTTCTTTCTTTTTAAATTTCTTCTTATATATTCGAGCATGATTGAAATTGACTCGCATGTTGAATATCCCACTCATTAGCATGACGAATTGTTTGTTGGATAGCTTCATTAATTAATTCTAGTTTAGTCCAAAATTCAGCTCTCTTTTCCACAGTTCTACATCCATCACGTGGAATTAAACTCAAACAATCAGACGTCAAAGCTCTAATACGTAGAAGGTAACCGGCTTCACGTGAATGAGAACCACGACTATCAGAATTGGACGATTGAGTTTTACATTCACTAACTAATTTTTCTCGTTTTGATTTCAATACTGTATAAGCTTTTTCTTGAACTTTTTTGGGAACAATAATTTGAACAGGAGAATTGTAAAATATTTCTTCAGATATTGGCAACTTTCTTTTGGGAATTTTTGGTAAGATCATCTTTTCTTTAACGTCATCTTCCGTACGCTTGTTTAATATAGAATTTACTACTTTTATTCCAACCTCCTTTTCCTTCTCTTGTATTTTTCGTAATTCTTTTTCTTTATCTGAAATTTGAAATTGTTCACTTTCTATAAAAAATTTTTCTATTTTTTGATCAATTTCTTCAACAGTCTTTTCCTTATTAGAATTATCGTTTAAGTCGGGTCTGCTTGAAACTATTTCAGGACTTTGTAAGCTTTTACAAGGACAATTTTTATTCGAGGAAATGTGACTATTGTAGGTTTCAGATGGGAATCCTTTATTTTTACAATTAGTACAGCTTCTTTTAATTATTTCTTTTTCAATGGACTTACTAGTAGATTTTTCCTTTTGAGCTATTTCTTTTTCTTTTGAAGGAGATTTGTTATCATTAATCGTAGCATGAAGATGTTCAGAATTGTCGGATTCATATTCAATAGTTACTTCAGAATCAGAGAAATCTGAATGCTCACTTTCTTCACTAAAAGCATTGTCAGATAATTTAATTCCTTTTCCACCCTTTATAACTTTTTGAGGAGCTGGTGTAGATTTAGGTGGCATAATTTTTGAACTAAAAAATTTAAAAAATATTTTGAACATAACAATAAACAAATACGTAGGTTTACTAAATAAACCTATTTTAATATAAAGGTAAAATAAAAACATTGTAAAATGAATGTAAAAATAAAATGAACGAGAATAATTCAAAATTTTTCTTTTAAACAATTGTGAGGAAAAATTGTTTAATAATGAATCAATTCTTTTTTTATTTATCCAAAATTCTTCAATTTTCTTTCTCACTAACCACAAAAATTTTTTACAAACCATCTTTTTTGCTGAGATGTTTATTTGAAATGATTCATAGATTAACATAGAATTTTTATATTCTAAATATTTATCAATTTGTACTTTTTCTTTATTAAACTCTATGTATTGTATGTAGGTAAATATTAATGGAGATAAAAGATTTAAACTTTTTATCAATGTAATTTCTGAACTTTTTTCCTTTAATGTAATTTTTCTTGAAATTTTTATGTAAAAAATTTGACTAATTTCTGAATTTTTCTGTATTAGACTTGTGTTACAATAACTTGTGTTAGAACAACCTCCCCCTTCAAAAAACATGAATACAATAACGAATTTTAATAAATATCTGTATACTCGAAAAACAAATTTTAACTTAATTATAATACAAAATACTAAGTAAAAGAACAGCAAAATTCCAATAAGTATTAAAAAATTTTTTATCTGTAACACAAATTCTATTAAGTCCGATTTAATTAAATTTTTTAACATTTTTTCAACATAATTCCAAATGGATTGATTATTTATGTTGTCATTTACTTTAACATCTGAATTAATTACATGTCTATTATTTTCAAATTCCAAAATATCAATTAAAAATAATTTTCCGTTTATTTTCAAATCAGTAGTTCCACCTAAACACTCAACTTTGCAATCTAATTTGATATGAGCGTGATCAAAGTTTAATCTTTGTATTACATTTTCACCTACTTCTGAACATTTAGTAGTAAACGCAATGTCTTTATCACAAAAAATTTCAGCTAAAGCCATTCCATTACTAGTTTTACATGTGAAATTCAAATCAGCTCCGGTGCGACAATTATAACAACCTCCAAATTCTAAAATTTTTACTTCACATTTATTCCAATCATCGACAGTTACAAGTCTTAAATTGTTTACTTTTATTACTACATCAAAAGGCATTCCGTAAATTTCGGAATACACATTTAGACCATCATAATTCAAATCTAATGTCTGTGTTTTTATCGGCAATATTCTTTGAGTATCTAATATTAAACTATCTAATTCTAAATTTTTACATTTACAATCTACTTTTTCATTGTCATGATCGGGGAGACATTCTTGACATATTTCTTCCTTTATATCACATTCAAATTTCTCAGCAGCCAAATAATTTTTACAATGTACATTCGAATAGATATCATCTATTAAAGATACAAATTTTTTATTTCCAATAAATTTTCCGTTCATTTCTGGTTCTGGAGGTAACGAAAATTGAGTAACAGAGATAGTAAAATTTTTATCATGAACTATCATTCCGGGTTGAACTTCGAATAAAGATTCTTGATTTTCTTTTGTTTCTTCACTCAGAAAAATTGTTTCACCACTAAACGTGAATATAGGAATCCATTTACAAGTAAAAACTTCATAAATGTCTGGGTCTGTCGGTTCCACGTAAATTCTATAAAACAGACAACTAGAACCGGTACTCATTCCACATTTACACCAGAGAAAACTACATGAAGCTGAACAACGATTATAACCGGTGTAATTTTTCCAAGGTTCCAATTCTTTAATGTCTTGTTCCCAGTTATTATTAACAATAAGGCAATTATCATGGTGACAACTTCCAGTTTCGGGACAAGATTTAACTGTTTGAATTTTAACTTCATATGATCGTAAATATTTTTCAATAATTGGTTCACATTTCATTTTAAATCCTTCTGGGGTTAAATTTATCTGTCCGAGAATTTTATTTTTATTATCTTTAAGTACTATTGTCTGTCTTTCTTTATTATCTGTCATAGTTAGAGTTTCAACAAAGTTCCATGAACAATCAATTTTTCCATTTTTACGAAAACAAGTTTCAGTTCGAGCAGTCCTTGAAATTATTTCTCCATTAGATTCATTAATAAAAAATAATATTAAGACCAATAATCTTTTTCTGAGTGTCCAACGTTTTTTATTTCTTGACAAATTTTTGTGTTTAATTTTTCTCGGAAAACAACAGCTTATCAATTTAAACGTGTTTTTGAGAATACAGCAAATTAAACAAGCAAAAAAGACAAATGCAATTGTGGAACAAGCTATCAAAAAAAGCGATATGAACGGTGAACAAGTGTGATTGATCATTCTTTCCAAACAAAAATAACATGGAATAAGTTTACACGGATCACTCGGCTCACATTTCACTTCATATTTTAATATATTTTTAGTTTTAGACCAAAAATTCACTTCACAATGATGATGTGTAACGAGTGTTTCCTTATTTATTTCAAATTGAAATTGATCAACTCTAGAATGAGTTGTGCATGGTCCATCACTACAACAAATTTCATATTTATCTATTTTTTCCGGTGAACTAATTAAAATTCCTTTATCATTACATTCAACCAAACAATCATTACACTGTGTTTTTGCTGTAACTATACAAAACATAAATAGTATTAAACAAAAAGTAAATAATATAGTTGAAATGTTTATTAAATTTTTTGTTAATTCTTTACTAATAATATTTATCTGATTCACTGTTTTAATTTCCTTTGATTTTTCTTCAATTTTTTCATTTAAATTTTCTTCAATTTCTTTAATTTTAATACTTTCAGTTTCTTTATTTTCAATATTTAATTCCAAAGGATATAGTTTATTAATTGGTCGTGAGACAATTGTTCCATTTGGCAACAAAATTTTAACATTTCTCACACAACGTCCATCTTTTGTGTCTAATAATTCTACAATTTTTACAATTTTCCATAAATTTCTGGGGACAAATTCTTCCTCCAAAATCACTATTTCACCAACATTAGGTTCTCTTTTTGTCTGAGAACGAGGACCTTTCATTGCCCATTGACTTCTATCTCTCAACCAGATTAAGTATTCTTTTTTCCAACGTTTCCATAATTCATTTAAGAGAAATTCTGTAAATACAAATGAATCTTTATATTTGATTACAAAATTCATTATTGAGTCATCTGTTTTAGGAATTTCTAATTCTAAACATAGATTCCGTTGTGGACATAAAAAATCTACAGGTCGCAAGGGAATTAATCCCGGTACGTCAGGATTTTCATCTATAGTTGTTAAAGGTCTCATATTTAAGATTCCTTCAACTTCTGTAGTGAACGTTAACATTTCTTCCCATTGTAAGGTTCTTTTTCCTAAAGTTTTACGAAAAGCATCTTTGACTAACGCCACAATTCTTTCATATACTCCTCCTTGCCATGGGCTTAATTCTTTAATAAATTTCCATTCTAATTCTTTTCCTATTATTTTTAAATGCACTTTACAATTTTTTGCACAGGCTATAAACGTTTTAGAATTATCAGACAAAATTCTTTCTGGACATCCTCTTCGAGCGGCTAATCTTTTCAAAACATTTAAACAAGTATCGGCTTTTAAATTTTTAACTGGCTCCAAATAAACAGCTCGTGTACAAAGACAAGTGATTAAAGTAATCCAGAATTTTTTCTCTGTATTATCAATTTCTCTATAAAAAGAAGGACCTAAATGGTCTATTCCAATGCTTTTAAAAGGCGAAGTACTTTGAATCCTATCATTAGGCAAATTTGGAAATTTCGGTAGCATAAATGGACTTGATTTCATTTTTATACATTTTAAACATTGTTTGAGTGTTTCTTTTACCTTTCTTCTCGATTGCGGGGTCCAGAATCGACTTAAAAATTCAACAAGTGTACTTTGAACACCAACATGTTTGCATTTTTCATGAATGTTATTTATTAACAATGGCAAAATTTCAGTTTTTTGGAATAATTACTGGGTTTTCTAACTCAAAATTTGCATCACTATTTTTAATCCTTGATTTTAATCTTTTAATTCCAATTTCATCCTCAAAGATTTCCCAATTATTAAATTCATCTATTTTTTCTTTTTGTACTATTTTTATTAAAAGATTTTCTGCGGTTTGTTCAAATTTATCTTTTGATAGAAACAATAATTTATTTTTCCATTTATCACTTTTCAAAATTAATTTAAATCTTTTTCTTAAAAATTTCAACACAATAATCATAACTTTAACTATTTTAGTCCAATTACTGAATCTTTCAAATTTTATTAAATTTATTCCAGTATTTTTTATAGACATTGTAATAGGTGTTTCACAAATGTCTAAACTTTTAATTTCAACTTTTACTTCTAAATCATTTGGCCAATTTTCTTCAACTTTGTTTAACCATATCGGTCCATTCCACCAAAGGTCATTTAAACGAAGCTCTTCTGGTGTAGAACCTCGAGTGCAAATGTCTGAAGGATTTTCATTTGTAGATACATGTTTAAATATAATATCTGTATTTTTACGTATCTCGGTTAATCTATTCTCTACAAATCTTGGTTGTTTTTCTTTAGTATTTAACCAAAGTAAAACGACCTTTGCATCACTCCAAATAAATTTTTTCTCAATTTTAATTTGAAGTTCTTTTTCTACAAACTTTAATGCACGAGTTCCTATTAACAATGCCAGCAATTCCATCCTAGGAATAGTCAAATTTTGTTTCTTCGATCTTATTCTATTTCGAGAATAAATCAATGAAACTTGAACTTTATCATTCTCTTTGCTTCTTAAATAAATAACAGCGGCATAAGTGTCTTTATTAGCATCAACAAACACATGTAATTGGTATTTACAATTTTTAATTATAACTAATCTTGGAACTGTTATTTTTTTATTTATCCAAGACCTTAGTATATTGATCCACTCATTTGAATGAGAGATTTCCAATTCTTCATCCCAATTTTTTGGTTTATCCCATAATTTTTGAAACAGTAATTTCGGATTAACAAGACAAGGCGAGACGAGACCAAGCGGATCAAATAAAGAAGCCATTATTTCCAAAACTTTTCTTCTTGTAAATTTATCTTCAAGATTCGAACACGGAAATTTAATTTCTAAAATATCCATTTTTATATCCCAATTAATTCCTAAGACTTTTTGATGCAAATCCGTTAATTTATCAATTTCAGGAATTTTTTCTAAAGCTTTTCTGGCATTTGTTACAAATTCTCTTAAATTCATCTTTCCTTCAGAAAATACTTTCTTTAAATCAATATATTTTTCAAACACTTCTTCTTCAGTATTACAATCGATAAAGACGTTATCAACATAAATATTCTTAAACAATTTTTCATAACCAGGGAATTTATTCAAATGATGTTCAATAGTCATAGCCAAAAGACTAGGTGAACAAATAATTCCGAAAGCTACTCTTGTAAAACGGTAAATTATTAAATTATCGAATTTTAACGGTTTATTTATATCCTTTAACCATAAAAATTTTGTAACTTCTCTATCAGCTTCTTCCAATTCAATTTGCAAAAAAGCCTTTTCTATATCTGCCAATAACGGAAATTTAGACAATCGAAAACGCATAATCATTCCAGCTAAATCTGGTAATTTTAATGGACCTCGAAATAAACAGTCATTTAAACTTTTATGACCTTTAGATCTGGCAGAAGCATTATAAACTTCTCTAATTTTATCATCTTTAAAAACAGGTCTATGCGGTAAATAATGTTCCAATTCTCCTTTACCTTTGAAAGCCTCTTCAATTATTCCAAGCTTTAATTGGTCTTGTATAGTTTTATCTATTCTTTTTAAATTTTCTAATCCTTGTTCATTTTGTAAACGATTTAACAAAGATTCCAAACATTTATAAGCAATACCATAATTAGTAGGCAAATCGGGAATTTCATCTTTCCATAACCATTTAACTCTATATCTTTTGTCAACTTGTCTAATTGATTTATTAAACAATTCTTGAGCAGTTTCATCTTCGTTTTCTTCGGGATTTTCATTGATACCTATACTTTGTAAATCCCACCAAGATTTAATTTCTGATTCACTAGGCATTTCTTCAAAAGATTTAACAGCCATGTGAGTCTGTACTGGTATTGTCTTTTCTAGAGAAATTTTTTGATTTTCTCCACAAATTACACTTCCGATTGTAGTATTAACCAAATAACAATCTTTCGAAATTTCAGTCTTTTTAATAAAAAATCTCCAAAAATCTTTTACACCTATTAACAAATCAGGTTTTCCAAAGTTTGTAACTAAATTGTTTTTTATATCTTTTAATTTTAAATGTCCACAGATTTCATTTATAGTTACAGAACGTAATTCATTAGCTATTTTATTAATACTTAACAATTCTATCATTTCATTTTTTCCATCTTTTCTTTCAATTCCAAGCAAGTATTTACCAGATTGTTGTTTTTCAGATTTATTTCCTTGAAACGTATAAACTTCAAGAAAGCCTTCTCCTAACTTTGGTAAATTTAATTTCTTTGTTAATTCATCAGTAATGTAAGAAACTTCGCTTCCGCTATCAAGAAATACAAAAATTTCAGTTTTCTTGTCTTGGTTTCTCGGAGAAAATACTTTGACTTTTAAAACCATTAACATTGGGTTCCAAGGTTCTAATAAAGTACTATACGAATTAACGGTCATATTCTGAGTTTTAACAATATTTTCTTCCTTTTTAGTTTCTTCAGGTTGATTTTCAACTGTATTTTTAATTTGACAACAGGAAGTTTTACTTTTCCAACTTTTCCTTTCAAAAACTTTATTTTTGTGCACAGGATTTACTTTTTCGGTCACATAGTTCATTTGTCTATTTTTATTATTATCGAATTGTTTTTCATGTTCAAAATTCCTTTTGGGACATATGGCTGAATTATGAGTTCCATTACAATATGAACAGTTTCTTCTTACAAGACAATCTTTGAGAACATGTCCTTGTCGAAGACATCGGAAACATCTGTTTTGTTCGATCAAACGCTTCTTGCGTTCCTCCAAGCCCAAAACTTTTAAACAAGAATTTGACCAATGGTTCCCGTTGCAAAAATAACAAACAATATTTCTTGCATGTGTAAATACTGGGAAAGTTCTTGCTTGATTTACTTTTTGAAATCTTTGAAAATTTTCATTATTTCTATTTTTATGGTTCATTTCATTTTGGTTACTTGTTTGAGGAACTTGAAAATGTTTTGATGACTGAAACACTGATTCTCTTATATTAACCATACCAACTAGAGCTTTTCTTAATTCATTAGTGTTCCATTTTTTACCTAAAGTCTTTTCTTCTTTAGCAATCTCCATTAAAAAACTTCTATTGAGTTTTGACTTTATCATTGAGGTCATGACTGAATTATTTGTATTTTCACCAATACTTTCTAATTGTCTAAATATTTTTTCAATTTTATCAACTGTATATTTTAACGAAACTGATTTTTCTGTACAAGTAGGTAATCGAAATAATTCTGATTCTAATGCTTCAATTAAAATATTCTTATCACCAAATCTTTCTTTTAATGTATTGACAGCGATCTGGTAATTTTCATTTGTTAACATTAAATCAGAAACAACATTTCTTGCTTCTCCTTTTAAACAATTAAGCAAAAATTTCATTTTATCAATTTGGCTAAAGTTATGTCTATCTATTGAACTTTCAAAACTTTGCCAGAAAGAAATCCAATGATGTGGATCTCCATGAAACTCGGGTAACTGAAGTCTGGGTAATTGTACAGTTAATTCCCTTGTTTCTACATTGTTTGTTTGTGTTACTACAGAATTATTTTCAGAGGTATCTGGATTTCTCTGAATAACAAGTTCATCTATTGAATCAACAATTTCTCTTCCTTTTTCGATCCATTCATAGAAATGTCTATTCTCAACTGTATAATTTTCATAAGCTTGAGTTTCTTTTATTCTATCATCTGGATCTAAAACTTTTAGGAAATCTAACCAAAGTTGGTTCTTTTCATCTAAAGTTTTCAAAATTTTCTGAATACCTTTTCCGTCATTCAGTAGTGATTCTTTCTCTTCATCGTCTATTTCATCTTTTACTAAAATACTTTCTGCATTTTCAATTCTAACTCGCAAACGTTGTAAAACAGTTCCGATCATTCTTTTATATGGACCGGACATTTTCAATTTTAAATTCAAACTCTCAACTTTAATTTCAAATAGATTTTCAACTTTAAACTTCAAACTTTAAACTTAACTTTTAACTTTTCAAATAAATTTTTAACTTTAAACTTCTAAGTTTAACTTCAAATGAATTTTAACTTAAACTTAAAACTTTTAAATATAACTTAATCTTTTAAGTTATAAGTTTCTTTTAAAACAATTTTTCTTTAACTTTTCAACAAACAAAAAAATAATTTTTTTTTACAAACAATTTTAACTTTTGAACAGGTTCGTTCAAAACGTAGCGGCACCACTTGTTGAGAAATTCTTTCCCAACAATAAAATTAATTTTAAACAAATAAAAAACTTTTATTTAAAATTAAAAACTTTAAAAAACAGAAGAAGGAACTTTATATAAACACAATTAAATTCTAGAAGAGCTCTGGATATTTGAGAAAGCCCAAAATTATTTATAGTCAGAAAAAAGGGGCGGATTTTAAAGAAAAATAGAATTTTCACAAAAGTACAAAGTGAATTTTAAAGAATTTGAGAAAGTAGGCGTTTTTCTATGAATAAGCATGATTAAAAGGGGAAAATTAAAAATAAATATTTTTAATAAAAAGACAGGGGACAAAATGGTAAAAAGATAAGTCGCCTTTCGCGACAATGATAACACAGAAGTAGCCAATAAAATAATTAAAATAAATATTAAAATATATTTTAATTTCATCTAAAATTAATTATTTATTTTAGAAAATATTTTCGTTAAATAAAGAAAAATTGGAAGTTATTTAAGAGAATTAAAGAATGTTTTATATTGGACTTCTTCTCTTAGTTTTTACAAACATATGTACATTATCTTCTACGTGTGATAAAGTATCTGGTTGTTTTCGTCTACGTAAGCGGGGTCATAATACACAAACTTATGAAAATAAGATTTAAAAAAAACAAATTTTCTCAGTAATTGTACTTTTTAAAATATTATTGAGAATTTTATTTTTGCCTTTCGTTGATTCTAAATAAACTCAATATGCACTTTTAAGGAAGCTAAAGCAAGAAAAAATCGAATGTCTATAAAAATAATTAAAAAATATTTTCTCAGATGTTATTAACAATTGGACAACCCAACAGTAAATAACTCATTTTAAAAAATTAGAAATAAGAGAATTTAAAAGTTTCTTTATGCAATATTTTTTTAAATTTAATAAATTAAATTACTTAAATTTCCCACAACAAATTTAAAAATTAAAAAAAAATATTTTGAAAATTAAAGAAAAATATTTAAATAATGCTTCTCATGATTGATTAGACATTTAATTTTTTTAATTGTGAGAATTTTAATTTATGTAAATTTTAATAAAAGGCAAAATATAAAATAAAGGTAATTTTAATTATAGCCTTATATTTAAATTAACATTCGTAAATTTAAATAATTTAAAAAATAAAGAAAATAATTAATTAATTATTAAATTAAAATGTTATTTTTATTATTTTTAATAATATTTTTAAATAATTCAAATATTTTTTGTAAGTTTTTTTGTTTAAATTAATTTAATGTTAATAATTAAAAAAAGGTTTATTATTAAAATATCCAATAGAAAATGGAACAGAAAATCCAAAACTTTTGGTTGAAAATTGGAAAGAAAATGTTGTTTATTTAATTAGATATCCAAGAATTTCTTCTTTGCCTGATTTGGATGTTAATTGTTTTAAATTGGAAATTTGGTTAAAATTAAAAGAAATTCAATTTTATGTTTGTTTTTTTAAAAATAAATAAATGGGGAGTTTGTTTTGTTTAATTAATTTAGTGTCATTCGAACTCGAAGAGTTCTTTCGAATGATAAAAAATAGAAAGGAAAAAGAGTGGGGTGTCAGTCAAAGTATTGGCGCTGTTTCCGCCGACTGGCGCTGCTTCCCGTTAGTAGGGTTGAGTCTGAAATTGTGTCTGCTCTTAACGTAAGGAAACAAGCAATCCAATCGAGAAATACTGTATACTTATTTTTCAAATAAATTAAAATAGACATACTGATATTTTTTGAAAAAAAAATTATTGAGAAAATATTTTTAATTTCAAAATAAATACTTATTATTTCTAAAGAGAATTAATAACCAATTTAAACTTGGTTCTCCTCAAAATGGCCAAGTTCCATTTATTCAATTTAATGGAGATTTTATTGAAGGAATGGAAAATATTATAAATAAATTAAAACATTTAGGAAAACCTTTAACCGAAAATAAAAATGAAAAAAAGGTTGAAGAAATTGTTGATAATATATTATTTCCGTATGTTTTTCCCCTTTAAATTAAAGAAAATTTTAATTTTAGAATTTTAATAAAAGACAGAACAACTAGAGATTTAAAAGGAAATGGAGGATTTGATTTTTTAGCAAAAGATAAAGGTATACATCAACAATTGTTACCTAAATTGGAAGAACTTTATAAAAAACCCCAAATAATTGAAATTAATTACAATGAAGCTTTTCTGGTTAAAATAGATGAACAATTTTGGAATGAACTTTTTTGTTTGGAAAAAGGAGTTGAAAAACACGAAAAGGATGATAAGGATATTAATTTATTTTTTGATAAATATATTGATAAATTAGTAGAAGGGGGAAATAAACAAATATTTGATTTGAAGTACTGGAGTGTTTTTATTGATAAAAAGAATGAATGGATTGAAAATATTGTTAAAAAATATTTTATTGAAGGAGAAAATAATTTTGAAAATATGGTTGGAATTTAATTATTTTTATCTTAAAATTTTTATTTTTTTAGTTAATTCAACAAATTTCTTCCAATAAAAGAATTAAAACAATTAATAAAGTTATCAAAAATTTTGATAAAAATTTATCTTTGATTGGAGAAATGATTGTTGGAAATTATTTTATTTTTGGAGAAGAACCTACAAATGTTTGTTTGTATTAGAGTTAAACGGTCTCCGTTTAACCCTACTTTGTATTTACAAAAATTTAAAACAAAAAAATATTTTTTTTCAGGCAGATATTTGTTTATTTGCTGTATTAATTCAATTCTTTGAAGGCCCTTTTTTGAATATTCCACAACTTGATTACTTTTTCCGATTAAAAGGATCTTCAAATAATGTTGGAAGTACTAGTCAAGTTTATAACCAAAAAGGAAAAGGTAAAGAAATTATTAAAAATGAAGAAGAAGAATTGAATGACTTTAAATATAATAAAGAAGAGATACCAAATGAAATTGAAAAAGATGAAATTGAAGAAGAAAAAGAAATTATTGAGAATAAAGGACTTATAATTGAATTTGAAGATGATAGAATTAATATTTTATTTAATTTTGTACAAAATATGAAGAAAAAATTAGGTTTTAATGAAGAAAGTGATTGGCAGAATTTGAGAGAACATCCATGGGAATTGAATTATGAACCTGAGGATTTTTCACAAAAAAGATATATTGGTTTGATTTTAAAAATTATGAAAATTGTTTGAATATCGTTTCAATACAGTTAGAGACCTCAATTAAATGGTAACAGATATATACCATAATTTTCGCCACATTCTTTAATAGAGTTGTCAAATGGGTGCCGGGAATTCTTTCATTTTCATACTCGTTCTAATTCTTGTGATTTACAATTTAAAATTATTTTTTCAGGTCCATTCCAAATAGAAACAGATGAATTACTTGGAATAAATAAATTACTTTTTTATGAAAGAATAATTGATCTCTGGTCATTAATTACTCGCAAAAAAAGATTTGAAAAAAATAAAAGAGATAAATTATGGAAAAAAATAATAAGAATAATAAAAGGCAAAGCAAAACCTTCAATAGGGGATTTTGACGAATTAATACAAAAAATTTTAGAAAAATTAATTTCATATATTCACAGCACTTTTTGGGATTATATTAAAATTAAATATTATGGAACAATAACTCTAAATTGTTTAGCTAGTTATTTGTGTAATTTGGGAAGAGGAAAAACTTTACAGGAGGGGGAGGATTGTAAAGAATATTTTTTTGAAAAAGTAAAAAAATATGGGGAAATTGTTTTTAGAGAAATTGAAATATTTAATTTAAATTCTGCCGAAAGTTTAAAAGAAAAAAAGAAAGAAATAGCTTTAACATCTATTCAGCAATGTTATATTGCTGCTAAAATATCTAATGAATCAATTAAAGAAATTAATGAATTAAAAATTAATGAAAATATAAATGAAGCTATTAAACAATTAAATAATGATGAAGAAGAAGAGAGAAGAAATTAATTTAAAAAATAATGAAAGTTGTGGAAATGGATGGAAAAATATTGATAATAAATTTATTAGTGAAAAACAATGCTAATTTTAATTTTATAAATATAAATATTTACTGAATATTATTTAGGGATTGGTCAAAATCAAAAGTTGATCAAAGATTTTGCTAAATTTTGATTAAAATTATTTTTCTATATTTTACTAAAGTCGGTCAAATTGAAATTTTCTGACTTTAATTTTGACTTGTCAAGTCCAATCCCTGTCAAGCTAATCCCTATTATGTACAACAATCCCCCTCGTATTAAAGGAAGGAGAAGGGGGACATTTTAAGATTAAAATCATTAATTATTAAAAAATACATAAATAAAATATAAATTGAAATTGAAATTTAAAAATTCCTTTCAAATTACATACTGTGTATGTATGTGCAATTAAAATAAACAGTATTTTTCAAATTTTTATTTAAAAATCAAAATAAATAAATAGAGTAAAATTAGATAACATCTAAATAATAAAAATAAATATTTAATTTAATCAGTAAATTGTGTAATACAAATAAAATTAAGGAAAAAAGATAAAAACGATTTTATCAGTAAAAGCTAAATAAACAATTATAAATTCTGCACAAATAATACAAAAAAATAGTCTAAAATGATTTGTAGTAAATAAATATAGTATTTTGTAATCAATTATATTTTTTTAAATAATAAATTTTAATTTTGTAAAAATAATCGTTGAGACTTTACAAAATTAAAGTTTTTGTACACCAAAATTAATTTTTACATTCTTAATTTTTTAAAAATAAAACATATATTTATATTTTCACCTCTATAAACGTGAAAAGTTGTTTACGCAAATAAATGAATTAATTAATATATTTTAACTACCGTATAACCTGTATTAATGTCCTCCCTCAAATAATTACGCAACCTCATTAATTACCCCATACAGCGATGGATTAAAACACGCTCAATTTCAAACCTAATTACTTCCTCCAGCGGAAACAATAATTACCAAGGGTAGTTATAGAAGGATATACGTTACATAACTTATTTCTTTTTATAACCTTTAATTTATTATTTGTCTGTTTAATAATTAATTTTAGATGAAATTAAAATATATTTTAATATTTATTTTAATTATTTTATTGGCTACTTTTGTGTTATCATTAAGAGATTTAAATAATGATATTTGGGATGAAAATAATTTAATTGAATCTTTAAATTTTAAAAAATTGGAAAAGTATTAATTAATTATTTAATTAATTTAAATAATTATTTTTAGTTCACAACAAAAATATTCTTCAACAAAATATTTATCAAATAAATCAAAATTAAATAAATTATTTGGATATAGAATTATGTATATTTGTAGTAATGAGTCATTACCTATTTTATATAAATTAGAAGGAAGTGTTCAAAAATGCCCTGATAATTATACTGTTGCCGTTGGAAAATATAGAAATGCACAAAATGAGACTGGGTTATTTAAATTTAAATTAAACAAGATTATAAAAATTGTTGTCCGAATTGGGAGTGTCAATCGAGAATTGTGATAGATATTTCGAACAGATATCGATAATGAGAACCGAAATTTTTGTTCGACATCTCGTCTCGGTCCGGTCCTATACTTTAAATGAATAAACTATTTTTTAAACTATTTCTCTCTGAGTGCCGCTTTAACAGAGAATGTTGTAGGGCATTTCAATTAGAGAATTTACCTAGATTACGTTAGATTCTTCGGTTTTCTAAAGCTATTAACAATATTTTATAGGTGTAAATTAACATTTCAAATTAACATTTTTTAATTACATATATTTATTTAGATGGGGTATTCTTGAAGTTGAAACCTTTCCAAATTTCCCAGTAGAAATGCAAGCATATGCAGCTGGACTTGTTGAAGGTTATTTGGATATTCAAATAAATATTTAAATTTTAATTTAAAGGTTTATTAACAAAAGTACAAATTCACTATCATTATTTAAATACCGTTAGCCAATTATGTAAAAATGCTAAAGAATATTGTTTAAAATTATTTAACTATCTTAAGTTGAATTTAGAATGGATTGAATCACAGGTAAATTTCAAAGAATTTAATTTAAAAAAATATTTTTTAAGGTTATGTCAAACCCTCCAACAGATTTATATTGGCGCCATGTTAATTTAGTAATTATTAAATTATTATAAATTAAATTTTCTTGGAATTTTTAGACATATACCCAACTTACTGGAATTCAAGATGGTTGGGTGTTTTTATAAAAATTATTTTTTATTTCAAAAATTATTTTATAGGTTATGGCCCAGAAAAACAATTTTATCTTTCAAGAGTTAGATTTGCAATTACTCCAATTTTAAAAATACAAATGGCCGGAGATTTTTTTGATTTGGATAGAGTTTTTAAAAAACCTAAAACTAATTATTCCTCAAATAGTCATTGCTCTGGATTTGTTAAAGTACTTGAAGGAAATAAAGATATGTCAGTTTATCTAATGAATTAATTATCTAACTAAAATTACTTTTTGCTGATTCTAATAGTTTAATTGGAATATCAATAGAATAATAATTTAATTTAATAGATTAATATCTCATGTAACCATGCTTGGATATAAATCTATGAATAGAATCTTAAAATTATATAAATTGGCTTATGGTAGATATAACAGATCAATAATTTTAAATATTAAATTAAAGATCCAAAAGAAGTGCCGGGACATACAATTTCAATTTCTAGCTATCCACGTTCAGTAACTTCTCAAGACGATTTTTCACTGACAAGTGGTGGATTGGTGAGTTTATATTAGGGTCGTACCCCGAACGCCTGTGGGCGTACGGTGTACGAATTTTTCAATAATTAATTAATTTTAGGGAATTTTAGAGACAACAATCACCCTTTCAGACGAATCTATTTATTCAAATATAAACCCAATTGGCCAACTTAGTTGTTGGCTTCGTTCTTTTATTGCTAATCAATTGGCAAAAACTTCGCATGAATGGGTTCTAATTTTTGAACGGTACTTGTTCAATTCTTTCAGAATTCAATAATTAATTTTTATTTAAATATGGAAAATTTTTCGAATTTTTTTTAATTAAATTAACTTTTAGTTTTAATTCTGGCACATTAAATAATCAGTGGATGGCAAGTATTTTTTAACTTTTTTTTAGAAGAATTAAATTTATAATTATTATGTATAAAATCAAAATTTCAGGTCCTTGACTATAAATTATTTAAACCTGGAGAAGAATTGCCTAAAATTGATTTGTTTTGGATTCTTGAACAAATACCGTTAAAAATTATTTTTATAAAAATTAATATATTTTTTTCTCTTTTTTAAGTGGTACAACAGTAAGCAGAGATATGACTTGGTTTTTAAGGAAATATAATTATTGGCCATCATATAATATTCCATTTTTAAAGAAAATTTCTGATTTGGGTGGATTTACTGAAAAAGCAAATATTAATAATTGGTGGCGTTGGGGTTATTCACCTAGAGCTAAAATATTTCAAAGAGATCATAATAAAGTTAAAGATATGGAAACATTAAGGGAATTAATGAGGTGGTTATTTTTATATTATTTAAAATTAATTATTTGACAAAAATATTAATTCAATGGAAATTTTATTTGAGGTCCCGTTTCCATCCAATCTCTATTATCAATGATAAATCTATTATTTTATACTTCCTTATACATATGTAATGTCCTCTCAATTATTTACCACCTCTAGCCTTGATTGCCCTCTTCAACGAGTAGCGAAATAATCTGTAAAATAAATATTTAAGATATAATGATTACAAACACGATGAATATTCAAAATGTAAATGTGACCCACCATACACAGCAGATGTTTGTTTCTAATCAAAAAATATATTCGAACCTCATTTTTAGATGCCACTCGTTATTACAAGATTTTAGCTTATAGTCGGGGCTTTCTTTTTTAATTCCCATGCCAGTATAGGCTGAAAGAATAATTCCCCACACCTTAATTTCAAAACTCGAATATTTTCTCTCTCTCGAATACTTTGCCATTCAACGGTGGATTCAAATATTAATTCCTTAGGGTAATTTTCTGAGGCCAGTAATATTCTCTGGCCAATTAAATTTAAGAAAACCTTATCTTAAATTGGGGAGTATTTACCCAATTTTGTGGATATCTAGAAAAGAGGTTCTTATTTATAATTTAAGGGAGGTATTTCTACAAGAAGTGATTTAAATCCATTAAATGGAACTTGGGAATTACCAGATATGGGGTTTAAAAATGAAGGAACTATCGACTATAAAGGAACTAATTATAAACTTTTTAATAAATTTCAATTCGAAGTTTGTAAATTTTTTTTGAATTTAAATTTAATTTTTATTTTAAGGTAATTGGAGGTCCAATTTATGGAGGTCCAAGTAATTTACCTCCTTTCAGGTTTGTTGCTTTTTTAGCAAAAAAATATTTTTTAAATTAAATTAATTTATTTAGTTGGAAAAATACAACAATTGATGCTTTACATTATGGCCAACCAATTATTTGGAAATTCAAAAATTTTACGATTGAATGGCAAACAGAACTTGAATAAATTATTATTTAATTAATTTTATTTATTTTTTATTTTAAATTATTAACAAATTTTTAATTCTCGGCCATTTTAACAGAATTTTCAAATAAAATCAAAGAAATAGAATGTTTAATTGTTGCCAGGCTAACCTTTCCAAAACACTAATATAGGACACAACCACTCAAAACTAGCAAAAAATAGGGCAATATTTTAAAATTAATTAGAATTTCAAATAAGTTTTATTCTCCATATTTTTCACTAGTTTTTCTTACCGTCTTTCTCAACCTTGGATAATTATAATTTAATTAGTTATTAACATTTTTAAATGTTTTGACAAACAATACTCAGACTTTAGCCTCTCTCCCCATGTTTATCCTCCTCTCCTCCTCATGTTTATCCCCCCTTGTCACTTGATTGCTTGATTGTGAAAAGATTTTTTAAATTGATTTATCCACGTCTTCCTTTAAATTATCGCTAAAATTGATTTCTTTTTTATTTACATCCATTTATTTATTTCCCCACTTAAATAATTTAATAAAAAATATAAATTTAATTTTTTTAATTAAATTGAAATCTGAATTTTTAATTTAAAAATTAATTTTAGATTTTTTAATGATTATTTATTTAAATATTTATTTTCTTTTATTATTTTTTGTTGAGGCAATAGATGAGATTAATGTAAAAATAAATGTAAAAATTAAAAATTGGAAAGAATTAGAAGAAATGAAGGATTTTTTAAAAGAAAATTCTCCTCGTTTTGAAGTAAAACTTTGTAAAATTGAAAAAGAAACAGGAGTAAATATTAAAGAAATAGGAATTGTAAAAACAGAAGATTATGATATTGCTCGTTTTAATTATTTTGAAGATTTTGAAGAAATGATAGAAATTAAAGAGGAGGAGAAAGATGATATAAAATTTACAAAAAATAATTATTTCAAAATTGAAATTTTTAAATTAAATAAAGACAAATCAACTAAGGTTTTTAATTTTATTTCAGTCATTGCCATAGATGAACTAAAATTTATTATCTTCCCTTTTTTCATTATTTCATTACTTTTTCTTTAATTCACATAATTATTTCTTATTTTGTTTTGTAATTATTATTTTATAGTTATTATTTAATCAAAAATTTGATTTGGAATATAACAATGATATTATGGAAATTAATTTAAAAGAGAGAAAAATTATACTAAAAGGATTTGAAAATAATTTTGATAGACCTCAAAAATATATTAAATTTGTAATTACTGATGTTCCCGACGAAGATAAATTTACAATTCATGATATAGAATGCACAAAACGTGATTCTGAAAATAACATTAAACATACAAGTCATTTTTGGCCAGAGAATAATAAACAAGTTGCAATTAGAGAAAATAAAATAGTTTGTCCAGAAAATAAATATACAATTAATTATGAAAAAATTGGAGTAAAAAAATTAATTAAGGTAAATTAAAATTATAATATGTAAAAATTTAGAAAATTAATTTTATTTAAATTTAAAAAATTTTTTTGTTGTGTTTTCTTGCAATTATACTTATAATTTAATGTTTTTATTTAATAATTAAAATACTTTTAGAAAGCTGAAGTTGAATGCAATGATGAAGCAATATTTGAAACTAATGTTTACGAAATTGATGTGAAGGTTGTGAAACAATCTCTTAAATTTAGTAATTGTAAATTAAATAGAAATGAATCAGAAGAGTTATCAGAAAAAATAAATAAAGAAAAAGAAGCAAATCTAAAAAAGCAAAAATCGAGAAAATTAAAAGGAAAAGTTTCTGAAAAAATTAAAGAAGCAGGCAATTTTTTAATTAATATTATTTTTTAAAATTAATTTAATTCATTATAGAAGAAGAAGATTATGCTAATATAACACTAGCCAGTCTTATAAACAAAGATAAAAAAAGAAAAGATAAAGTACACGTACAAGGTGGAAAATTACTTATGTCCGGAATTTCCATCTCCGGAAATTTTGTCTCCAAAATTTTTAAACTTTATCATCCCGGCGGACATTCGTACCCAGTACAGTGTTTTTAACTATATGATTAAAAAAATTTTTACCCAACCGCAATTCTAAAAATAATCATCTGAATTTCGAAATATTCACCTGCTAAAACCACGCACTTCCAGTCTGCAGTGTGGCCGTGCGCAACATTTTGGGGATTATTGTCATTAAATTAAACATAAGATCTGATAGAAGGAATTTGCAAAAATATTTACTTTTAGAAAACAAGTTATTAATTATGCATAAAATAATAGTTTGAACATATTATTAGGTTATTATATAAGCAAAGTATCGTCAGAAATTTAAAAAAAACGTAAAAAACGTAAAAATAAATTTACTGATTAAAATAATTATTAAATTAAAATAAATTGCTGATTTTGTTTACTCTAAAATGAGCCTAATGCTCAATATACACAAAAACAAAAGTGCCATTGCGGGTAGCTGGGCGTCCGAAATTTAAAATTGGAGATAAATTTTCCGGAGAAAAAAATTCCGAACATAACAATAAATTTAAAGGTAAAATTTTGGATATTTATTTATATTTATCTGATTAATTTAAAAAATATTTTTATAAAATTATTTTTGGATAATTATTTTATAAATTTTATATAAAATAATCTATTTTAAAATTTTTAATTCTTATTTATTATTAAAATTATTCAATTAAAAATTCAGAAAATTTAAATTTACTTTTAGATGAAAGTAAAAAACCTAAAAATAATGAGGAAAAAGATGAGGAAAATATTAAATTAAAAAGCAAAAAACAAAAAATGATTAAAGGTAATTTAATTAATTGAGACCCGTAAAATGTTAACAAATAATTTTAATAATCTTTAATAATAAAATGACATTCAAATAGAATTTATTATTTTAAAGAAAAATCTACTCGAGAACATATATTCTTTTAAATTTATAGTAAGTGAAATTAAAGAAGAAAATTCTGCCAATAAAAATTCAAAACAAATTGGTCAAGATTCAAAATCTTCTTCCTCAGCTATAAATGAACATCCGAGTAATTTTTTCAATTATTAAATCTATTTAAAATATGGCTGGACACATAAGGTTAACCGAGCAAGAACCGTCTAATTACTGGTTATCTCCAGCCCTATTTTAAATTTATATTTATTTAACTGAAAATTGTTTTATTGGATAAATTTTCGATGGCATCTTTTAAATTAGTATCTAAACCCGCCTCTAATCTGAAATTAGTGGATCTTATAATTAATTAAAGAAATCTTTTTTATTTATCAAGAAGAGGAAGAAGCAATGATTAATCCCAAAAGTGTCGATGAAGAATTTAACAATTTACATCTAACAGGTTTTTAAAATATTAATAAACTATTAAAATATTTTATTTTCTCATAACTTAGAAGGAAGTAATTTACAGCAACAACCTTCATCTCCAAAGCCTGTAGATTGTAAGAAATATTATCGTAAAATATAATATTTTTATTTAAATAGATGCTTGGCTAATGAATACAGATATTCCATGCCATTCACCCGAATTTATAGACGATGTATCAAATATTGGAGGTGGAATAAACGATTCCGATAATTTACCAAATGATTTTGATGACATTTTTTAAATGATTTATTTATTTTAATGTGTATTTTTAAAGCAAACACGAAGGACAAAATTACCGAGAAATCCATTATTTAAAAAAATTTTAAATTTGATTAACTTGACTTTATATGATAAATTGTTCAACACGTTGAAGACGTTCAAATAAATTTTCCAAAACTCTAAACCAAAAATTTATAAGACTCAAGACAAAAAAATCAAAACAGTCCAAAGTTTTGAGTTCTGGATTTTTAGATGATCAAGAGAGATATAATAATTATAGTCCTTCAGGGATAAAATTTAATCCTAAAAAATCTTGATAAAAACGTATATGTCCGTTTATACAATGCCCTAATATGGATCTCGAATCCCTTAATCCCTTACATATATCCCGAAATTCCAAAAACGGAATATGTAAATAGTCTAAGAATTTTGGAATATATGTATGGTCATAAAATGGATTATTATTTTAAAAAAGAAAAGTACAATTATTTTTTATTTTTTAATCTAAATTTATAATTATTTTTTTTAATTTTTCAAAAATTAATTCAACAACAATAATCACAAAAATTAAATCAAAAATCAGCAATTCTTTAGCTTCCTCAAACAATTCTTTATTGTCCCATTCAACAAAAAATATTTTTTTAAACATATCATTTATTTTTATTTTCTTATTAAAATAATTATTTTTAAATTAAAATATTTAATTTAATATTATGTTGGTGGAGGAAAAAGAATCATTATAGCTTCAATTTCTTCAGAATTACTGCAAAGTTCACAAAATGGAGGGATAAACATTATTTTTTAAGTAAAAACGGAATTTTAAAATTATGAATGAAATAAATAAATATTTTTATTTATTTAAATATTATTTTCTTTTTTGTTTTTTCTTTTAAAAATTCAAATTAAATTAGTATTCCCCCTCCTTCCCACATTCTTTTAAAAATTAAATTTAATTTTAATAAAAAAATTTTATTTCCCACACATTTTTGTGTTATGAAGTTTGCAAATTTAAATAAAAATGTTTTTTTAATTTAAAGTTCCATAATAAACAAAATAAATGATTTAATACACCCACTTATATGTTTATTTAAATTATTTAATTAAAAATAAAAAGTTGCCTTTAAAAGTACATTTTGTGAAATAAAAGAAATAAATTTAAAAATTTTAAAGAAATTCACAATCTAGCCGAAATATTCCAAAATTTATTTTATGCCATCAAAAAAATAATACTTGACCTTGATTGATAAATTAATACAGTTGGAACTCGAAAACACCTCCAAGTTAGCGTCAGATTTTCTTCATGAGAGGTATCGCAGTTAAATTCTGACCGAATTAAAATAAAATATAAATGGAAATGCAAGTTCCAAAAAACAAGAATAATATGTACATAATAATAATATCGTTGACAAAAATACTAATAAAAAATGTTATGACAAACAAGTATTTTAAATCTTTTTTAATCAAAATAGAAATAATTTTTTACAAAACACCTCCATAATAATTCATTGGGTGTGAGATTGAATAGAACCATTACGGAAAGACAACCCCGTCTGTGCCAAAATCAAACCTAATAATGGGTTAATTTTATTTATTCGTATTTTTTCTGCAAGTGCGGACACAACAACCTTTATTATCAAAAAGTTTTTCTAAAAAAAATTCTTGTCATTTAAAAACAAAAATCATTAAAAAAATAGTTTTCTAACAATAAATTCTTTTGAGAAAAATTTTTGTAGCGGAATTGCCCATAAATAAAAAATGACGTGAGGTGATTATTTATTTACCTTCCGTTTTTGAATCATTGCTTATATTGAAAAAAATACCTAAAAAGTATTATTTGAAAATTACTGAGCAGAAAAATGTTTCAACATGAAAAGGACAACAAAAAAAGGAAAACATTTGATTACTAAGGATTTTGGATGAGACAAAAAAAGGGAGGGGAGGGAGGAGGATATTAAATAGATATAAATATAAAAGGAAAATAAAAATAAATAAAAATAAAAACAAACTTTTATTTTATAAAAAAAATAAATATATTTTTTTATTTAATTCTTCAAAAATATTTTTTAAAAAAATGTTCTTTTTCAATAATAACGGAAATACAGAATATGCAGAATTAGAAGCAATGCTACTAGCTAATTTCCCCCCTCCTGTATAACTATTTAATTAAAAAAACAATTTTTATAAGAATAAAACAAGAATCGAAATCTCCAAAAAATATATTGCCTTTCAACATTCTCTGGGAATAAAACAACAACAACAATGACTACTAAATTAATTTGATGATATTTTATTGTTTTTTGTGCAATTAATAAATATGTATATTAATTAAATATTATTTATTTTTATTTGTATATTTATTTTAAGAAAATAAAAATCTTATTAAATAAGGATTTTTATTTATAGTATATCCAAATATGTATAAACAAAAATATTTAATTAAAACGTGATAAAAATAAATATTAATTTGGTATTGTTATTTTTAGATTTTATTTATTGAAAATTTAAATGCCTACAATTAAAAATAAAAATAATTATCTATTTATTATGAAGTAATTAATTAATAGAGTTAATAACTATATCCTTTTTTATGTAGGTCAAAAATATGTAAGAGAAAAAATTCAGAAATTTTCGATATGGTTCCGGGTATCCTTAATTTTCATTTTTGAGTGTAATTAAGAATCGAAAAAGCACAAACATATGGTAATAATACTAAATCTGTGAAATAATATAATAATACTAAATCCGTGGATGGTAGAACGGAAGTAAAACAGTTTTTGGAATTTAAAGTTTAAAATCTTTAATTATTATGAAATATAGTATAAATGTATTTTATTACTAAAATATTTAACAATTTAAAAAAATTAGTAAAATTTCTAAAAAAAATAAATAGGTAGTTGGAATTTTAACGTTATTTAGTTAAATAAATTGAAGAAATAAGTTGAGAGTATTCAATTAAATTTAAATTCTTGTCTAAAACATTTTAATTATTCGTTAAAAACCCTTCTTTTAATTCTTTTTTAGTTCAATATAATCAATTATTTTTTTAATTTCCTTTAAAGTTTAACCGGAAATTTAAAAGAATTACGCAAATAAAAGGACAAAAATAAAATAAATCACTAAGAAAAAATTGAATTGACAAAAAAAGGAAAAAAATTTGCAAATAAGGAATAAAAATAAGGGAAGATTTGGCAAAATGCTGATAATTAGTAAGGATGTGTTGCATTAAATGTTTTAAATAAAAGGATATAAGTTTTTAAAATATCAAATCATTCTCTTAAATATATTCTCAAATAAAATTTAAACTCAAAAATTAAAAGAAAAATGAACAATACTTCATTTTGCCTTGGTGGGGCGGAAGAAATGGAAGCCTATATTTTGGCTAATTTTCCACCTGTAACTTGAAAAAAAGGAAGGAATATTTAACTACAATTAATTAAATAATTTGAAATATTTGCTCTTCTTTGATTGTCTTCTGTTTGTTTTTCAAATGAATGAAATTAAGGAAAGTAAAAAATCATAAACAACAAAAAAACTTGAATGTTGATTGAAAATGAGAATTTGATTTTTGAAAATGAAAATAATTTGATATAATTTTATTTGATATTTTTTATTAATTTTTGTTGTTGTATTTAATTGATAAATAAATTAAAATATATAAATTGTAAATTATTTCCTCTTTATTTTTTTATCAAACTAGAAATTTCGAGATTTAACTTTTGATTAGACCACTTTAAACTTAACAATTTTTTCATGATCTTTCAGACTTTTCTCATGTTTTAGTTTTCATTTTGGTTCTTCTCCTTTAATATTGACAGTCAATCGAAAAACTAATTTTATTAGTTATTCCCGAATTTATTCTCCAATTATCTCCAATCTTTATACTAACTATTAGAATTAAAATTAATAATTTATATTTAAGATAAGTTAATAAGATAATTTTGTTTTTTTTGTTTACCTATATAAAATACATATTTACTAAAAAATATTTTTAATAAAAAATATTTTTTAACCTTTACATCACTAATTAAATATTAATTGTTTGTTTATTTTCTTATTTTTTAAAAACATAATTTCAAATTTAAAAGGAATAATAACATTTTATTTATTATAGACATGCAAAAAACATGTGAATAAATACTATATTTTAATTTAATATTGAAAAATTTTTTTAAATTAAGTTAAAGATAGTTGAACCGAAAAATTGCTGGTAAAATATTTAATTAATTTATGCTTTAAAATTATTAATAAAACGAAGAAATTAATAATTTAAATGACAAAAATTTATAAAAAAACAATTTGAATTATTTTACAAAAATAAATAAAAATAATTATATGTCTCATAGATTGTGTTAAAATTTTTAAGGAATTCTCTGATCGGAAATAAGGTGTATTTTCAAAAATATTATTTCATTGTGATTCATTGGTTATTGAACATTTGGCACCAAATATATTTTTAGATTAAATAAAAACACAAAAATGTACAAATATTTTTTGTACAAGGAAGTGATTAATTATTAATTTTTGACCAATCATTGTAGTAAATAAGGAATTAAATTTAATCATACTACTTTAGAGAATAATTTTAATAAAATGGCAAGTTTTGAAATCACGAGGAATTTAAAAAATATTTATGCAGTAACACTCTCTCAACCATATAAAATAAACAAAAAAATTATTTTTGGCAATAAAATTATTTCTATTTTAAAATTTACTTTTTTAAATTCAACATTAAATTAATTGTATTTTTAAATTAAAAGAATAATGCCTGGAAATGGAAATTTTGGAGCTCAAAATGCTGAAGAGCTTGAAGCGCTTCTACTATCTCTATTTCCACCTCTATAATGAATTAATATGATGAAGAAAAAAGAGAAAGAATTATTTTATTAAATGGAGAAAAAAATAATTAATTAATTTGTTTTGTTTGTTATTTCAAGAATAAATTATTTGAATATTTTTATTTTATTTTAAATAAGTATATAGACATGGGGTTAAGTATCAGGGGTGGGCTTAGTCTCGTATCTCGTAAATCTTCTATTTTTTGGGAGATCCCATATCTCGTTTTATCTCCTGTCTCGTATTTTGTGTGACTCAGCCCACCCCTGTTAAGTATAATTAATAATTAATCCCGATTTAATATTCAATTTTATAAGAAAAAATCATTTTTCAGAATAAATATTTCAACTTTCTTCGCAAGATGTTTACAAAAAAAAAATAAATTTACAAATATAAAAATTTATTTTTGTGTGTACAATCATTTCTCGATCGATTCAATAAAAATAAAAATGCTCACTTTCAATTTTTTGTAATTTGTTTTCTCCCAAATTTAATCCATTTTAACTATTAAATAATCTAAAAAATGATAGGTAAATATTTTAATTTTTTTAAAACAAATTTTAAATTCTATGAAAAATTATTCTACTACTTACTTTTTGTTTATTATAAAATTTATTTCTTTTTTTTATGAGATTTAACTTAATATCATTATTAGTGCAGAAAAAACTTAGTAAGTAAAAACGATCAGACAAATAAATTGCTTAGTAATTATAATCTATTTTTTATCATTGTATAGTAAGTAATTACAATTCCCTCCCTTTTTCCCCATTCATTTCACCAAAAGTATTTAAATAAGTTTTTAATTATTTTATTAACAAAACTTCCTTTCAATTAATTTTTAAATGACCCATTGTTTCACAGCAAGTAGTACTTATGGAACAGATAATTCAACAGAATCAACAACTCCACTCGAGAAAAAGGATGATAATGAAGGGAAAAAAGAGAAAAAAGATATGAAAAGTCAACGAAAAATTGAATACCAGGATTTAATTCTGATGGCTAGAAGTGGACAGGGAGATGCTTGGAAAGCGTAGATTTTAAAATTTTAATAAGAATTTTAAATAAAAATAATTATAAGGATGGCTAACAATAAGTTCATACAATACTCAAAAATTGTGTGAAGTGTTGACTTAAAATTTATTTTTATACCTGAACCCTAAAATATATTATAAATAATTTAATCATTAATTTATTAATCAGAATAGCAAAGGAAAAAGACGGAAATACAAAAGTTGTGGTAATCAAAGCACTCCGCGCTCCTTTCCTCTCTCCAGCTGCAGCTAAATACACATTACGAGAATTGACTTTACTTTCTACATTAAAACATCCTAATGTATATATTATTATATTAAATAAATAAAAATAATTATTTTTTAAAGTTAATTTCTTTATATGATATAAGAATTCCAACAAAAATAAAACCATTAAAGAAATTTGATGAATTACATTTTGTGACGGAATATTTTGGAAAAACTTTAAGTGAGAGAATTTCGGAAAAGAAAAGACTACAAAAAGTTTGGACACATCAAGAACTTTCCTATTGTATAATGCAAATACTTTGTGGGGCTAAATATTTACACAAATCGGGAATTGTTCATAGAGTAAGAAAATTTTCTTTTAATTAATTAGTACCAGTAAATATTTTGTGTTCCGGCTCAGCTTCCGGAACCAGAGTTTTTAGAAGTCTCTCTCCCATGGGTCCAGAATCTATTTTATTCTAATTAAATTTATTAAAAATTCTAAGGATTTAAAACCAACAAATATTGTAATGAATGAAAGGGGAAATGTTAAAATTCTCGATTATGGCATTGCTAGAGATATTTTACCAGAAAATTTAACTCCAGATGCAGGTACACCTTTCTATCGAGCACCAGAATTATTTCTTGGAATTAATAGTTATGACAGAAAAGGTAATTGAATATTTTATTATCAAAAATGATTTTTAATAATTTTTAGTAGATATATGGTCAATTGGTTGTATTTTTGCTGAATTAATTTCTGGTAAAATTCTCTTTACTGGAATAACCTTATCTAGTCAATGGAAGCAATTTATTGAATTACTTGGAAGTTCTCCCTCAGATTTGGAATTTATTAAAACACTAAATCTTAAAAAAACACAACGAACAGTTATTGAGAATATTGAGGAACGTCCTCCAATTGATTGGGAACGTTTTATTTCCGATGGAGCAATTCCTAAACTAATTAGTGAATTTCTTACAAGTAAGAATACTTACTTATTTAATAGTTAATGTCTCAGGAATCTGAATATTAATAAGGGTCGTCTAATTTTCCTCACTAGTCAGACTAGGGTTTGAGCCGGAGGATTTTTGAGGAGATGGAGGTGTAAACGGTTAATTTAGCAACAATGCAAACAAACTACTTAAAATGCATTCGAAAAAGATATGAACACCCAAGTTTTCAGGTGTAAATCAGTTTATTAGAAAATAAAATTATTAGAATATTCAAATCCACATCTCACAAGGATCAGTCCTTTAAAATTTCAATTCTTTTTAAAAAATTCTTAAAAAATACTATAAATTTATATAGTTGGAAATGTTCGTCAACTTCTTTCCTCAATGCTTGTATTAGATCCATTTAAACGGACAGATGCAAATAATGCCCTTTCTAATCATTATTTTGATATTTATCGTGGTTATTTAAGTGCCAATTTACTTGCTAAACCGGAAAAGATTTATGATTTTCAAGCAGAAATTAAAACATTACAAACAAATGGAAATAATTTAGATAAATGGAAAGGTTCTTATTATTTAAATATTTAATAATATTTTTTTAATTTTTAAAGAAATTGTTCTCACAAAAGTTAATGCATTCAAAAAGTCTTGTTTACCTCATTAAAATTATTTTAACTTTTTTTTGTTAAAATTTCAGTCACCTATCTATCTATTTTTTAATAAATATTTTTTAAATTGTATAATTAGAAATTGTATATACAATAATTACTAAAATTTAATAATATTTTAAAATTTTATTCTAAATGTTTTAATTTTAATTCATATTTTTCGATAAACCAATTAAATATTTCTAGACAAAATAATTATTAAGAATTATATTTTGCCGTAACAATTAGAGACCGGACTGGGAGTGTCGTGCAAGAAACAAGATCTCGATAACCGAGATTTTCGATCGAGATCATGACTCGGTCCTGTCTCTTGTAACAATAAAAAACATCTTTTATGTAGTACTTCTTATCAAGTCAAGTTTGGGTTTATAAATTTGATTCTTCCGTTTTTTGTATGTTCATTTCCGCACAACACTCTTTAACATCTCCGCATTTATTCATAATTTTAATTTAAAATAAATTTTACTATTTTATTTTGCACTTTTGCCAATAAATAAATTTTACATTGATTAATTTTATAAATAAATTATTTAGAAAAACATAATCAGCCTTTCCTCTCTCTTTTTTTATATTAAGAAATTTAATGACTAATAAATTAAAATAAAAATTCTTTAAATAAAATTTAATTTTTATTTTTTCATATTTAATAATTTTCCTTTTTATTTTAAGTAAATCACGCTAATTCGGCCATTAATCCGTCAGAAGAAATTCATTTGGATGGTCGTAGTTAAAGTTGTTTTAGGGAAACTCCCAATCACAATTCTTTCCTCTTATACGTCACTGCAGTTGACACAAGCAAAAGTAGACTCGTGATAGGATTACCTAAATCCCGGATCCTAGTATGATATGATTACATCGAACATAATATGTCATTGGCATCCTGGATTCGATGATGTCGATTGAAGTTAGAACTCGTGGTGTACATAGATTATTTAAGTTAAAAATAATTTACATTCTAATAAATTTGAGTAAATAAATGAGAACAATAAATGCCCCCCCCCCCCAATTAATTTATTAGTATTAACTGCGAAGAATAATTATTTTTTAAATAAAAATTAAAGGTTAAAAAGCTATGGCATTAATTATTTTCGCCTTTTATTTGAATTTGTTTAATCTTTATTTAAAAGTCGTTCTTCTTCCACCTCAACCACATTTCAATGAACCTCTTGGTAATTATTCTTCTGATATTGAACATTATTCAATGAATGGAGTTGAGCTGACAAATATTTTACCTCATATGAAAGGTAAGTTTAATAATATAGTAGCTTATGGGTATTTGCGTTTTTTGATTTAATTTCGTAAAAGTAACGCAAGACTAAAATTTAACGGAGGTTTGCGGTCCCAACTCAAAAACAATAACACTATAATATATATTTATTTACACAGATAACCTTCGTATTTATTTGTTCAATAATGCGAATATTGCTTTAATTAAGGCAACAAATATACTTCGTATTTTCCGTACTAACTTTTACGAAGAACATTTTGGTGCACCCAATCGAAGTATTAAATTATATCATTTAAATAATAATTAATTTAATTTTATTTGAAATAACAATTCAATTCCATGAACCAAATGAAAATGTAGAGCATATTGTTACTAATGCAGATGCTTCAAGTAATCGTTATCATCATCATGGTAACGGGCATGCAAATGGTGGGCATATACCAAATTATTTTACACAAGAAATTAATCATTTTGGATATGGGGCAAACAAATATATTTATAAAGTAAAATGGCAACATCTTCAAAATTTAAAAAACATTGAATATATTGAAAAGTTTAAATATAATCAGGAAGGGAAATTTGTTCATTTTACTCAAAATATCAGACTCGAAACAAATGATGGGGCTATTTTGGTAGTTTATCAAAGTCGGATCCAACAGTTCAATATTGACAATTAGAAGATGGCGCTGTCAAAACAATTCAACAAATTTGTAGAAGTTTTGATGAATTTGTAAATATTTTACTATAGAGAGAAGAATATTTCTAATATCCAAGATATGTCCAACATTTTATGATAAAGCTTTCTTTTTATTTTAAAATATGTACATTAAAAATATTTGTAATATATACCGCAATACTTTTCCATTTATTACCTCCACATAAGTCAAAGCTAAAGCCTTTTATTTTTTAATTAAATTTTTTATATGTCGTTTAATGGAGATAAATAATTAAAAACAGCTAGAAATGATGAATAATAACACTAGAAAATTATTATTTTTCATTTACCCATCAGAAATGATTTCCAAAAATAGTTTTTTATCAAATACATAAATCTTTTTAAATGATTTTTTAAATTAATATTTGTGAATTATGGAGAGACATTTTTCAAATAGAACATTTACTTTCGATAATTAAGCTTTAAATTAATTTCATCCCTTACAAAAACTGCTCTTACTGCTTTAGCCATATTCTCAAATAAATTTTTAAAATTATTTTAAAAAATTTTTGAGGAATGTTTTTTTATTTTTATTTATTTTATTTTTTTATTTTTATTATTTTTAATAAAACGTTGCAACAAGAAACAAATCAAAAGAATGATGAAGAAATGGAATGTATGAATGAGATTAGTGAAAAGGAAATAAACGAGAATGAAGCGTAAATCTTTATTTTTAAAGTTTTTTCATTTAAATTTACATATAGCCTAAATTTAGAACGATATTACAATTAAATCTAATGTTAAAATCGGACTTATTTAAAAAATATTATTAAAATATAAATATTATACTCGAGAGCTGAAACTCGGTCTTCTTTTCGACCCGAAACCCGATTCGAAGAAAATTTTTAAGTCACGATCTGAAATCCGATCCAAGAATTTTTTTTCAAAACCCCGATCCGAAAGTTGACCCGACTTTTTGTGTTGGAGGGCGTGGTTTTGGAATTGAATTTAAACCTCAAATATAAATTAACTTTGATTGAAATTTTAAAGAATTCATTTAACAAATATGTGCAATGGTCATTATAAAGCAGATTATTTAATATCTGATCAATGCCTACCTAGACCAGAACATAAACATGTAGAGTCATATAGTTTACATTTTTATAATAAAAAAGGATTTGCTTGTGACAAAAATGGGTAAAAAATATTTTTTAACTTTATTTAAATAATTTAAAATAAAAGGTTAATTATTTGTTTTCCGAGTCAATTGGACGGGAAAAATAGACAAAATGGAATTCATTCAACAATTCAATATAGGATTTTGAATTCACCTAATGTAAATGATAAAATTATTTTTATACTATTTATTTTTTAAGAACATAATTGCCTCAAAATGCGAAACTCATCGAAAAAGATTTTGCCAAAATGAAAAGAAAATTAAAAATAAATTAAATCTATGTAAAGAAGGAGGACCTGCTGATTCACCTTGGCATGGAATTCAAATTAAAACTGACGAAACAAATAATAATTCAATTATTTTAAGTATGTCTGTAACTAATAAAATGTATATAAAATAAATAAATAAAATATATATTTTATTTAAAGTTATCAACTTGGCAAAATTGAGGAATTTCTTATTGAGTTTGGACGAGAAAAAAATGTTTTTTCAAAAATTGTTACCATTTCTGGAGAAGGTGGAGATTTACTAGTTTTTAAGTTAATTTTGAATAATTTTTGGATCATTAAATGTTAAAGCAATTTTTTATAATTTATTCTTGATTTACCTAATTTAAAATATTAATTTTTAGAAAATAAAAAAGATATTGAAGCTGATGAATTACTTCGGAAAGAATTCCTCAAAAAGGCAAATTTGGGTGCTTATTTGCTTAATTATGCTGGAATATGGACTTTAGGCATTGATTTACTTCCAACAATTGCAAAGCAAAATATACACTTATTTGTTTATAGAGGATGCTATTGTTCTATGAAAGCATGGGTTGATTTTTTAATAATTATTTAAGAAAATAATTTTTAATAAAATCTAAATTTCGAAAATTAGACTTTTGTGATAAAAATTAACATACGTTTGGTCAATTATTTAAATTGAAAAATAAGTCTAATGAGTAAAATTCTCTAGGAGGTAGTCGTTATTTATTTATAATATTTATTTTCTAAATATGCACAATTTATTAAGTTTCGAAGACCATACAGAAATATTCCTCAACATACTTCTCGTATCGACACAGGCAGTAATCAATGCCGTTCCAAACATATTTCCAAAACTATTACTCCATTAAAAGGATTTAAGGCAAAGAAAAGTATTGTTATTAAATTAACAACAGATAAATATTCACGCAAAGCTGAATTTGCATTACAAGCCAAAGATGGCTCCAACCTTGTGGATATTTATATTACTAATAAAACAATATTATTTGGTCCTGGAGATGTAAGAATTTATTAGATTAGAATTTTTGTTAGATTAAGTTCGGAAATAAGAATTTCCAATAATTATTTGCTTGAGCGGAAAAATTTGTAATTTTAAAGATAAAACCCTCCTAATAAATGGGTTATAGGATTGCTGAGCTGTTCATCGGAGAGCTATCAAAGCCATATCCCATCCAAGTTTTGCTATTTTCAGAGATGGGTTCAGCTTCTTTACTTCAGCTTATTATTGCATAGTATACATAATTAAAGTATTCTTTGTAGGCTGAAGGTCATTGGTATCCATCTAAAGTGAAATTAACTGATTCCCAAGAAATATTAGAAGCTGGGAAAGAAATTAAAATTACAATTCAAGCATTTGTTTATCACATTGTTATATTAATCAGTGGATTTCCTAAAATGGTCAGCACATTTTGGCCTTTCTTTTGGTGGAAACAAATGCCTTATATGGCTGTTAGTAATGTATTAATGACTGGAGATTTTGCTCTTTTACGATCAGTTGAAATGATTGATTTTGATGTTAAATAATTAAATTTTAATTTTTCTTTTAAATTAAATTTAAGGATGTTGAACATATCCCTTGCCCATTTTCACTACATCTTGATAAAGTAATAAAAAATAAAACTCGAATAGCTTTTCGTGGAATTGTTCATGAAGATGCCAAAAGTATTTCCTTCAATTTTTTGCATGATGCACCTAAATGGCATAAATATTGTAAATTAGAAAATTCTTTGAAAATATCCATTCATTAATTATTTTTAAATTAATATTTTAAGCTAGAATTTTTGGATAATTTTTAAAAAATACATTAAGTGGGTGCTACTGTGATGCATCTAACTGTTAATTTCACCCGTAATTCAACAAGCTGGTGGTCCTTTTATGTAAATAAATTAAATAACTACTTTCTAAATTGAAATTATTTACATATTAGGGAAGACGAGTACAAACTAACGATACAATACCTGAAATTGTTGGCTTTCAAAGAGGAAAACCTTTCGAGTTTATTATTGTTGTAACAGACCATTCGTCAGATGAAATGGGTATTGTTGTAAAATACTCTGCTTTTATAAATGGCGAATTTATTGGCGGAGTTGAGGGTGATCTTCCAATATGGACTATAAATTGGATTAGAGTATAATTTAAATTAAAATTAATTTGGGCTTAGTTCACATACGTAAATCATATTTTCTGTTACTTAATCCTTCCATATATTCAAGATTCGAGTTTATTATTGTTGTTATAATATAAAAAATTAAAATATTAATTAATTTCAATTTTTTAAGGTAACTGGACAAATGACTCTTCTCCAAGAACCAGTCGTCGATTTCTATTTATGTGTAAATATGTGGAAATAATTTTTACATATTATTTTCTAATTAAAATATTTTTTTTAATTTTCAATTAAAATATTGTTATTTATTATTTTAGGGAGAAATGGAACATTTTTACAAATTCCAATTAAAGCATCTGCCTTATTATGGATCAAGGTATTGCTTAGAAGCTACAGTGCCACCTTATAATGAACTGTCAGAAAGAAAAGGATTTGAAATTAATTTCTTTCACGAATCGACAGAATTTGATGAAAACAGTTAATTTCCATTTAATTTCCCAAAAAGCAATTTTTATTTAGTTGGGGATACTGTTCTTCGAATGAATTTTGTTTTTGATATTAAAAATGCTTCGAATGATTTACTTTTTCTTGATAGTTATCAACACAGCAAAAATTCTTGGGATGAACTCGAAATTCATCCAAACCCTATTGGACGCTCTGGAGTGACATTTGACATTAGAATTTATGCAACTTCATTTCAATTTCAAATCAGCATAAATAACGGGATTGATTTAATTAATTATAGATATAGATTACCTCCTTGGGCAACGAATTATATAACGGTGTGTTTTTTATATTTGGAGAATAATGAGAAAATACATATCTCTGAGTTTCTCTTCAAAATTTAGATTTTATGTGGATATAAGCAGTGATTTATGAGGAAAGCCGTTAAATTTAAAAAATTCAATTGTCCATACCTAGGTTTTGATTAATAATAATCTTACAAAAATAAAATTTTTACAAAGCAAGAATTTCTATCACCACCAAAATTTTACTAGATTTTCTATTTTTTTAAAATTTTAGGTCAGTGGAGACATAAATGGTGTATTATTTGGTAACAAATCAAGTAGATGCAAAGCTTATTATGAAAAGGAAAAAAATACAGAAAAAGCAGAAATCCCGTTCCCGACAGATATTTATCAAGTAGACACAAACCTTCCATTAAAAAACGGCGATTTAATTAGCATACAAGGAATTGTTAAATTACCTAAAAAATTTCATGAGAATGCAGTAAATATTAGTATAAGTTTTTATCATGAAGCTCTAGATTGGCATCCTTCTGGTAAAAAAATGTTTAAAATTATTTTAAATAAATAAATAAATATTTAGTTGGACAAACAGTCTTTCAAGCTAATTTCTCAACAAATTATGTTACATTCAATACTTATATGGTATTCTGAAAATATATTTTTTAAATATTTTTTTAAATTAAATTTAAAGGAGGGCTGGAAATTTAACAAAACAGAAGAGCCCATTTACAAACTTCGTAGACCTTTGGCAATTGGACAATTATTTGATTTAGAAATATTTATTAATCAAAAAGAATTTAAAATTCATTATGGAATAATGCAAAAAATGAATTATACACAACAATTACCCTCTTGGACTATTCAATATATTAAAGTAATTATTCTAAGATAAATAGTAATAAATTAATTTTTAGGTTGATAGTGAGGCTTTGGCACATCCACCTAGAGGGCATTATGTTAAAATCGAAAGAATGATGGAAGATTAATTGTTATTAATTATTTCTCCTATATTTTATAACATAAAATTTAAGGCCATCTAATAAATTACATTAATATTAAAAATTAATTTTTATTTAAATATAAAAATAAATAATTAAAATTAAATATTTCTTCCTTTTATTAAAACCCAATTATTTAAAGTATATTCTAAATTAGCATCAATTCTAATTTGTTCATCTTTAGGTAATATAGTTAATTTACTTCCATTAGCAAGTCTAATATCTTCAATGCTCGGTAAAGGAATTCCAATATTAAAAGATGATTTGAAAATAACTTCAAGTATTGGGATACAAACAAGTGAAAATTTGTGAAGAAATCTTTAAAATAAAATAATTTTTAGTTGAAACACCCTGTATTATTAATTGTCTCATCTCCCCTTTCTCTCTCCCTAAATAGATGGGTGTGAACTTCTTCAAGGACTTATCAAATAGGCCCTTGAAGATTTATTAATTAGATTTATCACTTAAAAATTCCAAATAATCTCGACACTTTTTCGATGAGTTATTTCGAATAACATAATATTCTGTCTTTTTATTACACAATGAATTATGGAACTAACTAGTACACAATTCTTACTATGTCAAATCGAAGAAATTAATTTAAATTCACTTTATATTTAATTTAAATTTAATTTAAACAAAACTTACTGTTCAGAAAAGTTCCCAATTGTACTGTTTACTTCAGAAAATTTAACCTAAAAATTTTAGGAATTTTTTGTATTCATTTATTTTCTATTTACCTGTAAATTTATTAAATTCCCTTTTAATCGAGTATTTTCAAAAAATGGTTCAATAATTGCTGTCGAATTTGCTGCCAGTCTAGCTAAAACCTAAAATATATTTTAAATATGGTTGAACTTTTATAACGACACCCTGGGACTGAATAGAGCTCATGAATGATGGAATTACTTTTTTTTAGTTTTGGCCTGATTTTTGGATTTTCTGGTTTTTCAACTATTTTTTAAATTTAAATATATTTTATACATTTTGATTCTCTTGCCACGGTGAAATATGTAAATCAACAAAAAATTCAGCTTCCAATAAAATATTATTTTCATTATATTCTGTTGAAGAAATAAATTTTAAAGTTGGAGGAAGCATTGAATGGAAATGAAAGTCTATATGTTTGTCTGGATATTCACGTGCTAATATTGGGAAGAAAGTGCCCAGACAGATTTGATAAATATGGCAACTGAAAAAAATAATTTTTAAAGAAAAATATTTTTAAAAGTCTGTATTTACTTAATGACGCGAGATATGGAAATAAAATTTTTGAGAAAAATTTCTATTAGAGTAATTTTGATAAAAAGGTTATACGGAGGAATTTAATTTTACAGAAAAAAGCTGATAATTATCCAAAAGATGATAGTTTGAATGAATACCTAGTTTGAAGAAATCTCTTTAATCTCCCACTCGCAAAGTTAGGACCAATTGTAATTTGAAGAATGTCTGATTTATGTAATGACCAAAGTAAACAATTAGGAATACTACTATGAATCCAAATCTTTAAATAATTTTAAATAAAAAATTTCTTTATTATTTATTACAGATGCCATCCATTTAATTCCCGATTCTTTAACTGACATTTCTGTTGAAGGCCCAAACGGACAAGTTTCAGAATTGTTTTGTGCTAAAACATCAGTAAATAATTTGGATTCGATAAATGTGCTGAAAATTTAATGGATAATTTTTATTAGGTTGTAAACTAAGTTTTGAATTCCCCTCCCCCCCCCCCCCCCCCCCTCTTAAATTAAATAAGTTTTGCCTTGTAATTTGAGGATCATTATCAAAAGCATAATTCAAAAAAAGTAAATCACCCAAATCAAAAGTATTTGGAAGCGAAATGAGAAAATTATTTAATTGTCCAAGTATTGTTGAATGAACGATTTGACAAAACTTTTTAAATTTTAAAAATTAAAAAAAAATTTTTTTTAATTTAAAAACTTGATCGTGTAAAACTTCTTTCAATGCATTACTTAAAGGAGTTTTAAATAAATTAATTAACCAAGGAATAAAGCCTCCGCCTATTTCAATTTGTAGTTTATCTACTGTTTAAAATTTTTAAAAATTAATTTATAATTCAAATTTTCTATTTTAGTTTTTGTTTTGTTACGTTTACTCATAGTTTCGTGAAAATTAGGGTTGGGATTTTCGAGTCGGGCCGACGTTCGAGTCTTTTTTTCGGCCTCATTTTTATCGAGCCGGCCCGACCGAGTCTTTTTCAGGCCAAAATTCGATGCCCGACTCGATCTTTCGGACCGGGCCGGATTGGGCCCCCAACCCTAGTGAAAATTAATTTTATATTTTATTTCTTGTTTTGTTTCGTGTCTTAATAAATCGCTCCGTATACATCGAAAATTTTATTTTATAAATTTCAATTAAAAATTTATTTCCTAAACAAAAATTAATGTCCTTATTTAATTGTCAAGTGCCAGCAACGGACAAACAAAAGGGCATGTCTGGGTGATGACTTTCTCGTGTTTTTTTTAAATAATTACTTAATTTAAATGCCCTTTTTAATAAAAAATTATTTTTTTAATTGTCTAGTTAGACAGTCAGAAATTTTTAAAATTTGCACTTTTTAACTAAAAACAAAAATTACTTTAAAAATATTTCAATGGGAAAATAAAAGAGGAAAATTTAATGTCGGTGAAAAAAAAAGATAAAAGAGATAAAAATAAGAATTATGAAATTTTGTTTTTTAAATCAGCCGGTATTTAATTGGCTTTATTTACATCTCATAAAAATAAATTTATTTACTACTAAAAAATAAATTTTTGATTTTAAAAATAAAACATCTCCTTTACTCTAAAAAAATGACTAATAATATTCAAATTTTAATTTTTATTTCCCTCCTTTTCACTTTTGTCTATTCTCTTGAATATAAAGGAAAAATTGTAACTTTTCCTCTTTTAACAAAACATTTAAAAGAAAATGATTATTCAAAAGATTTCACTTTACGTTTGAAATCTTCACTACCCGAATGCCCTATTAGTTTAATGGGAAAAGTTATTGAAGATAATCATAAAAATCGTGAAGCTAAAATAAAAGAAACAATTTTAGCAGAAGAGGTAAAAGAAAATAAAGGAAAAAATGTAGAATTAACAATAACTTGTCATGGAATAAAAGTAAAATGTGAAATTAATGAAGAAAAATTATTTTCGGGAAATTTGTGTGAAATTGGGGTTATGTTATTTAGTAAAGAGGAAAAAAAAGTTTATTTTCATATAAATGATGTTGATGGATATGAATTGGATTATTCTGAAGGAATTGGAAGTTCCACTAGTGGTAAACATTAAAAAAGAGAGGGAGAGGGGAATGTACATATAAGTAAATAAATATTCGAGAAAGAATTTTTTAAAAGAAATAAATTTTTTTATTAAATAAAATTATCCTTTATTAATTTAAATTTGTAAATTATTTAATATTTAATTTAATTTAAAAATAAATATTTAAATCTAACCATTTGCCGCATAACAACTAAAAACTTCAAATTGAGGTCTTTCCTTCTGGTGATTAATTCCCAATTCTAAAGCTGAGGTTATATTCTCTGCAACAACCTGTACCCACCCAGATGTTGAAAACTTTGGAAATATTTAAATATTTTTTTAAATAATTAATTAAATTACTTTAATTCCCAATAACCAATAATAAGCACTCCAATATCCTCTTATTGGGACAATTCCATTTTTTGATACAAATCTGATAGCTCTTGGAGGAGCTAATTGGAAACGGAATTTTGGTGAAACAAATAAAGAAGGCAATATATGTAAATCAGAAACGTTAACTTGTCCTCAAAATAAAATTATTTTTTAATCCAAAAGAATATGTATTTTGTTTTTATGTTAAATATTAGAGATCGAGCTGGACCAAGCTTGGGTTTTTCCTGTACCCAGAGTTCAGACCTTCTTGGGTTTTTCCTGGGCCTGGGTTTTTTCCTAGACTACAGGCCCCGTATCCGGCACAGGTCAATAAATCAAACACCAGAGTCCAGTTCCTGGCTTTTCAAAATCTCGATCTCTATGGAAGATAATACTTTAAAAAGATAATTTGAGTTTTAGTAGAAACTTATGCACCAAAATGTATTTACTAATATTGCTATAGGCGTGATAAAAATTTAAAAATAAAAAAATACCTGATCCAGGTCCATCATCAATTGGAAGTAAAATATCGGGAAAATTAGTTTTAGGTAATTCTTTGTTGACCAATTTATGGCCAATTAAACCAAAAAAGTCAATACCATATTTACTTAGCCTAGCAACAAAATTAGGATTTTGTTGAGATTGGGAAAGGGAGAGACATAAATTTATAGACAAAAATAATGTAAATAAAATAAAATTTAATTTTTGAGGTCCTTTTGACATAAATAAATATTTTCTAAATAATTATTTTTTAAAAAGAAATTTTAGTAAAAATAAAAAGAAGTATTGGGGAATTACTCTAAATTAATTTAGAAATTAAATAAAAAATTTATTTTGTTAAAAACTTTCATTTAATAAAAAATATTGTCAATATTTTAACAAAAATTATTTAAAACGTCATGATAATTTTTGAAAAAAAAGATAAAAGATTTTCTACAGTTAAAATAAAAAGAAAAACTTTCACATATTTTAGATAAGAAAAAACGCAAATAAAAAGCATTCTAAGAATAATTTCTGATAAGATAATTATTAATTACTCATAATTAACAAAAAAGTTAGAACAAAATAAAAGAACGATTTAGAAAAAAATTTAAAATTAAAATGTTATTTCCATTATTTTTAAATACCGGAAATTGTTTATATTGACAGTGATTTTGGTAATTATAAATAAAAAAATTAAAAAAAAGTATTTAAAAAACAGAAACAAAAGAGAAAATAATACTTTGAAATAATCTCAGTCTTCTAGACTCGGCTCGAGAAATTATGAAATTTTTAAATCAGTTTTAAAAATTTTTAATATAAATTATTTTTAAAAATTTTTAGTTTATTTTTGATTTGCTGGCAATTTCTTTAAAATAAATGTATAATTAAGTTAAATTATTATTCTCAAATTCTAAAAAATTTTTTTGCTATAAAAATAATGATGAATACATATAATTTTAATAATAAAAAATATATAAACATAAACAAAAGAAATATTTATTTAATAACAAATTTATTAAAATTATTCTTTGTTGACATTTTTTATAAAAAAAAATATTTTTCCCTATTGCTTAAGGAAAAGCTTTACTTTTTGGACGTATACTCGAGAATAGAAAAATAAAATAAAAAAATATTTTGTCGACAGACTTAATCCCTATTTTTATTTTCTCATTTCCTTTCTCTTCATTTGAAAAAAAAAAGAAAGTTATGTCTTTGGCTTTAGCCTTTAGCTATTTCAATTTTTATTACTTTATTCTCGTTTGTCAATAATTTTTTAGTCGATATTTAAAATGTTTATTTTAATTATTAAACAATTTTTAATTATTTTTATTTTAATTATTTTATTATTTTCACCATCATTTTACTCAATTGTAACAAGAAAAAGAAAATTAATTTGGTTATTTAAAAGACATTTTAAAAAAAAAAATTAAATTTTTTAAAGTAAGAGAACCCCTTTTAATCGAAAAACAACCAATTATAAAGCTTGGAGAGAGCAAATGACTATTTGTGAATTACTTGAAAATTATGACCCGGCAGTTCGTCCATTAGGTCAAGTACCTAATGCCGAGAGACGTGGACCTGTTATTGTAACTACTTCTTTATTTGTTAATTCAATTAGTGCTGTTAGTGAAAGAAATATGGTTATTATTTTAAATAATAACAAAATTAGTTTATTCCTTCCTATCCAATTTTTTGAGAAATTAAAGTATAGATTGTTAAATTCAAGTATAGCTAAAATTATATCACAATGACTCTCTCCAATAGAAATATCTAGCGAGAAAGTTAAAAAATGAAGTTGGAATGCCATTCAGTTTAATTTTAAAAAATTAAATAATTTAATTTAAACTTTGTTCATAAAAATTTCGTATATTTAATCTCTGCAAATGTATCTTTTATCTCAACATTATATAATTAAAACAATATTCAATTTTTTCTAGGAATATGTAGTACAATTCCGTTTTCAACAGCAATGGTTGGATGAACGTTTAGCTTTTAAAATGAGTGAGGCAGCTGATTTACAACAAATTAATCTTGCTAGAGACCAGCCTATTTGGATACCTGATAGGCAAATAAATACCTATATTTAAATTATTTAAAAAATTATAATAGTTTCTTTCAAAATGAACGTAGTGGACATTACCATATGTTAGATCAAGAAAATCGTTTTGTGCAAGTTGATGTTGATGGACGTGTAACTTATAATAGAAGATTAACTTTGACATTAGCATGTAATATGAATTTACTTAGGTATATAATTAGTGAAATTATCTAAGAAAATTTTTATAATATTTCTTTTACTATATTTATGTATCTCTCGATATATCCTCAAAATTAATCTTTAAATTAAATTTTTATAATTATACATAAATACTTAGGTATCCAATGGACGTACAACTGTGTTTGATAGACTTTGCCAGTTGTAAGTTTTTGAATTTATTCAATTATAAATTTTAAAAAATATTTTTCTTAATTTTAGATGCCTATACAAAAAATGATATTATTTATCAATGGGACAATGTCGGTATAGAAATTTCTGATACAGCAAATGGAGCATTACCTAATTTTGAAATTGCTTCATTAGATAATGATACTTGTGATTCTGATACAAATACTGGTTTTTAAATTTAAAATAAAAAATAAAATATTTTGTAAGGATCATATTCTTGTTTACGTGTTCGTTTAACTTTGAGGAGAGTATTTTCATTCTTTTTACTTCAATTGTATATTCCTTCTGCTATGTTAGTTGGTAAGTGAAATTAGTATATTTGGAACAAAATACCGTATATCCTTTAATAACTACCCGGGGTAATTATTGTTTCTACCTTCCGCTGGAGGAGGTAATTAATCGAGGGAGAGTAATTATACGAGGTTTGAAATTTAAACGTGTTTTAGGACACTTGGGGGGGGGGGGGGGGTAATTATTGTTTCAGCCTTTCGCTGGATGCGATAATTAATCGAAGTGGGGTAATTATTTGAGGGAGGGCATTTATTACAGGTTATAGGATAGTAATCTTTAGTGTCATTCCCTACTGAATTTAAGCCTTCGGGATTTGGTAAATTAAACAATCCACATACATAATTATAATCCCTATTAATATCATGAATCTCACATTAATTCTTTTAGAAAATTATCCCTTTAAAGAAATTTCATCTTTTTTAAGGTGTTTCTTGGGTTTCTTATTGGATTGACTGGAAATCCACAGCTGCACGAGTACCTCTAGCTATAGTTACTTTACTAACAATGATTACTCAATCACATGCAATTAATTCCAATTTACCTCCCGTTTCATATGCAAAATCTATTGATATTTGGATTGGTGGGTGTGTTGTAAGTTTTTCCTTCAAAAAATATTTTGATAATTTTTCTACTGAAAAGGTATTTATTTTTGCTTCATTAATTGAATATGCAATTGTTAATTATATGGGAATACTTGAAGAGCATAAACAAATGCGTAAAATAACAATGAATAGAACAAGATTAAGTAATGTATTGGGGGATCAAGTTATTGCAAATTTTGATGAACAGCCAATTAAAAATTTAAATTTTCCAAACGAGAAAAGAGTAAATTCTTTGAATATTTTTTTGGTAAAAAATAAATATTTATTTTTTAGAGTTTATTAAGAAAACAAAGAAAAATGCAAGTCGATTTACGTTTTGAAGACCAAGAGGATGAACAAACAATGGAATTAAGTAATGTAAATAATAATGCTAGTCAAGAACATAAAGAATTATTTCAAAATGTGGAGCCTGGATGGACAATGCAGGTATAATATAGTATAGTAAAACAGAGCTGGGCTATAGCTATTTCTCCCCTTTAGCTAGTGCAGAAGGTTATTCGACGGCTGGGAGCGAACCAGCATCCTCAATAGGCCGCCTAATGCACAGCCTTAGGAATTAAATAGCTAAATATATGCTTTACAATAGATTTTATTTAGATATAAACGCTCATAAAATAAATTTCTTTTTAAGGATGTCACCGATTTAGTTTATTTAGGCCAGAGAAAAAGAGTTGAGGTAATTATTTTATTTTATTTGAAAAATAAATAATTCTCTTTAAAGTTAGTTCGTTGGTGTTCACTTCTAAATGAACGAGGCCGGGCTGAAAGGATAGATATTATTGCAAGAATTTTATTTCCTTTGGCTTTTGCACTTTTTAATGGTGTTTATTGGAAAGTTAGAATTATTTTAATTATTTTTTAAAATAAATATTTAAATTTTTAAGGTTTATTTAAATGATGTTTATGATCAGCATCAAATCATATAATAAATAATATTTTTTTATTTTAAATATTTAATATAAACTCCTATTTTTTTCTTGTTTTTTTTCATAAAAATAATTTAATAAAAAGAAAATATTTTTTCTCTCGTCATTAATTTAATTTCTTCAATTGCTGCTCCTATAAAGTAATTTACTCGGTGGACGTGCAGAATTAATTGCAGGGGGCAAACTTGGCCCAACTTTAATCAAAGTCCTTCTATACGGAGCTACAGTAATTATTGTAGCTAAAGGATTTAAAACTGGAATCCAATTAATTATAGGACCCATAAGCATTGTTAGACAAATAAACCAGTCACTTGTAGCATCAGCAATAGAAGCAAAAGTGACAAACATAAAAACAAGAATGTCGAGAACAGGGATTGATGCCTAGGGAAAATAAAATGATTATTAGTTTAAAGTTATTATTTTTATGGTACATACATTCGGACCTAATTTTTAGGTAATCCCTTGGGGGTATCCACAAAATTTTAAAAATTATCTTAAATAAAACTAACGAATTTTGAGGGTATCTAAAAATTGAGGCTCAATTCCTCAATGGAGATATTGTTATTTTGGCTCCCATACAAAATACCGAATTCTTAAAATATGGAATCTCAAAATCGCGAATCGGCTAAAAAAGCTCAAAATATGGAATCTCAAAATATCGAATCTCAAAATATGGAATCCCAAAATATCGAATCGGCCAAAAAAGCTCAAAATATCGACAATGCGGCAAAAGCCAGTTGAGTCTGAACAATTTTATCAACAACTTCGAAAAAAATTTAAAAATATGCAAAAGGGTTTTTCTAGGGTAAAAAAATATGCTGATTACGAATCTGAGCTCGGATTTTGAAAAAGTCGAATCCCAGACCCGAACCGAGCTTCGAATCCCGAACCGAATTTCGATTTTCCGAATGATAGCTCATTTGAAAGAGCACGTCGAGCTGCATCGACTGACACCAAAATCAATGAAATCCGACTTTATTGGACTGAGATACAGACCCCTGAATAAACTGAAAAAGACCTGCACTCAATTGGCGGCACTCAAACGGCCCTTTTCGTTTTTAAAAAATTCGACATTTTTAATAGAGCTAGGAACGGGTCCGGGACCCGGACCCGTTTCCCGGTTTCCGGGTCCCTTTTCCCGGTTTTTTTGAAGCAACCGGGTTGAAACCGGGAACGGGTTTTCCCGGTTTCCCGGACCCGGTTCCCGCCCGGTCCATTTTTCAAAACCCGTTACCCGGACCCGGTCCCGGCTTTTTTTCACCGGGAAACCGGGAAAAATATTTAGTGTATTTGCGTACTTTGATATTAAATTTTTGAAGGAAAAGGGAAAGGAATATTTATAATTTCTCCATTTTGCTTTTGTTGGTCGATGGTTGAGTGGTTAAGTTGACTGACTTCACTCATCTAGTTATTTTGATAGGGATTGGGTTCGAGTCCATGTATGGAAATGGGGCTGAGAAATTTTCTTTTCAAAAATAAATAATTTTAAACTTTGATTTCAAATTTGAAAATTTTTTTACTGTTTTAATTTTGAAAAAATATTAGAAATTTCAATTAAATCATGAACTAACATTCTGAAGGAACTAACACATAACAACCACTCGGCCAACATATAAGGGCTTTAGAAAGAACATATGTAGTACATATTTCTTTGAATTTTTTCATTAATCCCAAGTACGAAAGAACAAAAGGCAGCAGTCGATGAACGTATTTTTCAGAAAAGGGAATTTGATCTTGAGTTAAATAATCGTGAATGGCATTCACTTACATTAATAGAGGTTATTTAGAATAAGTATAGGAGGATAGATGAAAAATACAGCCCGATGTGGAAAAATAGACCTCCATTTCAACAAATTAAAAATTTCCCGGTTTCCCGGCCGGGACCCGGTCATTTTTGACCGGGTTGAAACCGGGAACGGGTTTTCCCGGTTTCCCGGACCCGGTTCCCGCCCGGTCCATTTTTCAGAACCCGTTTCCCGGACCCGGTCCCGGTTTTTTCAAAATTCCTAGCTCTAATTTTTAACTACTTTTTAGCCGATTCGGTATTTTGAGCATTTTAGCCTATTCGAGATTTTGAGATTCGATATTTTAAGATTCCATATTTTGAGCTTTTTTGGCCGATTCCATATTTTGAGATATTTTTCCCGATTCGGTATTTTGAGCTTTTTTAGCCGATTCGCGATTTTGAGAATTCGGTATTTTGTGCGGGCACGGTTATTTTTATCCTTAAATATTTTTGTTTGTGGGCTTATAACAAGAAAAACAATTTTAAATAAAGTTTTTTCTTATTTACTTGTATAGCCATATTCATAGTCATTTGTCTGTTTAATTCATTTACTCGAGGACAAGTGCTACTTTGTTTTAAATTTCTGCGTATATAATCAACTATTTTTGAAAAACAAAACCAAATAATTAAATAACAAAATATTCCATAAAGAAAAAAACAAGCAAGCCAAATAACCCAACGAATATCTGACTAAATTTTGAAAAAAAAATTAATGTTGGAAATTTGTCTAAATTTTTAATTTCCAATCCCTACAAATACTTAGGCCTAATTATAACTTTAATTATTTCTACCCTATTTCCATAAAGTGTTGGACGCAATGACATTTTTGTTTTATTATTAATTGTTTCTCCCAAAATTCGAAGAATTTGTTCATTTTCGATTTTAGCCTCATAAGATGGATATCCAATCCAATAAAAAAATGATAACAAAACTCCTTCAGCAATTGCAGTTATTGTTAAAATTAAGAAATAACCTCCAGTTTTTATCTCAATATCTCTGAAAAATTTTTATTTTAGAATATTTCTTATGTATCTTAGAAAATTAATTCTATGTAAAGAATCTTGTGTCTATTAGGGTGAGTCAAAAGTTCGCGGTCACTTTGATTTTTAAATTAAAAAGTAAATAGCATTATTATGATCTATATACCAATCGAAAGCCCCAATCCACAGAGAATTCTCGGATTTTTGTTATTTTTATCTAATATCTTTTAGTTTAATTTAAATTACTTATAATAATAGTAGTTTCTAAACCTGCAGAGAATTAAATATCTATAAACAAATTGGACAGCAACTCCAACACTAACAAATAAACTAATAAAAAACCAAAAATCATAAATTAAAATATTCCAAGGCCTTTCCCAATTATTAATTATTCCATTTTCGATAACAATAGCTATACCATCTGCCACAAAAATTATCTTTAAAAATATTTTAAAAATTTAATTTCAATTTTTAATTTACTGGTTGTACTAAATGTCCAAATATTAAAAGTGCCAAATCGCAAAAACTTGTTTGTAAAATTATTTTTGCATAAACTCGCATTTCTTTTGGTGTTTTATTTGCTACTAGCCAAATAACAAACAAATTTAAAATACCCCCAATTGTTAAACAAATTATAGAATTTATATTATAAATTTCTTTTATTGGAAGTAGAGGCTTTAAATTATTTGAATCTTAAATTATTTTTAATTTTTTAATTTTACTATAAAATTATTACCGTTCATAAATGAAGAAATATAGGTAATTTAAATAAAATTAAATAATAATTTAAATACTGAAAATTAAAATATATAATTATTATTTTATTTTTAATATTCTTATTTAATTAATTAAATGAAAAATTAAATGAGTTTGTGGAAAAAATTTAAATAAAAATTAATTTTAAAATACATATTATTCACACACTCAAAAAGTATTTGTTGAAAAAAAATAAATGCTCATTCTCTCCCGGTTTCCTTTTGAATTATGTATAAATATTTTAGTGAAAATTACGAAAATAGAAATCGCAAGTATGTATATGAATTATTTACATATTTAAAGAAATTTTTTTATTGAAGGGAGAAATTAGGGTTGCTCACGACCGGTTATTAACCGTACCCCCGGTTTTCGGTTAATCCAAATTTTAAAAATCAGTCTTAGTTTTAGGCAAATACCGGTTTTATTTTGGGGGAATTTTTAATAAAATCAATCATTTTTAGAAGTTTTCGGTTTTCGGTTTTTTTTAATTTTGTAAAATCGGTTAATTTTTGGCAAAAAATATCAAAATTTTCGGTTTTAAAACCGTCGTGGGCAACCCTAGGAGAAATAAAGAGATTTAACATAAAGATACATATAAAGCTTTTTTTTACCATAAATATAAATTTCCACGTTTCAAACTTTAATTTTCACACACTCAAAAAATTCCAACGTTTTTATAAAAATAAAAATTCAAATAAAATTATAATTATATTTAGCTAATAAAAATATTAAAAATTTCTTTTTATTTAATTATTTTTAGAATGTTATTGTTGAACTATGAACGGTTAATTTCTAACGTCAGGGGAAAATATAATCTGGCATAAAATAAATATTTTTTTCTGTCCATAATAGGAAAAAAATAATTATTTAATATACGGAAAATAATTAATTTATAAAGTAACGAACATTAAAAATAATATATATTTAATAATAATAACAACAAAATACAAACTCTAAAATTGCAAACAAAAATTAGGTATAATCTAGTCTAAATATAGATATAATTCTGGATATATTTGGATACAAATTAGTGGTTTTTATGCGATAAATTTATTTTTTTAAACAAAATATGGAATAAATAAAATTTAGAAAATATGAGGAATTTAAAGAAAATTAATTAAAATAATTATCCTGGGTAATTATTGTTTCAATCTCTCGCTGGAGGGAGTAATTAATAGAGAGGATGTGCTTTATTTAGGGTATATCTCAATTAAATTGAGGCGAAATTGATTTACTTTTTGATATTGAGTCTTAAAATGTTCCAGTAATTGAATTTGATAGTATTTCTTTAAATATTTTTAAAGTTTGAGTAAAATAACTAGGGGGTAATCATTAGAGAGGGTAATTATTTGAAAGAGGGTAATTATCTCAGAATTTACGGTAACTTTTGTTTATTTATTTTATTCCACTATATTTTCCGAGTCCAATACATACATTAATATTGAAAAGTATTTAGTAACTAATTATTTTTTCCTTTTATCTACCAATTAAATAATACAAAATTTATTAAAAGTTTAAGTATCTAAAGTCTAATCTTTAGCATTTCTTTAATTAAGAAATTCAAATAATTAATAGCGTTATTAAAAATATTTGGTTGAATAATTATTTTTTGTTAATGTCGGCAAACAATCTTTTAGGAGTAAATGTTTCTTAAAAATAAGATAGTTTTAAAAATTTGAATCCATCGATAACTTTAACATTAAAGACGGGACGAGAGGAGAAGATAATTGCGAGAAACGCAGAATGGATGCAATCCTATCTTCTGGAGATATGTAAAAATTTATGTTAAGCGCGCACGTCCCAGTTTATGGCTTGACATAAGTCTAGACAATAATTGAAAATTTGAAAGGACACATAAATGAAATATCTTTAAGAGTCCCATTATTTTATATCAGAATAAATAAATTAACCCAATTTCTGTTTTTGTTTAAACAAAATATTATATTTTATTTTTAAATATCTAAAAATAATTTTCTTTAATTTAATATAATATTATTTATTATTTTATTTAATTAAATTTAATTTAAAATCTTTAAAAAATAATTTTATGTTTTAATTAAATAAAAATAAAATATAGCGAAAATAATTTTTAAAAATATTTTACTTGTATTTCACCAAATATCGAAATAGTACCTAAAATAAAAAAATGAAATCACTATTTAAAAATAAATAAAAAAAGGCCTAAAAAGGTGGATATATTTTTTGCTAGTTATTAATTAGAAATTGATACACTAAAAAATAAATAAATAATCATTATTTTATATTAAATTTCATTTAAATAAACAATGTTGAAATTGTTTTGTATAAAAAAATTTTAAAAAATTAATTAAATAGATTTTATAGTAAACCAAAAAGAAATTTTTCTTTATTAAAAAGTTTTCTAGTTAATTTATGTAATAAATAAATATAAATATTTATGCGGTATATAAATTTTGTGCTATACCAGATGTTTGTCTTGAAAGTCCATCTATTGAAGAACTTATGGCTCGGTTTATGCTAAATTAAAGCCACGAAAGCAGTACTAAATTTATCTTTATCTATTTCAATTTTTAAATTTAAGAATAAAATTTTGTGATATTTTTTTTTAATTTTTCTTAGAAAAGTTTATTAATTTAAATAAAAATATATAATCAAATTTCAATATTTTAATTTTTAAAAATGTAAATATTTAGAAAATTAATTAATTAAAATTTATTTATTTTCCCTTTAAAGACTTTTAAAATTTAAATTTTTTTGTTTATTAATCCTTTATTATGATCAATGATTATTTAAATATTTCCTTGTCAATCTTTTTCTTCCGCATCTCGGGATTTTAATTTTTAATTCCTGCTTAGGCATGTGTAAGAGGCAAGGAAACAATAGAGGGGAGAAGGCATTTATTATTTACTAAATTACTTCCTTCCTCCCTCACTTCCCTCTTGTTAAATTCTTTGAATTTTAAAATTTAATTTTAAAAATTAAAAAAATGTTTTTGTCAATAATATTTATTTATTTAATTTTAATTTCTTCTCTTTTTTCTGGAGAGCTACCAACTCCAAAACGTTTATTCCCATCCATTTTACCACCAAAATCCGTTCAACATAAAAAAGACAAATCATTTGAAAAATATAAATTTTCGACTCCCTTTAATGAAAAAATATCTTTTGACAAAGAACTTGAAGCATTAAAAAGGCAATCAACATCGGCAAGCAAAAAATATTTGGACAAAATTAAAACTTTTACAAATGTAAAAGATATATTAAATTTTTCATTAACAAAAGCTTCAGATCCAATTAGCTTGGATGCTTTTAATCGATTTAGTAGAAATTCAGTCGCTGCCTCACCATCTTTAAATTCTAATTCCCAATATTATTCTAAATGGAAGGGATTATCTCGGTTATTAAGTAAAGAGGTGGGGATTTTTAGACAGACATCGAAGAAACGATTAAATGAAACAATAAAAGAAGTAAATTCCCCAAATAATTCAAATGATGGTAAACAAATTAAAAAAACAAGTTCATGGCCGAGAACGATTCCTTCTCCAAGATGTATATCTATGCCTAAAGTTGATAGAGGAAAATACTATTTTGTTGAATTTAGACATGAATTGGTTGATCCTGATCCAATTTATGTTGAATTTGAAGATGATCGACCATTTGATAATGGAGGTATTGCTGAAGTAAGTCGATCAAGTACTTACTGATTTATGTAGTTGAAATCAAAAAAAAAAAGATTTTATTGACCATTTTGTCAATATTAATTTGGAATAATTCTCCGTTGGAATCGCAATTTTTAATTCTTTGTTTTGGGAATCGGGATCACCAAACCAAAAAACGTCAAATTACCGTCCAGAGAAAATTCTCGATTTTATAAGCTGTCCAAATAATCAAAATAATATACCTCCATTAAATAAATAAATAATGATAGGTCTACAATGGTAAATATGAAAAACAAAATGTTGCTGTAAAATTGATAGGAAAGGGAACTGTTCAGTATCCGCCTAATTTAATATGGAGACCTACAATCGACCAAATACTTACTGATCCAAAAAATGAAGTGAAAGTTTTAAAAGAATTTGATAAATATTTCAATGAAAATAAAAAAGTTAAAAGACGTATAATTCAGCTTATTGACTCGTAAATAATTAATTATTTAAATAAAAATTTAATTGAATTATTTTAGAGGATATGTCAGAAAAACTGATTTCCTTCTGAGAACGAACAATTATTTTGCTTTTATTATAATTATGGAGTTGGGGGAAGAAAATTTTTATAAAACAATGATTAAAGGTTTTGAAGAAAATGCAAAAAGTTTTTATAAATTTAATGAAAATGCTTTAATGAAAAAATTAATTGAACCTATTGAAGTGCTTATTCAAATACATAAAGGTTTGTTTGAAAGGAAATATTATTAAATTATTTAATTCTGTAAAGCATATAGCTTATTTAATTCCTAAGGCTGTAAAATAGGCGGTGTGGTGTAATGATAACACATCAGTCCAGTCTACTGAAGATGCTGGTTTGCTCCCAGCCGCGAATAACCTTTTGCACTAGCTAAAGGAGAGAAATAGCTATAGCCCAGCTGATTTACTACATATTCATATGGAATAAGTAAACACTTAAGTGAAATATTATAAGTCAATTTGTTATTTAAAATAAAATTATTAATTTATATTTAATTTTTAGTAGCAATTCATATGGATTTTAAACCTCAAAACCTTTTATATGCAAAAGGAAAAAATTCAATTTTAAAAGCTATAGATTTTGGTGGAAGTGTATTATTGAGGGATAATAATGGAAATAGACGAAACAAAATAATTGTAAAAAATCCTACTTCTTCTCCATATTTTTTACCACCCGAAATTAATTGGCAATACCTTGATTTTATTAAAGACAAAATTAAAAAAAGTTCCGACAAAGATAAATATAGTTTTGAAAGAAAGTTTATTGATATAAATGATAATATTATTGTAATTTTTTATAAAATATTATTGCTTAAAAATTTCTAATCCTTAGCTTTTTTAATAATTAAATTTAAAATATTCTCTGAATATTCATAGAAATTCTTTTTTAAAAATAATTAAAATATTTTTAAAGCAAATTGCTTCAACAAAAACAGATAGTTGGGAATTTGGAATTATGATTTTGCAAATGATACTTCTTAATGATACTGCAATAAATTATGTTGGAAATTCTAATTGGAAAAAAGAAATTGTAAAAAATTAAAAAGAAAAATATTTTTAATTTAATTTTTATTTTTTAAGGTTGAAACTTTGTCTAAAATTAACAATTTTTATACAAATTCTGAGGAATGGATTGAGGGAGGAAAAGAGCAAATGGAATCATTTAAGTCGGAAATAAAATTATTATTGGAAATTAGAATTAAATATCCAATACTTTTTTTACTTTTATCGGTTTGACTTTTATATTTAAAAAAATAGTATTTTTATTTTTAATTAAAATAATTAATAACTGACTATCAATATTTATGAATCCTCACTGTTCCCAACATTATATGTGCATATATTTATTACTCCTAAATTTGGTAATACTTGCTTAAAGCTATCCAACATATCTCTCAGAGAGTCCATGAATTTTGGGACTTTGGACTTTTCCATATCTTGACCAGATCAAAAAACGGCACAAAATCATTGCTAGAAAGGGCACATTCTCTATCGAATGAGATTTTTAGGTCGGACACCTCGCAACCTTTCCCTGTAAACTTAACATTTCTTTATTCATTTTAAAATATTGCCAAAATATTTTTTATTAGGCTTTAACGAATAAATTGCCAGAAGAACGACTATCAGCTGAAGGAATTCTTGATTTTTTGAAGTTCAAATGCAATATAATTAATTTTTTATCATCTAATGCAACTAGTGGTTTCATTAGTATGCTAGATTTGAAAAAACGAAATTTATTTTCCTTCACTGAAGAACAGGTTAAATTATTAGAAAAAGGAGATAAAAAAGAAGATAATATTTCGAATAAATATCATAAATTGAGAATTGCACCTTTATGTGACAAAAATTTTTAAGTGTAAATATATGTATATAAGGACTTTTCTGTTAGACACCCCCACCTTGATTTTCTTCCTCAAAGGTTAAATACCTAGATGCAATTTGGCAGAGTACATACATAATTTTTTTAATTTATTTTATTTTTATGGGTCTTGTAGGATACTTCTGTCCATGGATTTATGGTCTTGATACATGCTTTAACTTTTTGTTCATATATTGGCATTTTAAACTATTAAGAAATAAAAGAGCCCCAATATAACAATAAAAAACTAAGATTGTATTAATACCGAATGGATATAGGTTTAAAGCTAGATACCGTGAAGACCCAGAAAAAAGAAAAATTAATTTTCTGCCCTATTTCTAATCATTCTGTGGATGAAAGGAAATGTTGGTATTATTATAACGGAAAAGTACACAAATGTATCATAATTAAAGATATTAAATATATTTCTATATTTTTCATTTAAATTTAGTAAAATATTTATTTAATAATTTGATTTTTTGTTTTTCAACAGTCTCAGATATAGTCGTTTAAACAAAATTAAAATATTTCAGAAAAAATTGTTTAAATTAATTTTAAGCGTTAAAATATTAGAAAATTTAAGACAAAAAGAGGACATTCTAAATCTTTCCAATGTTCGTAATGTTATCCAGAATTTTATTTTTAATGTAATTATAATTAATTTAAAATTAATATAAAATCACTTCTTTTAAATTTAAAATTCAATAAATAATTAAAATTAATTTAAAAAATTATTAATTATTAAACTCAATAAAAAATTTGTATTTTGTATTTTGAGTTATTTTTTAAAAAATTTTAATTAAAATCTGAACTAATAATTATTCTATTAAAAGATAAAAATAAATATTTACCGAAAAAAAAATAAAAAAATTTTTAAATTAAACTTGATTTTTAAATTTTGACCAAAAAAATAAAAATAATTTTATTTAAAATTGAATAGAAAAATACAAATTTGTATATTTTGGGAAAAATTTTTATTTTAAATTTAGATGGAAATTTTGGATGGAGAGGATTCACCTTCTAAAAAAAGGTTTTTTTGTATAATCAGCTTTAATTTTACCAATTTTTAAATAAAATTTAATTTGAAATTTAAAAGAATAAATTAATATTTTCTAAAAAAATTATTTTTTCTTAAATAAACATTTTAAATTTTATTTTATTTATTTAAAGGCAAATAAGCCCTTAACAAGTATCGAGTAAAAATTTAATTTCTCTCTCTTCATTTAAAAGAATTTTTATTTTTAGAATTGATTTTTAAATTAAGAAATATTTAATATTTTATTTAAAAAAAAATTTTTTAGAAAAAATGTTTTTTATTAAAAATAAATTATTATTATTTTTAATTTTATATTTAATTGAAGTAACTATTCAAGTTAATTTAGAAAATGAACTTGAGAATTTGGAAGAAAGTTTGTTGTTTTAATTAATTTATAATAGGGTTCAATACCGTCCTCAGGGACGTTGGTTCACCGGGGACGGCGGAAAGCTCTCCACTCAGAGCCATCGTCCCCGTCCCGGTGGCAAAAACCACTGCATCTAACGTCCCCTTGAAACAGCGCAAATATTGAACCCTAATTTATAATAAATACATAATTGTTTTATTTTATTTAAATTTAATAAAATAATTAATTAGTTAATAATTTTAAATCATATAAAAATAAAGTAAATTAAAGGTATTAACGAAATATTTAAAATCATTGAAGATAAAAATTTAGATCGGGAAGATAAAAAATGTAAATGTGAAGGAGAATATAAATTTAATTGCACTGAAGGTATTTATTAAATAAATATTTATTTACATAAAATAATTATTTTAAGCTTGTTCTCCAAATGGAATTAGCTTTTTGGTTGAAGGATTGGAGAAAAGCGATTTTGGGTTGAGTTTAGGTAGTTCTGATTATCAAAGAAGTCGAGAGGCAAATGGCAAGTTTAAACAATAATTTTAATTAAAAGAAAAAATGAGTTTTTAATTCGGTCTGGAAATAAAATAAACAGGATATGGAGGTGTTGCCCGAAACGAAACATAGTTTCTACACGAAGCTTGATTCGAAATACGGGAAACCTTAGAAAACCTGATCTGAAACAATTTTCGGTACTTTCTTGTTATCGGCCCTCCATTTTTTCTTCCTTATTTCTCAGCCTACTTTTGTACAGAATGGTCAGATTTTCTTTCTTTCTCAAATTCACTCCGTTTCCCGGTGGCAACAAGGAAAAGATAATTTTTTGAAAGAACAGATTAATTTTTTATAAAAATCAAGATCAAAAAAGACAAAACATACTTTGTCAAAAGGGGAAGTTATCCCAATGACGTAGAAAGTTTACCTGTGAATGTGGGAAGGTGTTCTATTCTAACAATGAGGGAACAACTTCTGTTGGACAACATCCCCGCTCATGTAAGCAACATCTCCATAATTGGAGAAATAGATAGTTTGTTGCCACCGGGGAACGGAGTGAATTTGAGAAAGAAAGGAAATCTGACCATTCTGTACAAAAGTAGGCTGAGAAATAAGGAAGAAAAAATGGAGGGCCGATAACAGGAAAGTACCCAATTTTCTATGGAAATTTTTTCCAAAGAATAAAGAATTCGGGCACTCTGTCTTCCAAAAAATTATAATTTCTACTCCTGTTATGCACAGAGACAAAGTGTGTTAAAACTTTTTAAAAAGCTCCGTCGAAACAAAAAAAATCTTCGAAAATTTCAAGAAAAAAACGTCAAAAATCGAAATTTCGACGGAGCTCTGATCACAAACCAGGGCAATTCGCAAAAAAATCTTAACAATTATTTATGTTAAATATATTCCGTTTAAATTTAAGGCTTTATTCATTGCAATAAAAATAGCTCAGACAACCTAACATTATTGAATGTGTTTTATGATAGTCAGAAAACTCCAGATAATTATGCCCCAGAAGTATATTTTTAAAAACAATTAAAACTTTCTAAAAATTATATTTCAAGGCAATTCGCATTCTTTGCCTCGGAAGTGGAGGAATGGATAATTTTTGTGTTTGTAATAAAAAAGGAGATTGTTACACGCCTGTTAAAAATAATACACCAACTTATGTTGAATTGGCGCCTTATTGTGATCCATATGAAGGTATTAGGAAGGGCCTTTTTCTAGGAATTAAAAGAAGGAAAATAAATTTCAAATTTTAGGTCCAAATGTTTACATGGAACTTTATAAAGGTGAACTTAATTTGGAAAGTGACAAATCCAAATTATATAAACAAAAATTTAACGCCGGTCCTTTTGGTTGTAGCTCTGAATATATGAAAATTTCTGCGGTTAGCTGCAATGGATGTTCAAAAATTGGCCAAGCAGTTCGAGAAAAGACATGTAAAGGGGATTATGTTCCGAATAAATTGGATGCACAAAATATTCGAGATATTTTATTTGGCATAAAAGGAACAACAGTTAATCCATAAAAACTGAAAGAAAAGGATGTGCCAATTTCGCTGTGACAATTTCGGGATGTGATAATTTCGCCTTTCATTTCTTATTGACTTCACCTCTTTTAAATTCGGTTTTGGGAGACCTCTGCTACATATCACTGTTACCGTGGGTACAAAAAATCTTCGGGTACGGGTTTCGGGTACAAAAAAATGCCGGGTTTCGGGCGGCAACCCTGCTACGTATTAACCACCCATCTATTTTATTTTCCTCGTAAAGCAAAATCTTTTATCTGATTAAATATTTCTTTTATTAATTTATTTGACTCTTTTTTGAGTAAATTATTGTAAGGCCGGGTTCATCCTGAAATCACGTGAACAATAATGTCGCTCTAAACTTTGCGCTAAGTAGCGGAAGTTCCCATAGAGAAGGCAAAGAACGCCACAAACAACCATTCCCAGAGAGTTATTAACCGCCCATTATCTAAGCTTAACATCGCCACTAACTTATCCTTGGGAAAGCAATAGGAAAGTAAGCTGGTGTTTATAAGCTTTAATGGAATAGGCAAAGGCAGATCACTTCATTCATTCAACAGAGTTGCCGGCCGGCCAATCCATCCTTGAAGGGAAGAGCGCTCTCCCTATATTCCCCCACTGCGATTCACCTATTTCTATACTCTGCGGAGTTCACACATGATTGCAACATGCGCGTCTCTGCTAAAACATCAACTAAACAACGAGGCACTGGGGAACGGGACCAACCGCTTTACTGGTAGCACCGGATGGTTCCTCACCTTTTGCCGAGAAAATTTTGAGTTAGGAATAGGTTGGGGAATTTTTAAAAGATGGGATTTAGTATTATTATTTGGCCTCAAAATCCGCGGTTCAATTTTATTAAATAATTATTTTTGAATGAATAAATTTTGCGCTCAAAATCCTAGGTCCCCCATTTTGACATTAAATTAATTTTTTGAATGAAAATTTTATAAAATATTAGGGGGTAATTTTAAAGTGATCTATCCTCTGCGGAGGCCATCTATATTTAATTTATTTTGAGAGGAAAACCATAAAAATAGAATTATAATACATAATAGAAAAATAAACAAATTATTTTATCCTCAGTAACCCCCATTTTGATAAATAATTAATTTTTTGAATGAAGATTTTATATAATATAAGGGGGTTAATTTTAAAGTGATCTATCTTCTGCGGAGGCCATTTATATTAAAAATTATTATTTTTTTATCCTCAGTAGTCCCCTATTTTAATGATAAATTAATTTGTGAATGAAGATTTTAGAAAATATGTATAAGGGGTTAATTTTAAAAGTGATCTATCCTCTGCGGAGGCCATTTATGTATATTAAATTTATTTTTAGGAGGAAAATCATAAAAAGAAATAAGAGAATTATAATAATGAAATAGAAATATAAACTTTAATAAATTATTTTGTCCTCACTAACCCATATCTAATGAATAAATTTTTGAATGAAATCTTAAAAAATATAAAGGGGTTATTTAAATTGATCCATCCTCTGAGGAGGCCATTTATGTTACAAATCATTGTTATAAGGAAAACCACAAGAATCAATGAATGAACTATCCGAATGAAATAGGAAAAATAAGGAAAAGTATTCCAATCCTCTGAGGAGGCCATTCACATGAATAATTTTAAGGGGAAACGATAAATTAAATGGTGTTAAAAAATCCTTAAGAAATTTCCCCACATGAAATTTTAACTCCTCGGAGTTTTATTGCTCTTTATTACTTTATTGCAAATGAGCATCAAAAGAATATCATCAAATAAAAAAAACTACATATTTGACACCTCACCAAAATTGTTCTGAATCCCGCGGGATCTTCAAAATTTATTATTTTTAAACTAATGAGCGAATTGATATGGAAATTATTCATCGCTACTTTCAAAGACCTTTAAACAAAAACATGCTTTTTGCATCATTTTTAGGTATTTTAAACATAATTAAAATTTTTTCTGATCTTCACTAAAACTGATCAAATTTTTTTTCAAAAGGAAAAAAAATATTTTTTTTTCTTTTCCTAAGAAACTAATTTGTTTGAAAAATTATTGTTAACAAGCCATTCTTTTCAATAAAATCCATTCTTATATTGATTTTTCCTTTTATTTTCATCTCATTAAAAATAGATAATTTTAATAAATATGAATGAATCAAAACCCTGAGGGGTCCACTTATGTTAAATTATCTATACTAATCAACAAAACTCTTCAAATTTTATTATCACAAGCACTAATTTAAAAAAATTATGTTTGTAAAAATATTCTTTTTAATTTTTTTTTTTAACTTTACAATTTAATTTACGCATTCATTAAAAAAAAGAATTCATGACTAAACTACTAGTAACATACTTTTATCTTCGCAGATAAATCTTAAAATCACGAAAATCAGCATTTTTAAAATATCCAACAATAGAAAGTAAGAAAAAGGTTTAATTTTACAGCCCTTTCTTATAGATTAATCCTTCAGTAAAGAAATTTTATATGTTTATTCAACTTCAGTTATTTTTTATCTCCCCTCGGGGCACAAAAACCCCAATTTCAGTTGATGGGGGAATGTTTTCGAAGTTTAAATTTCTTTAAATGGAGTTCATTCGATTTATCTTGATTAGGGCTGCCGTTTTCGGTTCGAGCCGACGTTCAGTACATTTTTCAAGCTTGTTTTTTTTTTGGTTCGTTTTCGAGCTTGATAAACCACAATACTAAAAAGAGATTTTATAGTTACTCTTATTTAATTCATTTAATGAAATAAGATTCGGTTGTAAAATCATAATTAAAACAAAACTTTATTAATGTTTATTTCTTTAAAAGTTGAAATCTCATTTAACTGATTTCTTGCTCTAACAGTTTTTTTATTAAATTGATAGAATTTAAACAATTTTTTTGATAGAATTTAAACAATTTTTTAAAGAAACAATTTTTTTTAATTTCATTCTCTCATGTAATCCGAATCATATCAATAATTCCCTGCGGGGATTATATATTTTTTGAAAATCTTCAAAAATTTTTGGTTTCAATATTCGATTTCAAAATTGCAAAAAAAACTTATTGGAAGAAGAGCAAAAAAATTTTGATGACTCTTTTTAATCTCTTTTACTGCGTTATCTTTTAGAAATCTTTCTTATTTTACTTTCTAATTTTTATGAGTAATGAATTTCATAATAGCTCACATAAGTTTTCAACCTACCTCTTTAGCAAGGCTCATTTAGACTGAGATGGGAAAAATTAATTTTAGCGGCCTTAATAAATAATTATTAAATAGTAATCAATGAAAGACCATAACCTCCGCGGAGGCCACACAAAATATAGAAAAGATTCGAAACAATTTTTAAGTCAAATTAGAACCAAAATTTTAAAGCCATCAATTTCATTTTTCGGTCTTAATTCTAACGTATTGATCATTGAGCAAAAAATTTTTGCAAGGGAAAGATGTTACATTTTTACACGAGGAAAAATAAAATTCCATAGGTTTTAAAGTTCCATAGGTAAAAAAAACCTTTGCGTGGCATGAACCAATTTACTTCATAACCTGCGGGTTCCATTTAATATTAAAATTCTGAGGGTAAACATTAAAATTTTTATTTATCGTTCTTCGAAATTTTTTCTCTCATTTTTTTCCTTTTTTCAATCTCATTCAATTTTCCCAATATCGAAAATATACAAAAAATTTTAAGGGAAATTACAATTTTTTCTAAAACAAAGTCCATAAAAAAAATCTACATTATTACACATTTCCAAGAAATTTATTTTTTATTTTTCTATTATTTCAAAAAATGTTTCCCACAAGAATTATTACTATAAGCCAAAATAATCTCTTCTCAGTGATCGGAAGTCAATTTTACAATAAAATTTTCTTCCTTTTCATTTTAATGTGAACAATTCCCATATAGTAAAAAAATCATATTACTTTTACAAACATTTATTAATCATACTTTCATAAATAAAAGATTAGTCGTTGGGAAAGCTGGAACAAAAAGCTGATATTTAGCATCTTAATATCATTTATATCCTTCTCCTCATTAATACTTTCATCATTGTGTTTTTTCAAATATTAATTTATTTAAAATTATTTTAATTATTTTTATATTATTTATTTTATTTTTCAGGTTTAAATTTATTATTAATTCCAATCTCGGATAATTCAATGTCTTTTCTTCCTATTGAGGAAAGATCCTCACAATCTTCAAAAAACGATAATACAATCAAAACTCCTGCGGGAGCCATTAATGAATTAAAGAAAAATCCCGAGGGATTCCATTATATTGGTATGCTCACGACAGAAAACGCTCCTACATTCACAATTTTCTCAGGGAATTCGGTAATTGAGTTTGTACGATGGGCCAGGAAATTCAAAGATATAATTGAATGCAATGGTAAGTGGGATGAAACAGATAAAATTGCCCGCCTCAAAGTATGTCTAGACGGAAAGGCAAGAAAAATATTTGACAAAATACCTCAAGCTGAAAAAGCAACTCTCGAGGGAGCCATTAACAAAATAAAAGAAAATTTAGATACAACACAAAATCGTGAACTAATCTTCAAGGCTCTAAGCGTATGTAAACAGAACGAAGGTGAATCAGTAGAGCACTTTGCCTCTAGATTAATTCCGATGATAGAAGCAACGTCTAGAGACCACAATGGAAATGCTTCGGAAGAAATGCTTTGCAGAACCTTCCTGGAAAAACTTAGCCCAAATCTCCAATTTCTCACAAGAACATTGACTGGACCTAACAGAAAGAACTTCGACACCCTACTTCTAAATGCACAAGAAGCAGAACTAATGCTATGTGCCAACACAAAAGCTACTCTCAGTCCGCTATGCCAGATAACCGATCAAAGCACATCAAGCAATATTTTAACATATGAAGAAGAATTGAATGAAGATCTCAAAACTAAAGCCCCGTGGGGTTCACACAATAACTCAACTCATAACTACGGCCGATGGGACAACCAACCAATATGCAGCTATTGTGATAAGGTAGGCCATTTTGAGATTAATTGCAGAAAACGGCATAACCAAAAACAAAATCCAAGTCTGGAAGAAGTCGTGGAAGAACAACTTTTCATCAAACAAATGCTAAAAGAACAAGGTGAAATATTAAAAGACCTTGTCAGCAAAATTAATGATCTAACATCAAACCACTGAGGTGGCCTATAGGATCTATTTCATTCGGGCTTAAGGATCATGTGTATAGGTATTTTAAATGTGTGATTAATCGTAAATCAGACCCGTAATTTCAAAATTCAAAATTTTGAAACCCTTGGAACAAAATAAAAACCAGAAGGGATTTCAAATAGCCAAAAATCTTTAAAGTTCTGCTGCGCTAGGCATTCTTCGAAAAACAAAAACAATAGATTAAAACGTTTCGGACATTCACAATTTATTTATGAAACCAAGAGTTTTTACCACTATGGAAATCAGTTGCACAGAAAATAATAGAAGCAAAACCGATGCTTAAAATCAGAAAAGGAAGTACCAGTAAACAATTTGGACTCCCGCCATGAAGATACACGCCAAAATATTTGTGGAAGGTTCGACTAACGAAATTAATGTCCTCTCGATGTTACGCAAATTATTAATTTGTTTCAAAAATAAGTCCTGCGGGACTCTCACATGTAACAAAAAACGAATGAGTAATTAATTAATTAATTAATCCTACAAAGAAATTAAATCCTGAGGGATTCATTCAAGTAATATAAAATAAAACAAAAAGTGGACCAGGGACGGTCCATTGGAAGGTTAGAGGTGTAGAGGATGGTCAAATCTTAACGACCAGGGACGGTCTATTGGAAGGTTAGAGGTGTAAGGCCGGGTTCATCCTGAAATCACGTGAACAATAATGTCGCTCTAAACTTTGCGCTAAGTAGCGGAAGTTCCCATAGAGAAGGCAAAGAACGCCACAAACAACCATTCCCGGAGAGTTATTAACCGCCCATTATCTAAGCTTAACATCGCCACTAACTTATCCTTGGGAAAGCAATAGGAAAGTAAGCTGGTGTTTATAAGCTTTAATGGAATAGGCAAAGGCAGATCACTTCATTCATTCAACAGAGTTGCCGGCCGGCCAATCCATCCTTGAAGGGAAGAGCGCTCTCCCTATATTCCCCCACTGCGATTCACCTATTTCTATACTCTGCGGAGTTCACACATGATTGCAACATGCGCGTCTCTGCTAAAACATCAACTAAACAACGAGGCACTGGGGAACGGGACCAACCGCTTTACTTTATTTACATAAATCTATTTTTATAAATTAAATTATTAAATTTAAAAATTTAATTAAAATAACTGACGGAAAATTAAGTGCAAGCTCCGAAATTATGAAATTACCGTGCCCGCTCAAAGGATAGATGAATCAAAGGATAGATACGGCTAAAATCGATCAAAGGATAGACGCGGCCAAAAGCTGCTAAAGGATAGATAAGGCAAAAAACGATTAAAGGATAGATGCATCAAAGGATAGATGCGCCAAAGGATAGATAGGGGTAGAATCCATTAAAGTATAGACACGTCTAAAATTGGGTAAAACATAGATAAAGTTTGGAGTCCAGTTGAGTACCAACTGTTGAATGCCTGATCTTTTTTTGTTTTTTTCAGATCTTTGTTCTGATTTCATGTTTCTGTTCTGATTTTTATTTTATTTGTACTTTAGTATATTCGCGGAAAAAGTTTTTGCCGCTGCGGATGAAGCCGGGCATGTCGAGCGGAACGACGGCCGCCGCTTCGCTACGGTCGCCGCGAGCGAAGCGAGCACGACCGCAGCGAAGCACGGCCATCGTGTAGCGAAGACCATGCCCGGCCTACCCTCCGTAGCAGCACAAAAACAGTTTTTCCAGCGAAGATTCAGATTATTAAACATTTTTGTCCAGACTCAAACGACCTATTCAGTAGTCTATCCTTTGATCGCTTTTGGCCGTATCTATCCTTTAGTGCATCTATCCTTTGATGCATCTATCCTTTGATAGTTTTTGGCCGTATCTATCCTTTAGCGCATCTATCCTTTAATTCATCTATCCTTTGTAGGGGAGCCGAAATTACACGTTTGTTTAATTTCTCTCTCTCAATAAGACAAATTTGTAAGACTCAAATAACAAATAAGCTTAAAATTTTGTTAAAAATACATATTTAATAATTTATTGAAATTTTATTAAAATTAATAATTTTTAATAGTAAAAATGAGTGCCTTGGAATTCTCAAATAAAATTTCCCAAGATCCAATTATTTTACAAGATTTAAATTTTAAAATTAGTCAAATAGTTATTGGAAATGTTCAATTAGATTTACATCCAAAAAAAGAAAATTTGCCTTTTTGTCTTAATAATTTTGATTTTATTGGAGCAAAATGTTCGGTTACTTTAATTGAAAAAATTGGGGAAGATTTTAAAATGATTGTTGATTGTGCTAGTCCTTTTGAGAAAGAACTACTTTTTGAAGGTTTTTAGAAAACATAAAATATTTTTAACAAAATTAATCCAAAATTTTAAAAAATCTAATAATGAACCTGACGGACCCCGTTTTTTCCTCCCCAACTTTTTCCTATAAATGTACAAGAATGGTCAGACTTCTTCCTTTCTTCCATCCCATTCTTTTCTTCCATCAAGGAGAAATAAAAATTAAATCTTTTTAATGGTTTGTAACCAAAATATAGAAAGGCAATTGGAATGGAAGAAAAGAAAAAGTCTGACCATTCTGTACATATATAGAAAAAAATTGGGGAGCAAAAAAGGGGTCTGTCAGGTTCAATATTACCAAAAAATCTCTCACAATTTAATTAATTAAGCATTAAAATTAAATGGAATAAATGATCTGTCACAAATTACTCATTTAGTAATTACCCATTGGCATATAGATCATTGTGGTTTAATTAATTTATTTAAAAATGCAAAATTAATAACACCAGAAAATACTAATTTAAAAGATTTTAACCAAATATTTAAAATTCCAAAAAATATTAATTTTAATAAATATTCTGGTCATTCTTGTGGCGATTTAATTGTTTGTATTAATTTAAATAAAAATAATTTGGTTAATTTTTAAAAATATTTTTTTAAATAATTAATTATTTTTTAGAATATTTCCGGTTTAGTTGACAAAAAATATTTTTTAAAAGAAAAAGAAAATTTTAATATTTTAATTTGTGGTTTGATTTTAATTAATTTTAGAAAGAAAAAATAATTATTTTAAAGGAGATATTTTTGAATTTGAAAATGATTGGTTAGGGGAAGAAATTTGGAAAAGTTCTTCTTTACTACCAGATAGACAGTCGATAGCTAGATGGCTTTGTTGGAATAAATCAGATTTTATTATACCTGGGCATGGGCCTGGATTTTCAATTTTAGAGAAAGAATATACTTCTCAGGGACCTGTTTTTGGAAAAATATTTGTTTGTTTTTAAATTAAAGAGATTAAATTTTGGGTATTTTAAATAAAAAATACTGCACTAGTGACCGGCAAAATCATTTTTCCGGGCCCAGAAACCCGATTTTGAATTTTATACTCATGCCGGACCGGATCCGGCCGGATTTTTCTGATTAATCCGGTCCGGGTTTAGTCAGGAAATCTAAAAAACCCGGATTCGGGACACGGTCTCCGGAAAATCCAGCCAGAGTCCCGTCCGTCACTGGCCACTACTATGAGTTATATGCCCCGTTAAGTGAAAAATAGATTTTTGTAGAAGATTTTTTAAAAATTTTTGGACTATTTTTTATTATTTTCAATCCAAATATCAATCAAAAGAGGGAAGAATGGAAGGACAATTTTAATTTAATTTTTATTTTTTCCAGTTTGAATCAGACAAAATTCCAATTTCTCCTCAAAAATCCAAAATAGAAATAAAAGAATTACTTCAATTTAATGTTTCTATTAAAGAAAAACATTTACTATCAATTTATATTTATTTAATTAAATCAATTAATTTAAATATTTTAGTAAATACTGGAGGTATAGAACAAAGAAATTGTTTAATTAAAGGTATATTTACCTAATTAAATAAAAAAATATTTTTTTTATTTTAAGCATTAAATTCAGAAAATCTTTCTCCTTCTTCCATTAATTTTGTTATAATTAGCTGTCCTGGAGAACATTTTTGTGGAAATTTAGCTGATTTTCCAACATCAACAATTTTTATGTGTACAGACATTGCTGTACCTGGTCCTTTTTATGCAACATTTGATCATGTAAATAATTATATTTATTTATTTTAAAAATATATAGAATTTCGTGAAATAAATTAAATTATAATAGATAATGTTAGTGGTTAGTGTGTGGAGTATTTGTATAGATTAGAAATCGAAACCTGGTAATAATGAATGGGTGTTAGATTTTTGTGTAAAATTTTAAAAATAAGTATGATAACCCAAATTTAAATTAGTCTAGTAAATAAAAATCAGAACCGCCCTATCTCCGCATCGAAAGAGAAAATTTTCATAGTAATAAATTTGAGTACCTATTTGGTTTTCGAAGAATATTAAGCCGGTTTCTCAGAATTCCTCTTCGGACGGGTTATTTATATTAAAATTGAATTAAAAAATAAATTTATTTATTAAAAATAAATTTAAGCATTTTACTTTTTTGGATGAAGATGGACAAATAAGTGTTTGGCGTGATTTAAGAACAGATTCAAGTGATAAATGTGTATTATCAATTTTGGTTGATAGAGAAGGGGAAGGAAGGAATTTTGATTTTATTGGAGTTAAAATTGACGAATACCTTCTTACTCGTTTTGGGTTAAATGAAGAGAATATTTTGATTAGAAAAACATTTTATGAAATTCCAAAATGTGCTTGTTAGAATTTTTGTTAGAACTTTATATTTTTATCTTATATGTAATATACTATGTGTATATTTAATTTATTAATAAAATTCCCAGAAATTTACATAATATTTATATAAAAATTATATTTCCTGATGTTTTTTCTTTAGAATCTGAAAAATTAATTAGGTTTTATTAGTGATAAAAATTATTAAGGACAGTTTAATAAAACGAGGGATTGAGGGGGGTGACTTTGCTCGTTTTGATAATTTTAGAATATATTGGAGCATCAATAATTACATTCTAGGGATTTCGATGATTAGATAAAAAAAAGTTATTGACCTAAAAAATGCAAAAGAAGTTCTTTATTAGAATTGTTACCATGGAAATATTTATGTACTACTTCTATTTAAAAATATGTAAATAATAATAAAAATTAAAAAATATTCTTAAAAATTAAAAATGAGCGTTGGACAAGGAAATTGTTCTCTTAAAACAGCATTCGGATTTAGTTTTGCCCACAGATTGGTTGCTGCCGCTTCTGGTTCATTTGATGAAAGTGGTCATGAACAGTTAGTTGTTGGTACAGAAACTGGGAAAATTTGTCTTCAGGGAAGTGGTTGGGTTAAAATTTTTAAAACTTGAAAATAAATTATTTTTTGTCAGAATCTGTATTTCATGTAAATGATAAAATAAATTTTTTGAGTGTCTACAAACACAATAGGAAAATAAAAGAACAATCCATCAAGTCTTCAGATAATTCTGAGTATGATATTGTGATTATTGGCACAAGTGTAAATATTTTTTAATAATAAATGATTTAAATATTATACATAGTAGGACCTCTATTTTACGATAAAAATTATACGTATGTATCAAGGGGTATCCATTATTGGGAGAGCTTTCCTCACCCATCTCTTAACGAATTTTAAAAAATGTATCTAAAATTGAGTGTGTATTTATTATTAGGTGTATGTAGATCTAACCTTATACATATTTATTTTAATTATTTTTAGAATAGTTTAATGGCTTTCGATGTATTTAATAATAAAACAATTTTTCATCGTGAAATCACAGAAGGGGTGAATTTCATTAAAGTTAATGAAGCATTTAAATATTTTTAATAATAATAAAAATTTTAAGATTGGAAATATAGATGAATATAAAAATGAAAATGTTATTATTTGTGGGTGTGGAACAACTATTTGGGGTTGAAATAATTATTGAAATTATTTTAAAATTAATTTTGATTAATTTTTAGGTTTCCAATTAGATGGAAAGGACTTATTTTGGACTGCTCTTGGTGATCAAATTAATGTGTTAGAACTGTGTGATATGGATGGGGATGGTCTAAATGAAGTTTATAAATAATGATAAATATTTTATTTATTCTATTATTTCTTTAGCTAATTGTAGGCACAGATGGAATTGAAATTAAGGCAAAAATATATACCTATTTTTATAAATTAAAAATATTTTTAAAGGTTCTTAAAAACGCTTCCTTTTTTGCTGAATTCGATGAAGGAGACCCAACATTAGCTATTATTGCTATAAAGTTAATTTTTGTTTTTACTTAGTAATTATATTTGTTAGTATCTTAACAACCCCCTCCCCACTCCCCTATTAAAATGTTTAGGCCAGCAACTTTTGCTTTTGGCCTTTCATCTGGTGTTGTTGGTGTTTATGGACAAGGTGAACGTCTTTGGCGTGTCAAAACAAAATCAAGAATTGTATCCTTACTTTCATTTCCTGATCAAAATCACGTTGCCTGTGTTTGGCAAAATGCAAAAGTAAATAAAATAAAAAATATTTTTGACAATAATATTCTTCTTTTAATTCCCCTGAGATTGATATTCGTTCTGTATCTACTGGAGAGATTCGTACAAAAGATCAATTAGAAGGCGGAGAATTAAGTATAGCTTTTTTGGTGGATTTAGCTGGCGTTGGTCCTTTGGATTCAGGAGAGGAACAGCCTCAATTAACATTAGTTTTTAAAAACGGACAAGGCTTTTAATAATTAAAATTTTTGTGGTTTATTTCCATTTATAGTTCGTGCTTTGGAATTTAGAAGTGATCCAAGTTCAGTTGATGAAGGCCAGCAACTTCGCGAAATAAATCAACGCAAACATGCATTACTGGTTAATTTAAATCAAATAAAATTTAAAAAATATTTTGTTTAATATTGACTCTCCCTTTATTCCCTGAGGGAATCGACGAGAAGTAATACTGTAATAGGAGTGTATTATTTTAATAATGACATCTCGGCTTTGAAGAAAATATACGTGATATTAATGGAAATTTATTTTTTACAGGAAGAATTAAGAGTTTACGAACGTCCCAATGCTGGAGGTACCGAGGATCCCACAGAGAGAATTCCTTTGGAATATTCCATGGTGCCTGTTGGGACTTCACTTAGTTAGTCTTTATTTCTCCTAATTTTTAATTTTGTATTTTCAATAATTTTTGGTTGTATTCTGGATTTGTCTGGAGGATTGTCATCAACATTTAGCATAGGTCGAAGCAGCATTTCTAGTAATATTAGTGAAATTTCTGGAGCTATTCGTGAAAGGGAATCGCTTTGTTTAAGACTAACACTTTCTAATGAAGTACCAATTCGAGCTGCACTTCTCTTTGCTGAAGGAATTTTTGATTCTGAATGTTATACTGTGTAAGGAATTTTTGAAATAATCCAAACACATCAGGGTGGCCTTTTCCAAACCACTAAAATCTAACTCTAATAATAAACCGACAGTCTCTTTTTCAGTGCCGCGGGCAAAAATTTTGAAAATTTATAAAGTTAAGAAGCAGATTTTTTCCTTTTTTAGCGCCGCAGGCGAAAATTTTGGGATTTTAAAGTCAGATTTCATTGATTTTCGCATTTTATTCAAATAATGCCAGAAAATTTGAAAAATTTTAAAAATTGATAAAAATAGGGCAAAATATGGTAAATGTACAAAATAGGGAAAAAATAGGGCGAAAAGATCAAAAATAGGGAAAATGCCCTGTAAATAAGGCAAAAGGGACACACAGGCCTCGGCGGTAGGTTGGGCTCTGGTAGTTGGCCTGTCAAGATGACCACGTCAAGTTGACGTCAATATGCTGTTGTAGACCACGACCACGTCAAGATGACTGTCGTCGACCACGACCACGTCAAGATGACTGTCGTCGACCACGACCACGTCAAGATGACTGTCGCCGACCACGACCACGTCAAGATGACTGTCGACGACCACAACCACGTCTTCGACCACGACCACTGTCGTCGACCACGACCACGTCAAGACGACTGTCGTAGACCACGTCAAGATGACTGTCTTCGACCACGACCACGGTCGTCGACCACGTCCAGATGACTGTCGACGACCACAACCACGTCAAGATGACCGTCGTTGACCACGACCACGGTCGTCGACCACGACCACGTCAAGATGACCGTCGTCGACCACGACCACGTCAAGATGACTGTCGTCGACCACGACCACGTCAAGATGACTGTGCCGACCACGACCACGTCAAGATGACTGTCGACGACCACAACCACGTCTTCGACCACGACCACGGTCGTCGACCACACCACGTCAAGACGACTGTCGTAGACCACGTCAAGATGACTGTCTTCGACCACGACCACGTCTTCGACCACGACCACGGTCGTCGACCACGACCACGTCAAGACGACTGTCGTAGACCACGTCAAGATGACTGTCTTCGACCACAACCACGTCTTCGACCACGACCACGGTCGTCGACCACGACCACGTCAAGACGACTGTCGTAGACCACGTCAAGATGACTGTCTTCGACCACGACCACGGTCGTCGACCACGTCCAGATGACTGTCGACGACCACAACCACGTCAAGATGACCGTCGTTGACCACGACCACGGTCGTCGACCACGACCACGTCAAGATGACCGTCGTCGACCACGACCACGTCAAGATGACTGTCGTCGACCACGACCACGTCAAGATGACTGTGCCGACCACGACCACGTCAAGATGACTGTCGACGACCACAACCACGTCTTCGACCACGACCACGGTCGTCGACCACGACCACGTCAAGACGACTGTCGTAGACCACGTCAAGATGACTGTCTTCGACCACGACCACGGTCGTCGACCACGTCCAGATGACTGTCGACGACCACAACCACGTCAAGATGACCGTCGTTGACCACGACCACGGTCGTCGACCACGACCACGTCAAGATGACCGTCGTCGACCACGACCACGTCAAGATGACTGTCGTCGACCACGACCACGTCAAGATGACTGTGCCGACCACGACCACGTCAAGATGACTGTCGACGACCACAACCACGTCTTCGACCACGACCACGGTCGTCGACCACGACCACGTCAAGACGACTGTCGTAGACCACGTCAAGATGACTGTCTTCGACCACGACCACGTCTTCGACCACGACCACGGTCGTCGACCACGACCACGTCAAGACGACTGTCGTAGACCACGTCAAGATGACTGTCTTCGACCACAACCACGTCTTCGACCACGACCACGGTCGTCGACCACGACCACGTCAAGACGACTGTCGTGGACCACGTCAAGATGACTGAAATTTTAAATCTTGAAATTTTAAAATTTGATAAAAATAGGGCAAAATATGACAAATGTACAAAATAGGGAAAAAATAGGGCGAAGAGATCAAAAATAGGGAAAATCCTCTATAAATAGGGTAAAAAGGCCACCCTGAAACAAATTCTAATTTTTTAGTCATCCAAATGGAAAAGAAAGCGCAGAATTAAATGTAAATTTTTGTCCTGCAAAAAATGTTTTTGCAGAATTATTTATAAAAGTATTTGCTGGCTATTCAATTGAGTACTTTTTTTAAATTTATTTTTTTAAAGAATTTTTTCTTAGACGTCAATTGCGTGTATTTGAGGTTAACCAAGTTTTGCCTCGTTTTGTTACTTTTGTCCAAATTGATCAATCTATTGCCCAACAAAAACCTCCAGAATGCTTTGTGTCTTTTCGTTTGCAAAGTAGAATAGATCAACTTCGTCTTTGGATTTGCGAGAATTTTGTTTTTGTTGATGAAGAAAAATTACAAAATGAGCCTAGTTTAGTGTCTGAAAGTGAGGGAAATGATGGGGGAAAGAAATTACAGCTTTACTTTTTTTGTACGAGAAATCAAGAGATGCTTTATATTAATTGGGATTTAAATAGGTAGTCTGTTATATAATCTGATGTTATAGGATAAGACCCTTTAAAATTACAAATTAAAAAACATTCTTTCAGTGGAGAATTTCAATTTAGACACAATGATATCCAAAATGTAACAGATTTAATTCAGGTTTAAAGCAAAAAATACTTAACAAAAAATATTCTTTAGTCAATGTGTGCAAATATGAATGTGAGAGAATTACGTAGTAGGGCTCACTTCCCTTATATTTTGGCAAATGTGAAAAATATTGTTGAATCGGTTTGCCTTCTTTAATACAGACTACTATTCGAATATAGTTTTGTAGGGAAAATTTTTTTGAATTTTTCTGAAATTCATAAACGAAAATAGAACTTGGATTCTTTTTTTCGATCAAAAAACGGGTACCAACCCATAACCTGACAGGCAGTCCATGGCAACGACTAAAAAATCGGATTAATACTAAAATAATTTTTGATAAGTTTTAGTTACTGATTCTGTAGCCCAAAACTAAAATAAGAATTACCACAAAATTTAGATGGATGAACGTTATCAAGTAAACGAAAGATTGTCTAGTGAAATGGTCGAACGCATAAATTTTGTGAGAGAATGTGTTGTCAGAGCAGAGGATATGCTTGTTATCCGTGATTTGTGAGAAAACTAAAATTATTTTTTTACTTAAAATTATTTTTAATATACTAGTTCTGATGCAAGAAAACTTTATGGTCGATTAACAATATTAAATAAAGAATTAATTGGACAGAAAGTGAAATTAGAATATTTTTAAATTAAAAATAAAAGTATTTTTAGACGGTTAGAATGGCAGCACGTAAAGAATTACTAGACGGGCTTAAGTTTTTAAATGTTTCAATTGATCAGTTTGCCCGTTTACGAGTTCCTTCACATTCTCTTATAAAAGAGTGTAGAAAAGCTATTGCGAACGATAATTTAGAAGCTCTTCCAAAATTATTTGAATTCGGTGTTTAAACTTGGATTTGATAATTGTTGTTAATTAAAAAAGAACAGTTATGTATTTTTTGAATTGTTAAAATGTAGAGGAAATATTATCTATGTATACGTATTCTTTATCGGAAAATATTTTTATCGTTAAAAAAATATTTGTTTCTAATACTAGTTCTTGTTGAATTTTTGTCTTTCTTGTGACAAAGGACTTTTCTTGATATGAAATTTACTAGAATTTCTCAAGAATATTTGTAAATACCTATTCTGTATAAAGAACATGGCGACTAATATCGTCATAAACTAATTCCCCTCATAAAAATGAGAGAAAATTCTTTCCGTTTTTCTAGGGTACGGTATTCTGTAGCCGTCGGCACCGAAAGGTACATGTTAAAAATTTAAATGTCAAATTGTTTAAGCTTCAAAATGCCATTAAGGTTCAGGATGAAAAAATTGCGAGTTTCTATTGCATGATTTTCATATTCAAACAAATCTAATAATATTTTATTTCAGAAATCAATTTTGACCCTAGTGTCATTTTTGACATAAAAATTTTCCTCTAAATTTCTTTCTATTATTTTGTTTTTGTCATTTTAATCAATAAATATTAAATTTTATGCAAAACAACAAAAATTCTTCCGAGCAAATACTTGTAAGACGTTTACGTCCAATTTATGATGCTATCGACACTGGACAATACAAAAAAGCAATATTAGAGGCAGACAAAGTTTTAAAGAAACATTCACAAATCAACGGAGCTAGGGTAATTTTATTTATATATTTTTTAATTAATTTATTAATTTTAGGCTCTTAAAGCTCTAGCACTTATTAGAACAGGCAAATTTTTAATTTTTTATTTAAAATATTTTGGTACTTATGAAGATGGAGGTGCCCTTTCTGCGGACTTTTTTTTTGCGGACTTTTCTTCCTTTCTTTTAAATGTATTTTTTAAAGTTTTGGTTGTTTGCTTTGAGAAAGTTTTGCTGGTAGCAACTAACTGTCAAAGGATTAATTTTTATGTCAGTTTGAAAAATATGTGTTTTTTAAACATTATAACCGCAAAATGTTACAATCAATAAAAAATTTTACTTTAACTAAATTGTATGATAAAAATTCAATTACCCGATGTTGAATTTCAACAATGATCACGGATCTCGGAATGCTTCACAGAAAAAGAACATGTGATTATGGAACAGAAATGCGGGTACTTTTAAACATTGTCCCCCCCCCCCCCCCATTATTTTTATTACCTAAGATTGTACAAAATGGTCAGATTTTGCGTTGTGGATATTCAGACAATACTTAGACATTGATAAAGAGAAGATTAAAATTAATTAAGTTGTTCAATATTTTTAAATATAAGTAAGTAAGAATGTAATGTTTTTACACAGAAATTCTTAATGTTATACACCAAATCAATTTTATTTAATTCTTTTTCTGTTTAAATTGTTTTCGAAGGCAAAAAATAAGTGTATGACTATAAAACTAATCTTCTCTTTATCAATGTCTCTTGTATGAATATGCCAGAGGGCAAATAGAGAGAGGAGAAGAAAGTCTGACCATTATGTACAATCTTAGGTAAGAAAAATAATGTGGGAGGGGCGTTGACAGTTAGTTGCTACAAGTAAAACATTTAAATAAGGGAAGAAAAGTCCGCAAAAAAAGTCCGCAGAAAGGGCACCTCCATCTTCATAAGTACCAATATTTTTATAATTTTAGACCGAACTGGTGAAGCTTTAAACATTTTGAGGAACCTCGAAACAGATCTCGCTGATGAAGAATTTAATGAAAATACAATTCAAGCAGTTTGCCATTGCTATAAAGTTTGTTTTAAATTTTTTTCAATAAAAATCTAAAAATATGGTAATATTGGACCTGACAGGGGTAATAGTGCAGTTACCGGACCCTCTTTTCTTCTCCCCAAGTTATTTCCTATATAAATACAGAATGGTCAGACTTTTTCCCTTCTTCCCTCCCAATGCCTTTTTATATTTTTCCTACAAACAATCAAAAAGGATTAAGTTTTGGTATTTGAACATGAGTAGTGAGAAGAATTAATTGACAATTGGGAAAGAAGAAGGGAAAACGTCTGACCATTCTGTATTTATATAGGAAAGAACTTTGGGAGAAAAAAAAGGGGGCCCGGTAACTGCACTATTACCCCTGACAGGCCCCATTTTTCCTCCCAAACTTTTTCCTATATATGTACAAAATGGTCAGACTTTTTCCTTTCCTCCATCCCAATTGCCATTCTATATTTTACCTTCAAATAATCAAAAACAACTAATTTTTATTCCTTCTTGGATCGAAGTAAGGAAAATTGAAGGATGTAGTCTGATCATCCTGCAAATATATATTATGAAACTTGGGCCGGGAAAAATGGAGTCTGTCAGGTCCATTATTACCAAAAAAATATTTAGGAGTTAAATAGTCCTGAACGAATTGTTACACTTTATGCTTTATTGACCAAAAAATATCCTAAAAACGAAAAATTGGCTCGAGAATTGTTTTTTGCACATATTAGGACGAAAGACTTTCGACACCAGCAACAAATTGCCACTCAACTTTATAAGGTTTTATTTATTAGAAATTATTTTTAAAATATTTTTTGAGGATACAAATATGCCCCAATATTGTTGCTGGGCTATTATGAGTATTTTAATGCAGGGATATCAAAATAAAAAACTTGCTGATTTAATGCTTTTTCCACTCGCTGAAAAAATGCTGGAAAAATTGCCAATAAATGATTTATGTCGAATGCAGGGAGGTATAAACTTTTTTTTATTGATTTTTATAAAGTTGGTAATTTCGATAAGGCATTGAATTACGTTTAATTATGCTTGAATCTCGTGGAAGAATTTCGGAAGCAATCGAGTTTATTGAAGTAATTCAAAGGCAGAGGCTTTTTACGGATATTGACAAAATGAGATTAAAAATTAAATTAAATAATTTATATCGTGCATGTGTAAGTTCAAATTCTTCAATTAAATGCATTGAGGAAGAGTAAGTTTTGGGACTAAAATTTAGACACTTTGAAATTTTTTGAATGAAATTAACCTTCAATTTATTAAAATATTTTTAAACTAAAAAATTCATTTTAGTATGAATGAATGGACGAATTGGGTTAATTTAGTCGATTTAATAATTACAAAAGTTTCCTCAATAGAAGATCAATCACAAAGAGTCAGGTTTAAACATTTTCCTTTTTACAAAAAATGTTTAATTTAAAGTTCTCTAAACAAACATATCGAAATGTGGGATGTTTTAATGAGAAAATGTTATGCAAAAGTTTCGCATGCCTCTGAATTAAGAGGTCCATTGATGGGCCGTTTACTTTTTATGGATAAAATTATTAATTCGAATATTTTAACAAAAGATCAATTAATCGAAACAAAACTTGGTTTTTTTATGAATTTATAAATTATAATTAAATAAATTTATTTAGGAATTCCTTTAAAGGCATTAGAAGAACTTGCAGATATTGTTTGTGACAGACCTTTTGGCTTTGCTGATATGAAATTATTTCTTCATTTATTGAAAGATGAAGAAGGGAAACAATTATTGGATCATATTTCTTTTATTAATGTTGGCATTTAGAAGAGTATTTTTTGGTTTTATTAAAGATAAGTCGGATTTCTAGGCATTAAAAGGCAAAAATGTGGGTATTTCAAATAAACAATTTTCGATAATTTTTTTTAGAATTTTAGTCAATTATAGATCATTTTGTGGTTTTTGATTGATTTTAGTAAAATAACAAATATTTGCTTAAAAATTCGACCCTTAGTAAAGAGAGACGTAGTGATTTATATTAGGTTGTTTGCAATAAATATTTTGTTGGTGTATCATTTTTAAAATTTTTCCCGATTTTTGAAATTATTTTGTTGTAAAGAATTTTCTAAAAACTTGATCAAAAAATTTTTCTTATTTTAAGGAAATTTATTAACCAGAAATGAGGTAAAGCTTTAGGGAAAAATCTTAAAAATGAAACACGTTTTATATCTTCCATTGTTGTATAATATTAAATATACGAAAGTTTAATTTTAATTTTTTTATTGTTATAAATACATATAACCTATATGTATTACTTATCTAAACTATCGGAGTACCTATATTAAAATAACTTTTAGACTAAAATGGAAGATTTAGCAAGTGCAGAATGTTCAGGCGTTGATTCGAATAAGAATCTACCAACTGCAACAAACGAATCCGTTGGCTCATTTCCTTCAAGATTAAAAATCAACAAAAAGAGGCAAGAAGGAAATCCTCTCATTAAATATATTCGAAATGTTGTTTTTGAATGGGACTCAGAAATAAAGTAATTTAACAGTTTTTTTTATAAATTTTTGTTTTTAAAGGAGTGATTTTGAATGTTCTCGCAACTGTGGCATTGTTTACCTCAGTGCAAAGTATCATAAATTACATCCTGGATATATTGAAACACGATTGAAGGATTTATCAAGATATAAAATTAAAGTATGTTTGTTATAATTAATTTATTTAATCTGAATAAGAATATTGTGAAAATCTTTTAGAAAAAATTGTTTTGACACCAAGGGGTTTGAGTTGTAGGCTTAAAAAAATTCACTTTTCTGATCATTTACCTCCTAAAATTTTTTCACTTTCTCCATTTCAGGAGGGGCCCTAGAAGCCCCCTGGCTACGCCCTTGCTTGACACTATTAATAAATTCGGCTTTAAAATAATTAAAATTTTAAAATTTTATTAAGATACTCTTACTACTCATCAACGTGGATGACCCATCATTTTTGCTTCGCGATTTGAATTTGCTTTGTTATCGAGTTCAAATAACTCTTATTCTAAGTTACTCTGTTGAAGAGGCTGCTGAATATGTTGAAACTTTTAAAAAGACTGAAAATAAGAACTTTGAGAAAGCTTTGGAAGATATAAATAAATGGAAACAACAATAAATATTTAAAAATATTTTTAGCCGGTTAAATTAAATTTTTTTTAATTCTATTCAAACGTTTTTAATGTAAAAACATTCCTTTTTTGCTTGAAATATTTTAGATTTCATTAAAGTTCTGTGAAATTATTAAATATTTTTATGTACACATTTTTACTAAATATTTCAGAAAATATGTTAAATAATCTTTTTAACTGCAAGCTACAATTATTAGCTCTCAAAAATTTGAACAGCAAATATTCTTTTTGTGTCAAACAACCTTCTATTTATTTTCGTCGACATTTTAACATTACTCCAAACTTTTTGATCTCTTCTAATGCTAACAATAGACTACAATCGAGGATATTTTTGAATAATTTATTACAAATTGGAAGAAAATCTGGGAAATCTTTGCGATTGTTTTCTTTTTCACTCGGAATTTTTTATCCAATTAGCAGGTTTTTAATTTTTAAATTAAGTAATAGTCTAAAGAATTTAGTTAAAACTTTGTTCCCTCAAAAAAGAAAATTCTCTGTTCTTGGCCTAGAAATATTTCCAAAAATTTTCACTGATACGCCCGAGATTCCTGAATTATTAAATATATTTTTATTTAGAGTAGCACAATGCAGACAGCAACAATCCACTCGTATTGACCATTCTCATCAACAACGATCTATTCCTCCATTATCAGTCACATGGACAGAATTTTGGTTATTGATTAGGCCTTATATTCATTGGTTAATTTGTGCTGCTTTGGTATTTTTTTAATTTAAAATTTTGTTTCAACTTTCATTTCAAGACTGCTTGTTGTGTTGCAGCTCTCAATATTCAAATTCCGATAATTCTTGGCCAGCTGGTCAACCAAATTTATTCTTTTATTAGACAAAATGGCGTCGATGTTAATATGGGTGAATTAAAGCCAATAGTTTTTAAATTAGTGTCTGTTTATGTTGCACAGGTTTGTATTAGAATATCTTCTCAAAAATCTATTTTTTGGTAAATTATAGTATTAAAGTAATTTTTAGTCAAAAGTAATTTTTATAACTTTTAAATTAAAAAAACTCACGATTCGAAATAAATGTTAAAATAATTTTATGTTCACTTTACAACCCACAATTTTTTAGGCTTTCACTACATTCTTATGTATTGCGTCCCTTTCACAAATGGGAGAGAGAATGTGTGCTGATTTGCGTGTTCGATTGTATTTTTACTAAACTTTCAATTCTTTAACCAATATTTTTAAAGATTTTCTCATCTTCTTGAATTACCAATGCCTTTTTTCGATGCTCAAAATAGCGGAGAATTAAGCGATCGTTTAAATTTTGATGTCCAACAATTCAAAAGTTCTTTTAAAGAATGTACAGCACAAGGATTGCGAACAACTGCACAGGTATTTATTTTAAATATTTAATTTTGAAATTAATTTTCTGACAATCATAGGGGGGGGGGGGGGTTCAAATTATTTTTTGCCAAAATTTTCTAAACTTTTTGTTACCATCTATTTTTTGTTTTATTCTTAAACCCATGGTTTATGAAATAGAAAATTGTTCTAGTTAATCTTGTTTTTCTCAATTTTCGGATTGTTGGTTGCATTTGTTCTCTCTACTTATTGAGTCCACAAATGACTTTATTTACTGTTGGAATTGTCCCAATTGTTGTTGTAACTGGATCTTTATTTGGTAGAATTCTTAGAAAATTAAGTGCTCGAGCGCAATCACAAAATGGAATTGTTGCTGGAGTTGCATCGGAAGCATTCCAGAATATTCGAACAGTTAAAGTATTTGCAATGGAAGAAGCTGAACAGAGGTTTTTTCACTTTTTTAAATTTTTACTCTTTAATTTATAGCGGAAGATTTTTTTATTTTTTGAGGTCTCTTGGCTTCCTTTTTTAAATATTCTTGTCAATTATCCTTTTAAAATCATTTCCGACTAATTTTTATACATTCATATATTTTTTATATTTCTCTTTAAGTCTCTATGAACGGGAAGTTGAAAAAACACAATCACTTTATTGTCAACTTGGACTAGGCATTGGGTTATTTCAAGCTGCTAGCAATTTATTTCTTAATGGTTTCTTTTAATTTTTCTCTAATTTTATTTATATATTTTTAAGGGTTAATACTTGGTGTTTTATATGGAGGGGGGCAATTAGTAATTTCTAATGTTCTTTCGCCTGGTGATTTAATGGCATTTTTAGCTACTGCACAAACTATTCAACGTTCTCTTGCTCAACTTTCTTTTGTTTTTGGAAGTGGAATAAAGGTTTAAAAATTAATATCTTTCGATTTAAATTTACATTTTTTATTTTATTTTGAGTTAAGGTTTGGTCTTCGTGTGGAAGAATTATGGAAATTTTGCGTCTAGATCCTAAATATGGCAAAAGTGGAACATTTGTTATTCCTGCACACAGTCTTGTTGGAAATATTGAACTTTCTAATATTTACTTTTCTTACCCAACGCGTCCTGGTCATGAAGTACTTAGAGGTCTGAATATGAATATTGGAAATGGACAAACAATTGCAATTTGCGGATCATCTGGCGCAGGTTGTTAAGTCTACTTTTAGATTAATATTTTTATTAAATAATTATGGATAGGAAAATATTCACTAAATATAACGAAAAAAATAGTGAAAATGTGTTTTAAAAATTAAAATTTTTAAAAATTTATTAAAATAGTTTGAAGGAAAGAGTACAGTTGCCGCATTAATTGAACGTATTTATGAACCAGTTGCTGGCCGAATAAAACTTGATGGTATTGAATTAAATAAATTAGATTCAAAATGGTTAAGAAGAAATGTCATTGGCGTTATTTCACAAGAACCTGTTCTTTTTTCTACTTCGATTAAAGAAAATATTCGTTATGGGAAAATTGATGCAACAGAAGACGAGGTTTTTTTTCAATAAGATAATTTTTAATTTATATAAATTTAGATTAAACATGCAGCCGATTTAGCAAATGCTAGTCAATTTATTGAACAATTTCCTGAGGGTTATGATACAATTGTTGGGGAACGAGGCGTTACTTTAAGTGGGGGACAGAAACAAAGAATTGCTATTGCTAGAGCCCTCCTTAAAAATACACCAATTCTTATATTAGATGAAGCAACTTCTGCTTTGGATACTGAAAGTGAACGTTTAGTGAGTGTTTTAGTTTATATTAGGCATATTACCAAGGGTATACCCAGAAATATAATTTTCTGAAGGCGGTGAGGTTGGGGCTTTTGAATGTTCTTGGAATCAGGACCATGAACGGAACATTCTCTGAAATTGTGAAAACATTAAATAATTTATACTATAGAATTGTTTTCAGATTCATCAAGCTTTGAACCGAGCACTAAAAGGTCGGACAGTTATCGTCATTGCCCATCGCTTAAGCACAATTCGCAATGCTGATTCTATTTATGTGTTGGAAGGTGGTCAAGTTGTTGAGGTTTGTTTATTTATTAAAATGTTATTTAAGTTTATTTTTAGAAAGGAACACATCAACAGTTGATCAAAAATACGAATGGAAAATATTATGGTCTAGTTAAAGAACAAGAACACTTTCAAAGCAATGACAAGGAACGAATTATAGGTGGTTGATTTTATTTTTGGATTAAGGACTTTGTTGAACAATTTCAAAAATTTTGTTTTCATCTTTACAAATGATAAATTTACTATAATTTTCTAAAAAAGGTATAATTTATGTACTAACATAAGTAATGAATCAATTGAAATATATTTAAAGTGAATCCCATTAAAATCAAACTTTAATTAAATTTTTATATACAAAGTCGTCCTTTAATAATTTTTCTTTATTTTGTAGATTAAATATAAGCATTATACCATTTTCTTAAGAATAGCTAGTGCATTTGTTGTTTGGCGGAGCACCCATTTGGCTTAGGACACCTAAATAAAACAAATAATAGTAGATTTTGATCAAAAGCAAGATAAAATTTCCAAGATCGAATCCAATACCGGGATTTTACCCAGGAACAAACATTTTTAAAATAAACTTACGGTCAAGCCAGGCTAGAGGCCCGTTCAAATGAATTTCAAGCCAGCATGGAGTAGAGGTAACACTCTGTCGATGATATTCACTTCCCCAACCTTTTACAAATGACATACGAATTGTACAAAATCTAAAATTAAATTACAAATTTTAAATATTACGATAATCATTTTGTACGTTTTGGCATATCTGTTAATAGCCCCTCGGGCCGTAACCCTAAATCAATTTAGAGAAACCCCGATACTCGTATAAAAGAAATTTTTATTTGTACTATAGTAACACGAACCTGGTTAACGAATAGACAGATTCAAATCCCTGTTTTACTGCTGTGTTAAGCAACTTTCCAAAATCCTTCATTGAAAAGAGTTTAAGATTACAATCTGTAAAAAACAAAATATAATTTCAGGTTTAAAAAATTCAAAAATTGAAGGCTGGTCAGAACATATAAATACGTTAGATTATAAAACACCCATAAATTTAATTGTAAAAATAATTCCATACATTGTGGAACTTTATAAACTGTCGCAGCTGGCGCAGAAAGTTGTGCAGAAGCACTGGGGGCTTGAATAAAAACTTTTGCTGTTTCACTTAAAGTTTCGCAGTAAACGTCGCCTCCAATGCTGTAAATTCGAGCACCTTAACGAGAATATATTTTTAATTATTATTTTATAATTACCTCGTCCAATACATTTACGAGCATTAACAACATCTTGAGGTCTATGCAGATTAGGAAGTTGACCTAGACAGAAACGATCCTCATCGGTTGGAGAAGTGTAACTGGAAAGTTGAAATTAGAAAATATGTAATATTTTTGATCAAAATATTCGAATAATAAGCTTAAAAGAGAGCTGAAATATGTATACAGTTCCTACCAGGGATGGTCTATGAAGATTAGGAAGGAGGGGGGGGGGGTTGAGAAAAAAGTCGGGTCGGGTTTTCAAAATTTTCTTCGGATCGGGTTTCGGGTCGAAAAAAGTCATGATTTCGGGTAACCCGTCCCATCCCTGGTCCCTAAATACAATTGGGAATGGGTCTCCGAGTTTAGTGCCTTAAAAGTTATAGATAGATAAAAAGTTTATTGAAAGTAACATACCCATCGATTACTAAACTTGGCTTTGAAGCATGAAAAACATCGCCAACACGTTGATTTAATTCATAATAAGTCAAACTACACCAAAATGTTGGTTCTTCATATTCTACTATTGAAATAGCCGCTGCTTCTGCTGCAGTTGAAGGAATGTCAGCATTTGTAGGTGTTTGTTGTTGATTTGATTCTTTTCTTTGGTGCATTTCTGTGGTACGCTCCATTATACGATCAAAACGGGCCGATTCTTCTACCAAATCAAAGGGACCGGAACGATTTTTGTTTGTGAAATTGAATTGATTCTAAATTGAAGTAAAAACAGTACAATTTTTCAATACAAAATTTCCAACCTGGCTCGTAAAAAGTGGACTAGATTGTTGGCCACCAGCATCGGAAAGAGGGCTATTTACTTGTTGATCCATATCTAGATCATCGCTCAAATAGCCTTGTGGGGAAACTGAATTAAAAAAATTTTTATATCAGGCCCGTAGCCGGGGGGGGGGGGGGGAATTCCACCTCCCCTCGAAACGTGAAAAGGAAAAATTTAGGGAGGGGATTGGGCAAAAAAGTGAATTTTTTGGACTACGGCCTTCTAAAATTCCCAAAATTTTCTACAATTAGCTAGGGTTAACAAAAAAATAATTATGAACATCGGGACCTTTTGTAACAATTACCTAATTAAATTGACTAATGGAGTAGTCGGTTCTTGGGAAATTTTCGGATGATATTCGAAACCCGACCCGACAGCTGACACACAAATCGAATATTGTCATAGTTAGAGTTGCAAGACAATTTAATTTATAAATATAACGAAAATAAAAAAGAATAGTCTTACATTCATGTGAAATTGGTGAATTCATGCCCAATGAACTTTCTACTGAATTTGGACCAGCAAAACCGCTGTAAATATGATTAAAAGTGTGAGGTATGTTAGAAGACGAGGATGTCGATTGGTGTTGATTTAATTCATTTCCATTACTTCCACCACTTATATCCATCATTTGAATATCCATAGCAACACCACTATCATTTTCACTGGTAGATTGAAAGTCAGAACCGAAAAGTTGAGGTTGAAGACTAAGAATTTGTTCATAACTCAATGTCATGTTTGGAACCTTAAAAATTATTTTAAAAAATATTAAGTAATTGAAATAGGATCAAAGTGGCCCTCTAACAAAAAATACTCTAGTTTTGCTTAAACAAGTGGAATAAAATCAAACAAATTAATTTGTAAAAGGGGGCGTAGCCGGGGGGGGGGCTTTGGGGCTATAGCCCCCCCCCCCCTGAAATCGACCGTCTGGCTACGCCCTTGATCCCCTGCCATTTAAAACCTCAAAACTAACTTTAGCGTCAAGTCCTCCATCCTCCGATGCTCGAATAACGCTAAAATTCTCAGGACATTCCGTAGCAGGATTTCGGCGAACAACAACTTTGGGATGTTCTAAAAATTAAAAGAAAATGATTAAAAATTAAATTTGAAGAAACTCGGATTTTCAATTGTTTCATAATGGTAGGGATTTACACAAACTTGTTCAAGCCGTTTGTTTTTGTTAAATGGGTAGAGACAATTAGAGGTTGGACGAAGTTGATGATGAGTTAAAATATCTGTGAATATAAGATAATAAATTTTAGATTACTTTTAAAAAATTATAAAGCAAATTTATTTTGGGCCCTCCTATCCCCTCAAGTGACGAAAACATGTGTATAATTTAAGAAGGGGTCTCATAATTAGAGCTCGGCATGGGACAGGACCTCGTACGGGTTTTACGAGATCCAGTCCCGGAATCCCGGGTTTTCAACGAAAAACGGGATTACCGGGATTAATCCCGCGGGATCACGTCCCGTACAAAATTTTGAAAAAATCTCGTTACGGGATCCCGGGAATGCTATTTTGCCGACCTCTACTCATAATGTCGGACATATGTGTTACATAATAATCTATTAATTTTTAAAAATAACATACTTTGAAATCTGCAATACTTGCAACATAAAAAATGAGGAAAGGATTTCATTTGGCCACTATATGCAGTCCGTTCTTCTGGGGGTCTTTAAAATGGATTTATTAACAAAACTTCTAACGGTTTTTAGATTTAAAAAGTTGTCATATTATCTATTAATTACGCTTACATTGTGTAGACAACGCAGGGTGTTTCCGAATTCTCTGCTGAAATTGCCCGTTGCAACCCCTCCAGACATTTACTTTTTCGGAACTTCTTCAACAATAATTTCAATTCAGCTTTATCAGCAGATGCACGGTCATTTTTTGGCTAAAATTGATAAAAAGGAAATGAAGTTACCCAGAAAAAATTTAAAAAAACCGATTGATCGCCAGATTCAATCTGCTCATTTCCAGCAAGCATTAAATGCATTAAACTCTTAACAAACATAATAAATATTTATATAAATGTTATCAGAAACCTTTATTTTCTTCGATCCAAGTCCTCTCATTTCGAAGAAAATTTGAATTAATGAAACTTTATTTTTGTAAAATATCAAGTATTTATTGAATTAAAGTTTATTTTAAACACTAACAAGTTTAAACAATTATTTATGCAAATGCATAACAAATCTCCCAAATTTAGTGAATATTTCATCACTACCCCAAAAAATAAACGGACAAAAGATAATCTTTAAAAAAGATATTTAGTACAAAAACTAACTTTTGGCTGAAAATATCTTTTGTCAACTTTCCTTTTGTCCGGACACAAAAACAAATTTTGTTTATTTTCAAGAAGAATCGAGAATAGAACTAGAGATCGGAATTTTGAAAAAACCGGGACCGGGAAACGGGAAACGGGTTCTGAAGGTCGACCGGGAGGGACCCGGACCGGGAAAACCGGGAATTCCCGTTCCCGGTTTCATCCCGGTCAAAAATGACCGGGACCCGGACCGGGAAACCGGGAAATTTAAAAAAAATTTTTTAATTCATTTAAAAATTTCAAAAAGTTATGGGAGTAGTTATTTATTGAAAAATCTGATTTATAAATAGAAAAATTTAATAAATCAGTAAAATAAATCAATAAAACAAATGTAAATTACAATAAATTAAAACATAAAGCGGATTACGTAGGGCTAAAGGGATTTGAGAGGCTAGAGAAGGATTGTGGGATATTGGGAGATTTTGGAGTTTAAGATCTCCCGATAGGCTCCTCAAATTTTTTTATATCGCCTATAGGTATTCCTCATCTAATTCCCTTTAATCCCTCCTAATCCACCTTGATGCTGATTTAATTTTTATTTAATTTTAATTTTTATTTAATCCCTCCAAATCCACTCTGATCCTCTCTGTGCAATAGTGATATCAGGGATTAAAAGAGATATCGAGAGATTCAAGTATTTGTTGGAGCATTAAGAGAGATTATGGAGAAAGACCTCAACCACCTATATCACCTGATATCTATTCAAATCCCTTCAAGTGGAAGGCAATGATATCAGATGATTAAGGCAGATCTAATGGATTTAAAGGGATAAAGATGGCTTAATCACCAGGTCCCTTGATAAAATCGCACACTATACACTAATTTCCCTAACTTTTCATCCCTCCAAATTTCTCCGTTCCAAATTCTTCAGCGAAAATTTTGAGAATTTTGGAAGGTCAAACAGCCAAACTTCTTCCGTTTTCAGCGCCGCAGGCGAAAATTTTGAGAATTTTTGTAAAATCTACAATATTTTTAAGTCAAAAATCAAAACGCCAAGCAAAAATATTTAAAATTAGCTGTTAGAATTTTTCCCGGTTTCCCGGTCCAAAAAAAGCCGGGATCGGGAACGGGAAACGGGAAATGAAAATTAACCGGCCGGGACCCGGACCGGTAAAACCGGGAATTCCCGATCCCGGTTTCATCCCGGCGTCTTCAAAAAAGCCGGGAAAAAGGACCGGGAAACCGGGAAACGGGACCGGGTCCCGATCCCGTTCCGATCTCTAAATAGAACGGTTTGTTTAAGTCATCCGTTTGTTTCATGCAATCTGGAATTGAAAATTTCTCGGGAATCCCTATTCGTGGGATTTTTTGAATCAAGATTTTAAGTAATGTCTTTTATGTATCTTTTTACATATCTTTACAAAAATAATTATAGTATAGAAAAACTACACCTTACAGTATTCTCGAATAATTGCCCATAGCAATCAGAGGTGGGTCGGAATTCCGATTTCCGACTTCCGATTTCCGATTTCCGACGTTTTTTTCCTTCCGATTTCCGATTTCCGAAATTTTGAAAAAATTTCCGATTTCCGAGAATTTTTGAAGCATATTTCCGACCAGAGATTTTTCCAAAATTCTCAAAATTTGCGCCTGCGGCGCAAAAATTTGAAGAAATCTAAACTAAGAACCTCCAAATTTCACAAAATTTTCGCCTGCGGCGCAGAAAGTGGAAGAAATCTGGCTTAAGGACCTCCAAAATTCTCAAAATTTTCGCCTGCGGCGCAAAAATATGAAGATTTTTGGCTTAAGGCTCCCAAAAATCCCAAAAATTTTGCCTGCGGCGCTGTAAATGGAAGTTGAATTGTATATAGGAGGATTAGGATTGATTAAGGTGGACTTTGAGTTATACCGTGTGATTTCAAAGGGTCGTATGTAATATCGAGGGGTCTGGGTGTGATGTCGAGGGATTTTTATTCCCTCAAATTACACTCAAGAAGGCCCATAATTTGCCGCTTACACTTTTAAATATTATTTCAGTTATGAAAATAAAAATTTTATTTCCGATTTCCGCCTTCCGATTTCCGATTTCCGGCGTTTTTTTCCTTCCGATTTCCGATTTCCGATTTCCGAAAAAAAATTTTGATTTCCGATTTCCGAGTTCCGACTTTTGAGTCATTTCCGATTTCCGACAGTTCCGATTTCCGACACCTCGGGCTGTTCCGACCCACCTCTGATAGCAATGGGATCAACCTAGAATATTGAGACCCAAAATATCGTTGACCCTAAATATTTTAGGGACGATATTTTGGGTCTCGATATTCTGGGGGTGGAGAAAAGAAAAACTTACAGCTTTCCGGCCCTGATACAAAATATTGGATTCAATTTACGATATAATTTTAAATTAACAAGTGAGAGAATTGGTTTAATCATTAAACTTTAATGTTTAAAATTAATCTCTATTTTTTCTAAATCTAAAATCCCCCAACAAAATTTTGGTAGTTAAAGTAAATAAGTTCCCCCAATCCTTAATTAAATTGAGTAAATTTTTTAAATTATTTTTATCTTTGTAATATATTAAATGTTTTGGAGATAAGTTTCAACATTTACTATTTACTAAAAATATAATGTTTGTTAATACCAACTGTAACCACCAAACAAAACAAAAAAATTCAAAAATCAAAATTAATTTTATTTCACAAATATTGTAAAAGTGGTTGGAGATTATTTTTAATTAAATTAATTATTCCCAATTTCCAAATTTCTTTCCTTTCATTCTTTTTATACTGGCTGATGTTCTCTATTTGTAATATATTCAAATATTTGTGGTTGAGTTTGAACCTTTCTAACAAATTTTATAATAGCTGGATATTTATCTAAAATTTGGGGTTCAAAATGTCTAACTGTTGTCATATATTCTTTAAATTTGAAAAAATTTTTTTTTTTAAATTTCTCTTTAAAAAATACCAGCAATAACAAAATCCACCCAAGTAATTCCACTTGGCAAAAAGAATCCACTCCCTGACAATTTCAATAAATTAACATAAACTGGAAAATGTTTTTCAACGTTGGGTAGAAATATTGCTTGTCTAAGTGTTTGCTTGAGAAAATAATTTATGTAAATAATAATAATTATTTTTAAAGCCCGGACCGAGACGAGATCTCGATCGAAAATCTCGGCTACGGAGATCGAGATTTTTTCGAAACTCAAATCCTTGTACGATCCCTCCCATTCCGAGCTCTAATAATTTTTTAAATTTTATTTTTACTTTATCTCCTTGATGGAATCCAGCAACAACATACATATATGGCTAATATATTTAAATAATTAAGACAATTATCTATCTAAATTACTTGTAAATCCATAGCTACATCAGCGTGGAAATCTGAAATTTCATCAACTTTAGCCTGTTCCCAATTATCCCTGCCAGAAAGTCCTAAATAAAGCAATGTTTTTAATAAGAAGTAGACAAAACCGAATTGTCTTGCCAAATATCGTGCAATTGTATGACAATAGGTTAATGGCTTTCCATCAACCTGAAATGTTTTAATTAATTTCCAAATATTTTAAAAATTTATTTAAATTTATGGTACTTGTCAGTTATCTCCCCCACATTTACTTTTTCTCCCTTTCTTTTTTGTGAAGCTTTATGATTGCGATTTTTGTGATATGTATAGCTCGTCGAGTTATAACGAATGAGACTAAAATTACTGTTTTTGAACCTTCCTTGAAAGTTTGGATAAAGAGCTTGATAATTTATTGTGATCAGCCAGCCTTAAAAGGAAATTCGTGGAGGTAACCGATTGTTCCTAATAAAATTTCGATAAATTTATAAAGCACTTACCTCAAGAATTGGAACTTTTCCGTAGACGGTACCTTCAATTATTTGTTTTATAATATCCCCAAAATACAACTTACTATCTTTTAAAGCTAGCCATTGTTTTCGAGAAATACGAACATCATCAAAAGGTACATGTGCGTAATGGAAAAGTAAACGAATTGGTTCACAAATTCCACGGGCATCGAAATAAATTAATTTATAATTAGTCATTTTGTAGAGTCCACTTGGCCTTGCTGCTGAATCTATAGATGGAGGAGAAGGAGCCTGAGGGCCGGAAGGAGATGGGGACTTTTTAATTAAAAAAATATTTTCTTAAAAATATTTTGAGAGACTTGCGGCGGTATTTGAGGAGATGGAATAACTCCTGGAGGCGGCATAGGAGGACCTACAGGCACTTGAGCAATTGAAGATGGCCTTTCTTTAGGGGAAGATTTAGATTCTGGCTGAGAAGCTTTTAAAAATGAAAATAATTTTTAAGTTTAATATGTATATAATTAATAGAATTTTTTATAAAAAATCAAACAAGGAATTGGTTTTTGGACTATAATGGTGGTTGTTTTTGGCATTTTTGTTGTTGTCATTGTCAACGTTGATTTAGTTGTTTGCTGTCCAAAATTTTTGTTGATATTTGATTTATTTGCCGAATATCCATCAACTTTTTTCGGGACAGATGGTGCCACTTGAAGAGGAAATTCATTATTTTAGTAGTTAAACTCCCAAAATAACCTCTTTGACGGCTTCCAGAATTTACTAACTTTCCATTTTCATTTTTCCCAGCAGTTTGTCCCTTCTTTGAAAATGTTTTGCGATCTTTTATTTGCGACGATGAAGGCAAAGATTTATCTTCAATTTCATCAACTATTAATCTAACCCCTCGATTCTTTTCATTTTTTTCTTCTTCCAATTTTTCTTCTCCCTCAGCTTCATCTGTTTCTAAATTATTTCCACCTTCTTCCCCTTCTTCTTCTTCTATTCCATCATCTCTTTTGTATCGGTTTTTTTGTTTTTCTTTTAAAGGAAGTCGAGAAACAATTTCAAGTTTTCTAATAGATGAGTGAATATTTACTTGTTGGTTAATATTTGGCAATTCCTCTAAAAAGCCATTTGGTGGGACTGGAGTAAAAAAGAAGTTTGTCACGTTTGTTAATAAAGTATTTCCATTATAATCAACAATTCGGGGCGCTTAAATTAAAATAAATATTTAGTCTGAATAAGAATTGAAAACTGATTTTGATTTTTTCTAGAAATACCGAGTGCCCTTTTTACTTCGGAAATATCGGAAAATAACTCTTAAATTAATTTTTAAAAATAATTTCCTCATTTTTTATCACAATTTTTTTTATTTTTTATAAGTAAACCCTGCCACTGAGTCGAACCTCGTCCGAAACAAATCGAAGATAATAATAAATGCTCCCAAATGCTTAAGAAGTAACCCAGGTATATTTTAATCATCATATTTTATCAAAAATTTTTCAACTCTCAAACCCTTTAATGCTGATTTTTGATTAATTTTGTGTATTTCTTTATAATTTTTATTTATTTCCTCCTTCAAAATTTCTAATCTTCCTTTAACACAAGTGTTTAAAATAATTAATTGAATAGTTAAATAACACAAAAATAGTAAAAATTTCGAAGAAAATTTAATCATTTCTTTAAATTTAATTAATTAAATTTAATTTTAATAATTATTTCTTTATACTTAAAACAAAAATCTTACTTAATTAAAAATCTTACCTAAATTATTAAATTAAATAAATTATTAGTTACCTAATTAAGGCTACCTATATTTTTTAATAAATAAATACATATACTAGATACTTTTGTAGAAAAATATTAAAAATGATTGGTCAGCTGGATATATTTATAGAAAAATGGACTATGCGCAATTATTTTCCCAAATTATTTTTATAATCCAATTTTTTAAAGAATAATTTTTGGTAATTAAATTAGTCAGTTGTTTAAATATTTGGATATTTTTTTTAAACATTAAATCTTTTTTTGTAATTTAATAATGTATTTTTTAGTATTAAACAACCAAAATCCAGAAACTTCAAGTATATTTAGACATAAATTAATAATAATTAATAATAAATCAAATTTATTTTCATTTTTTGATTAAAAATCTTACCTGTCCTTAAGAATTCTTGGATCTGGGAACCGGAGCTTTAGATATATCTCATAATTCTTTTTGCTCTACAAATTATTTTTCTATTATATTTATGTACATAAATATTCCTCTTTAATTGAATTTTATTAATTCCTCTTCAATTGAATTTTATTTTTCTTTTTTTATTTTTTCTTCCAAATATTTATTGAGGTTTTGTTCAGATAATATTACTTATCTCTCATGTTCATTTAAAAAAAAATAAAAATTTATTTTTCCAAATAATATCGATTTATCGGAAATATTAATAAATATCTAAGAGAATGCTTAAATATATTTTTATTTATTTATTAGCTATCACTGCCGGAAACACTCAAATGCCTTTAGAGAGTTGCTTTTTAACAGCTTTTATTGAACACTTCATGAGACAGCCCTTTTTTCTTCTTTTACCTGAAGCAGCTGTGAAATAAAAACAATTTTTAAATAAAAACGTAAATTTTATTTTAAAATTTTATTTAGAATTGTTAAATATTTTTTTTGTTTTTTAAGAAAATCATATTAATGTTGTTAGAAGGTTCCATATAGGGAGAAAAATTAAAATAATTAACTATTATTTACTTTATTAATATTGTTAATAAGAAAGCTATCATTTAAAAAAATATAAGAAAAATCTTCATGTTATAATTTAAATTCTGAAAACATTTACTAATTTATTTAATAGATTATTTTAAAATTAAAAATATTTTTAAAAAGTTTACTTAAAAATAATTGCCATTTTAATTTTGTTAAAAATTAAGCTCGGAAAAAACAAAAATGAATGTTGGCGATAGAATTGAAGTTAAGGAGACGGGTAATAATTTTTTTTAATTTTTTTAAATCAAAATATTCTATATTATTTAATTTTATTTTTTAAACATATTTTTAGATATGAAGCCAAATATGGTCACTCAAGCGATGGATATTGTAAGGGATGGAATACAAAAACACAGTCAAGATAAAGTAATTTAAAATAATGATAATAAAAAAATTATTTTTATTTTTTAGGATATTGCTAGTTTTGTTAAAGATACTTTTGAACAACGTTTTGGCCCTACTTGGCATTGTGTAGTGGGAAGGAGCTTTGGTTCTCGAGTTTCTTATGAATTGGAGACTTTTGTATTACTTAAAGCTAATCAACATACTGTACTTGTTTTTAAATGTGGATGAAATAAAAAAGAATAATCAAAAAAAGTAAAAATTATATTTTAAATAATAATCAAAAAAATTTTTTAATGTTTTACACAATTCATGAATAAATGTTTTTAAGCATGAGCAGCAAATAATCTAGAAAAAAATTAATTAGGTATCTTAGTAACAATTCGTCTTAGACATATAAAAATCAGTTATTACTTTGAAAAATTAGGAAATCTTATTTCCAAAAAAACACGGAAATAATCTTACTTCGGTTATAATCCCACTTAATGGCCGGCCCCTAGACAAGGATAATGTATGCGGTAAAGAAAGTAAAGGTGTAAGAAGGTTCCTGCTGTGGCTATGCTTTTGATGAACTCCTACTACTATGATAACGAGATTCAACTGATGTATTTTTTTTATTTTTATATTACCTGACACTGGAAACGGATGAAATATTTCCGGGGGTTCTCTGGAGCAGGTCAATTTACCATCGGAGTGGGGGTTTAAAAATTGTTTTCGAAACAGCTCTGTTTACGATAAATAATGTATTTTACTTTTATTCTTTAATATACAAATTTTTACTTTACATACATATATGCACTTTAACCTCATTAAAATTTAATTTCAAAATAAATATTTTTCTCAATAAATTTAATTGATTTAAAAATAAATATTTATAGTCTATAAAATAAATCGTCTATAAAATTATTAAAAATATTTAATTTTTATTTTAAATTTCGAAAATGTTTTTGAATTATTTGAATAAAAATGCTCAAACAATCCTGTTTCTCGCTGTTGTAATAACAAATTTTCCAACAGAAATAATTAGTGGATGTTTGTATATATATTTTATTTATTTTATTAATTAATTTAAATAAATAATTGTTAATATTTAGGTATTAATTCAAAATGTTTTGGACATGAAAATCTAAGGGAGACGATAGAAAGTATTATATTATTATAAAGTTATTAAAATAAAATTTTGAAATAAGTCCAATCTTAATTTTCCACTTCTAATCCCCCCCCCCATATTAAAACAACCCAATAATTTAGAAGATATTTGTCGAAGTATGCGGGAAATTACATTAAGTTTGAAAAAGTTAGGATCAATACTGCAACGCTTAGCTGAAATGATTACCTCTATGAGCTGATTACCTCCCTTGGATATATTCAGCGATCTTTTTCTATTAACATCATTTGATTCCACCTGCCAAGATGAATCAATCAACCAGCCTTTATAAACCTATGTAGTTTGACCAATACTTTCATTAAACAGTAGGGGTCTGATATAACTGAAAAGTACCTCCAGCTAAAGACTCCAGTCCAACCTTTAAAGATAACAATTATTTAAAGATTTTTCTTAAATATTTTCTTAAAATAATCCATAAAATAATAATTTTACTAATTTTATTAGCTCAATCTTCGACTAAATTTGAAATAACTCAAAATAATGCAAGATTATGTGCTAATGAAATTTTTAAATATTTCAACATTGCTTTGCGAGGAGAAAATGTTAAATTTAAATTAAATAAAATTTAAATAAAAATTATTTTTATAGGAAAATGAAACTGAAAATTTTTTATTAAATCAAAGGAAATTTTACAATGTTTTATATAAAATAAAAAATTATTTACAAAATTATGACAAATATTTCTATAATTATTGCAATAGAGCAATAAAAGATAATGAAGATAACACAAAATTAGAATATTTAAATTTTGTGCATAATAGCCAAAAAGCTTCCCTTTTTATTTCTACTGGTTTTCTAATTTCAACAGCAAAGTTTTTGATTGAGGGATTGGGAAGTTCTAATAATGTTTGTTATATACGATATCTTATTTCATAATAGAATGACAATTAGGCAGAATCTTGTGCAGGCCTCTAAATCCATCGAGTTGAAAATAAGAGATAAATTAAATATACTTTAGAAAAATATCGGTATATTGTAGGAATAACACACGGAAAAAGGCTATATTTACCGTTTTATACATATGATAAAATCAGAATAAACATAAGAAATATAGGCAAAGGGATAAAGCTTTATTGTCTGCTTTTAAGCGAATAAATCTTTTGCTTTGATTCCATTTTTAATAAAAATTCGGGTAAAATTAATAATAGGGTCAGTAAAATTTAGAATAAAACTTATAAGAAGCTGAAATTAAATAACAAGTTTCAAGTGAATATAATAACCTTTAATTTTGTATATTTAATAATTAAATTAATATTTAAATGTTAATTTAAAAATAATTATAAGTGATGGAAGTTTATATAGCTAATTAATAAAATAATTTCTAAAATAAAAATAATTTTAAAGGAATTATTTAATGAATTTACACGTAAATCACCTATAATTTGGAACAATTCAAAAGCCTTATTGTTAACGAAGTTAACTAATGAAAATGTAGGCGCATAATTATTTTAATTTAATTTTATTTTAAGGTTAAAAATCAACTTTCTGAGTTTAATTTAGAAAAATTTGAAGAGAAATTGCGTGAGAAATATTCTGTCTCAGATCAGTCTATTAGCAGTAATTAATTTGAAATTGAAATATGTGTGAAATTTTATTTATGGTGTATTAAGAAATTAAACGTCCACTATGAATTATTTGAATGTTTTTCTAGAAACGATTTAGGCAAACTTTTATATCAATATTAGTAGTAAATATTAGAGATTGTATTCAAATATTTCTGAAATAATTCTCCAGCGGTATTTATTTGGAAAGGGGGGGGGGGGGGTCTCAAAAATGTTAAAGATGAGAACTTCTTGAAAAAGGCTTTTGGTATCTTTGATTTTCTACTGGAAATGACCACAGAAATTTTTATTGAACTTCTGTAACACTAAGGTGGATGTATAATTTGTTAACACACCATAAGAAAAAGAATGATGATTAAGATATTTAAATAACAATTATCTGATATATTCATTAGTATAATTAAAGTCAATTTTATTTTCTGAAATTTTTAAAAAATAAATTTAGTGAATTATTTAATAAATATTTGTATAATTCAAAGTGTTTAATTTCTCTCTATTCTTCAATTAATATAACCATTTGGAGAGCGTATATACCAATTATTTAAATGTACACAAATATCTTCAATTCCATATTTTGGTGTCCAATTTAAATTTTTTCTAGCATTTTCTATTTCACAACGAATTGAGGAAATATCTCCGGGACGTGGAGGCATAATTATTTTATTTATCTGAAAAAATAAAAATGAAAAAGCTTTAAAATAAATAAATTAATGACTGGTTTTCCACAAGCCTTCTCGTAATTAGCTATCATTTCTAAAACTGTATGATCACGTCCAAGACCAAGATTGTATACCTTAAATAATTTTTATTTTTAATTTGAAAATATTAAAAAATACAAAATTAAATTTAATTCTAAAATGTTTTTTAAATCTACCTACTATATGTATTATAAATATTTTTTTAAATTAAATATGTAGTAATATGTAGTATATTTTGTTTAATTTTGTAATAATTAAAATAAATCCTAATAATTTTCAAAATTATAATTTTAATATTATTATGTGCCAGGGATCCTGCCGACATAAAAAATAAATTCCCGATTTCGGGAGCACGATCCCTGCACGATTTACCAACTTCAATGTAATTTTCATTTTGTTCATCACCAATTATCTTTCCATTTTCATTAAAATATTCTTTATTTTCTTCTTTATTTTCATTAAAAAATTCGATTCTTTCAACAGACTTTACTATAGCTAAAGCTACATCACAAACATGAACAAAATCTCTACTTCCAGAACCATCACGTGTTGGAAATGTATTTCCACAAATATTTATTGCTTTTCTTTTTCCAAGAGCAACGGAAGCAATTAGAGGCATTAAGTGCTTTGGACCTTCAGAATTTATATCATCTCCTAAAAGTCCACTTGGATGGGCACCAGCAGGATCAAATGCTCTCAGAATTATTATACACCAATCCTATAAAAATGATAAATTTAAGTGAAATTTAAATTAATTTGGCAGGCTAAACTATACCCCCCTCCCAGTTTTTGGTATTTTTACTTAATTTCTCAGACAGACCAATTATTATAAAATATTTCTCAACCTTTGAGCTTTTACAAACATCCCGAAGTATTTGTTCAACCATAAATTTAGCCCATCCATACGGATTTGTGATATCAACCCCAGTAGAGCTATTCTCAGTTACCGGCAATTCTTTAGGCACTCCATAAACTGTTGCACTACTCATAAAAACTAATTTTTTCTTTTCATATTTTTCACACATCTACATATAGATTTAATTAAATAATAAAATTTAAGAAAAAATATTATACTTTAAGTAAATTTATTGAAGAAATTAAATTATTAGCATAATATTCTAAAGGATATTTAATTGATGGGGCAACACCTTTTGATGAAGCTAAGTGAATTACAATATTAAATTTCTCCTTAAAATAATTTTGTTCAGAAAAAATAAAAATTAAATTTAACCGTTTTAAATATATTCTCTAATTCATCAATATATTGTAAATTACAACGTTTAAATGTTAACATTGAGCCACGACAATTAGCCAAAATTAACACTCTCATTAAACACTGAGGCAAAACACAGACTTTTTCTTCTTCTAATTTATTAATATTTTTTAAAATTAATTATTGAAAGGGTATTTTTTAATTACTGTTTGCCTGGTGAACAATTAAATAACCAGGACTAATTTATGGAAATATTGTTCTAGGAGACTAATCAAAGAGGCTTTTATTTAAAAATGAATGAAGTAATAGTCAGATTAAAAAATTTAGAAATAATTTAAACTTAATTACCCCGACTTTTTGAATTTCCAAGTGCTATAACTTTAAACCCGGCATTTAAAAGTTCTAAAACAGCATGAGATCCAATATATCCAGTTGCCCCTGTTACCAAAACACAAATTCCTTGATTTTTATTTTGTAACATCACCATAATATTTAAATAAATTAATTATTTAAAAATAAATCTCTAAAAATAAAAATATAAACTAGACAAATAATTTCTCGAGAAATAAATAAAATAATTAATATCGAAATTAAAAATGTTTATTTAACTGCAACCAAAAAACAATAAATACAAGAAATAATTACTAAATTTTTTATTTATTTAACAGCAAAACAAAAACAGGACTACATATATTTTTTAAAATAAAATAATTTAAATAATATTTATAGAAAAAATATTTTTAAAGGAAGAATAAATAATTTTTATTTTTCATATTAAAAAGAAAAAAATGAGAGAATACCTAAATTAATTAAAATTAATAAAAAAAGATAATTAAAAATTAAAAATAAATTAAATTTCAAAGAAAAAGAAACATTTTTTAAAGAAAAATAAAATAAATTAAATAATTTATATATATATATATTCTCTACTAAAATTAACATCGAAGATCAAAAAGGAATATGCGATTTGATAAAATCTATCGAGAAAATTTAAAAAAAAATATTTTTAAGATAGAAACTAGTTTTTAGTTTTTAATAAAAGGATTCAAATAAAAAAAAAGATTTTTAATTTAGAAAATTCTCTTTTTTTAAAATATTCTTTATTTAGAGAAGTCCGCTTTCTCCTCATTTTTCCCTCTCAAACTCTTCTTTTTTTTCTTCAATTATTTCCAGTTCATTTACCACCCAATGTGACTACATTTATTTTTTATATGAATAAAAAATTATTAAAAATTAAAAAAATAAAAAGAAAATTAATTATTTATTTTCCTTCTTTATTTAAAATTCAAATAATTAGAATGGCACATTTAACTAAACTTTTCCCGATATTTATTATTTTAATATTTTTGGCATTTCTTTATATTTGTAAATATTTACCTGTAATAAATTCAAAGAAAAATAATGAAAATGAAATTAATAAAAAGAATATTGAAAAAGTGAAGAAAATTAAGTTGGTATTTGAATATTAAATTGATCAAACTGGGGAACTGAAAATGAGTAATTAGCGCTCAAGAAAATTATATCAAAATCCGGCTCCCGGTATCCTAAATCTTCGATACGAATAGCAAAACTGATTTTTTTGTTCTTAGTTTAGAGCACCTTTTTTAGAAAAGTACCTAAGTATGCCCTCTCTCGTATCACCCTCCCTCATCCGTTTTCTAACTTTAAAATTAATTTGTTCATTCACCATATCTATAGGTTTGTTGGGGCTGAAAATTATGAAAAATTTGATTGTAAAAATGAAAAGGTTATTTTCTTAAAATAATTTAAAATTAATTTAAATTATTTTTAGATGTCCTATAATTGGCAAATTTTAAATAAAAGTGCAGGGAAAATAATAGAGGAAGTTGGGAAAGAATTTGATTGCAAACATATGAATATTTTAAATAAATATAAATTAACAAATCAAATTAAATTGCCAAATAATTATAAAGTTTTGATTATTTAATTTAAATATTTTTAATTGTTTTTAAGGCAACAGAACCAGGAGATAAAGAAGATAGTGCTGTTTTTGTAACAGCTTCAGATGCTAAACAAATAGATGCACTTATTTCCTTAATTGGTTCAATTAAGCACAGATTTGGGACAAAGCAAAGAATTATTGTATACGATCTTGGGGGAATATTGTTAAATGCTAAAATGGTTGGTTAGTTGGTTTTTTTTGTTAAATTAAATAGGTAAATGGGAGGAGAGAGGGGGAATGAAAAAGAAACATTTAAAATAAGATAAAGTGTATTGTTGTTGTTGTTTGTTTTGAAATTTTAAAAGTATTCATGGTGACCATAAAAGTTTAGAACACTTCATTTTGGCATAAATTTTTTATCATTGATATTTTTTACTATTATTAAACTCATTTTGTAGCCAATTCAATTCTATTTCAGGACTTATAAGCCTGGTTCCATATAAGCCTGGTTCCTTATAAGCCTGGCTTATAAGCCTGGTTATCGAATCTTTTTCAAAAAATTTGGCGATTGTAAAAATTCTCTATCATTTAAGACATATATGATCTCAATATCTTAAATTTGAATAAAGTCATGGCATAAAAAGTGTGTCCTAAACTTTAATGGTCACCCTGTAGTACACATAATTTTTAATTAAGCCAATATTAAAGTAAATTTTCTAAAATTAATATAAAATAAATTTTAGATGTATTATATAAGAAATATTTGTTCAGTAGAATATCGTCGATTTAATTTAAACCAGTTACCTCCAAATTTACGTAATATTAAAACATTTGCTTGGAAAATATTTATTTTAGCGGTTTCTCTTTTAAATTAAAATTTAAAAATTAATTAATTAAAGCAATCACATTTGGAATTTAATACTTTTATTTATGTCGATACTTCTGTTAGAATATATAATGGAGATTTTGAAAGGCATATTTATGGAATTAATAAAAGAATTTTAAGTCCATTTCTTTTTAATATGGGGACAAATCATGGAATTAAAAGAGCTACTTTGCCCGGTACTTTTAGAAAATATTTCTTTTTAAAATAGGTCTTGGCCCAGGAAATAGCATTCCCCTATTTCCTGGGAAATAAATAAAAAATTCAAATTTGGAGTTTGGTTCCAAATTTCTGGGGTTTGGTTTCGAAATTTGGGGTTTGGTTTAATAACATTTTTTTAATTTTTGGAACCAATTAGTTTGGAACTGTTTGTAGTTTATTCGTTTATACGAATAAGTTCAAATGCCGTGGATCTAAAACACTAAAACGTTTACAGATCCAAATCAAAAATTAAAAAGAGATATTTGCTAAAAATTGTATAGATATATACCAGGGGTGTGCCAGTTTCGCCTTTCGCGGATTTTCGCGTTTTTGGACTTTCGCCTTTATTGTTTTGCGTGTCGCTTTTTTAAAATCTGTTTCGGCACACCCCTAATATATACCCACATATATTTCCGTTAACATAAAATAAAATTTTAACAATAATTTCTAATTTAAACAGAAACATTTCAATATCTTCCTCTTTATACTTCTGATGAAATTGATATTGAAATGCAAGAAACTCATTTTATTATTGTACAAAAAAGTGAATTTTCTAAAGAAATATTAAAATGGTTTTATTTAAATTTTTAATTTAATATTTAATTTCTAAAAAAGGGCAATTTTATGTGCTTTAACTAAAGAATGTTTTGAACCTAAAAATAATACAAAATGTAAAGAAAATCAACTTTATATAAAAGATGATAGTCTTTTTGGAATATGTCATAATAATGATAAAAGTGTTCTTACTATTTTAATTAATAATGCTGAAGAAGAAATAATTTCTAGAGGTTTTTTGACCTTTTTAAAAAGTATTTAAGGAAGAATGATAATTTTAATTAAACTGAACTAATATCGCCTGTAAAGAATATAGTTATTTAATTCCGAAGGCTGTGTCGTAGGCGTCGTAGTGTAATTAATGGATAACACATCAGTCCTGTTTACTGAACTAGCTAAAGGAGAGAAATAGTTATAGCCCAGCTGCTTTACAGCACTGGATGGTTCAGCGAACTGCTGAACGCATGACGATCCATCCCATATACCCTGTGTTAAAGAAAGAAATTCCGCCAGAGAAGGCGATGATTTAGTTTACCCCGCAGGTGACTTCCCTTAAAGACATTTCTTTTGTGAAAAAATAATTTTAAAAATATTTTTTTATTTTTTAGGTAATTCAAATTTAATACTTCATTCAAGTTACAACCACCATAGCCGTAGACTTAGTATTTTCCCATTTACTAATTACCAAATATTGAGAGATCATCGAGATAATCCGGATGAAGTTCTTAAAAGACATAAATGTTAATTTATTTTCAGAAAATTATTAAAAAAATAAAAATTATATATTTTTTAAATTCAGGGAATTTATAAAGTAAATCTAAATTGTTTAAATTTTTTGTGATAGATGAAAATTAATTGTTTTGCTATTAAATTAATTAATTTTTAGTTATTTTATGTCTAAAAAATTTATCTAGAATTTATTAACCTCATCTAGAAAAATTTAATAATTAAAAAAAAGGTTTTTATAAATATTGTGAGGATGATTCACCTAGAGGATTTAAAACAGGCGGAGGTTAAACTATCTAAAAGGATAAAAGAGAAAGCATTTACCCACTAGTTTAGGGGGCAAGCAATAACTACGGGGAGGCCGCAGGTGGGGGAGGCCTGCCGGGTGGCTAAAACTTTTGCTAACTATTTTTTGTATTTTATTTATTTTAAAATAAAATTAGAAGAGATTTTAAAAAATTATTTGCAATTAAATAGATAAAATTGATTAAAAAAATTTTTCACGAGAGGAGATAGCGAATGAACACGAGAGACAAATCATTAAATATTAATTAATCAAAATAAACGCCCAAACACCAATTTTTTATTTTTAAAAATTTAAATAATTAATTTAATTGCAGAGATTTTAAAATAAATTTTTAATTAAGAAATTAAACAAAAACAAGTTTTTTTTGTTTTGCTAATTTAATAATTAATAATTTAAAATTTTACTTTATCTTTCTTCGTTTAGTAATTTTGAAATAAATATATTTTTAAAAACACAAAAAGTTTAGAATTATTTATTTCCTTAAGTAGAAGTGAAACGAGTAGTAGGTTTAGGATTCGAGCCCTCTTTATTTCAACAGAAGGGAAAATGTATATCCGGTTCAAGAGGATTTAGAGAGAGGGAAAGTATGGAATGCCAATGAGCCAGATTTCTCAATTTTCTGCGCCGCAGGCGCAGAAAATTTTGACAACTTTGGAAGGCCAAGGAGCCAATTTTTTCAATTTTGAAATTTGAAAAATCATTAGTCGGAAATATGCTTTAAAAATTACGTCGGAAATCGGAATAAAAAAAACGTCGGAAATAGGAATTCCGACCCACCTCTGCTGTAGATGATAAAAATTAATATAGGTAGTTTTTTATTAAAATAATATACCTATTATTTAAAACAAAAATGTTGAATTTATTTAAAATAAACAAAAAATAAATTATAGATTAATTAACAAATTTAAATTAAATTAGTTAATTAAATTGATTTATAAGAGTTCAATGATTAAGCTTATTTTTGGCCAAACTACATATATGGCCAAGTGCATTCAAAATAATTCTTACCCTCTCCCTTTTTCTCTCTTTTACTCATTTGATAAAATTAAATATAATTTATTTTTAAATATTTATTTTTATTTATTTATTATTATTAAATAAATAAATTAATATTTATTTTTAATTAGAAACTATTAATTATTTTTTCAGTCAATTTTGATGAATAAAACTATTTTTATTTATTTCTTTTTTATTTTTAGCATTCTTCCTTTTCAAGTTATAGGACCAAAAGGTAATTTTTTAAATTTAATATTTAAATAAATTAAATTAAAAGGTTGGAATATTATAAAGAAAAATATAAAAAATAAAAATATTTATCGAGGTAAAATTTAAAAATAATTAGGTAATTTAATTGTAATATTTTAAGAACCAGAACCAAAACATTTAATTAAAATAAATGATGCCGAAAAAATAACAATTAAAATAATTGAGGATATTAAAGCTTTTCTTTATTTAAATCAACAACCAAGATTATTGAATGATGTTGAATTTTTAAATTATTTTGTAGATCTTTTTAAATCAAATCAAAAAAATTATCTTAAACAAATAAAAGAAAATGAGACATATTTAAACGAAAATTTAAATGTTGAAGTACCCCCTCCTACAATTTATTCTTTGCTAATTAATCATGAAGATATTATTAAAGAATATTGTAATGGTATTTTGGAAATTTCTGATGAGGGAAGTAGTAATAGAGGAAGAGATATTATTAAAGAAATTGAAAATTTGAATTCTTCTAATTTATGTAAAGTTGGGTTTATGTTTGGATTTGCCAAATTTTTTGGTAAATTTTTTTTGGAAGAATTGAATAAAAATGGATATTCGAGTGAAGATGAAGAAAATGAAATTGAAAGAATTAATTGGGGTAATTGGGTAAAGGTAAATAAATAATTAAGAGGGAATAATTAAGTTAAAATTATTTTTAGGAAACAGAAGAGTTTTTAAATAATTGTTATATAATTTGGGAAAAGATAAGACAATCATACATTGATAATGCTGAAAGTGCTATAATTAAAACAAAAAAAGTAAAAATTTCTTAAATTAAGAAAATATATTAATTAATTAATTTATTTATTTAGTCTAAAAATAAATTTGAAGTTCTCAATTTGGAGGAAATTGAAAAAGAAATTGGAAAAAAATATGAAATTAAAGAAATTAACGAATTTGATTAGATTTTGTCCCGTTGTTTTCATCTTTTCGAATTTTTCTTCTATTAAGTTTTTTTAATTATTAGGAATTAGGGGCGGTATTTTTTGAGATTCTCGATAAACAAAAATTTTTATAACCAAATATTCGTTACTTTTATTTGTTAAAAATTTAATCCCCAGAAATTTATTTTAATTATTTAAATGTTTCTAAAATTATTTTTATTTACACATTATCTTTTATGGATTTTTTAGTAAATTATTTTATAAATTTTATATTTTTATCTTGATGATTTTTTGAATTATAATATCTTCAAATTTTACTTTTGAAACTGACAAAAGTTTGTTTTCAACAGAAATCGGAAAAAGAATTCAGATATTGGTGGAGAATAAATAATAATTTAAATAAATGAAATTTATTCTGTTTGAAATAAGGAAAGGGAGGCTTTAGATTTAGTACATATATATTTACCGGAGCAGGACGAATAGGCGCGGCCGAATAGGCGCGGACGAATAGGCGCGGCCGAATAGGCGCCGAGACAAATAGGCGCGAGACGAATAGGCGCGGGACGAATAGGCGCCCCAAGTTATTTTTTCCCAGGAAATTTTTTTGTTCTGATGTTCTGATTTTTTGTTCTGATTTTTTTGTTCTGATGTTCTGATTTTTTTGTTCTGATGTTCTGATTTTTTGTTCTGATGTTCTGATTTTTTGTTCTGATGTTCTGATTTTTTTGTTCTGATGTTCTGATTTTTTGTTCTGATTTTTTTGTTCTGATGTTCTGATTTTTTTGTTCTGATTTTTTTGTTCTGATGTTCTGATTTTTTTGTTCTGATTTTTTTGTTCTGATGTTCTGATTTTTTTGTTCTGATGTTCTGATTTTTTGTTCTGATGTTCTGATTTTTTTGTTCTGATGTTCTGATTTTTTTGTTCTGATGTTCTGATTTTTTGTTCTGATGTTCTGATTTTTTTGTTCTGATGTTCTGATTTTTTGTTCTGATTTTTTTGTTCTGATGTTCTGATTTTTTTGTTCTGATGTTCTGATTTTTTGTTCTGATGTTCTGATTTTTTTGTTCTGATGTTCTGATTTTTTTGTTCTGATGTTCTGATTTTTTGTTCTGATTTTTTTGTTCTGATGTTCTGATTTTTTTGTTCTGATGTTCTGATTTTTTGTTCTGATTTTTTTGTTCTGATGTTCTGATTTTTTGTTCTGATGTTCTGATTTTTTTGTTCTGATGTTCTGATTTTTTTGTTCTGATGTTCTGATTTTTTGTTCTGATTTTTTTGTTCTGATGTTCTGATTTTTTTGTTCTGATGTTCTGATTTTTTTGTTCTGATGTTCTGATTTTTTGTTCTGATTTTTTTGTTCTGATGTTCTGATTTTTTTGTTCTGATGTTCTGATTTTTTGTTCTGATGTTCTGATTTTTTGTTCTGATTTTTTTGTTCTGATTTTTCTGATTTTTTTGTTCTGATGTTCTGATTTTTTGTTCTGATTTTTTTGTTCTGATGTTCTGATTTTTTGTTCTGATTTTTTTGTTCTGATGTTCTGATTTTTTTGTTCTGATGTTCTGATTTTTTTGTTCTGATGTTCTGATTTTTTGTTCTGATTTTTTTGTTCTGATGTTCTGATTTTTTTGTTCTGATGTTCTGATTTTTTGTTCTGATTTTTTTGTTCTGATGTTCTGATTTTTTTGTTCTGATGTTCTGATTTTTTGTTCTGATTTTTTTGTTCTGATGTTCTGATTTTTTTGTTCTGATGTTCTGATTTTTTGTTCTGATTTTTTTGTTCTGATGTTCTGATTTTTTGTTCTGATGTTCTGATTTTTTTGTTCTGATTTTTTTGTTCTGATGTTCTGATTTTTTGTTCTGATTTTTTTGTTCTGATGTTCTGATTTTTTGTTCTGATGTTCTGATTTTTTTGTTCTGATTTTTTTGTTCTGATGTTCTGATTTTTTTGTTCTGATTTTTTTGTTCTGATGTTCTGATTTTTTTGTTCTGATGTTCTGATTTTTTGTTCTGATGTTCTGATTTTTTTGTTCTGATGTTCTGATTTTTTTGTTCTGATGTTCTGATTTTTTGTTCTGATGTTCTGATTTTTTTGTTCTGATGTTCTGATTTTTTGTTCTGATTTTTTTGTTCTGATGTTCTGATTTTTTTGTTCTGATGTTCTGATTTTTTGTTCTGATGTTCTGATTTTTTTGTTCTGATGTTCTGATTTTTTTGTTCTGATGTTCTGATTTTTTGTTCTGATTTTTTTGTTCTGATGTTCTGATTTTTTTGTTCTGATGTTCTGATTTTTTGTTCTGATTTTTTTGTTCTGATGTTCTGATTTTTTGTTCTGATTTTTTTGTTCTGATGTTCTGATTTTTTGTTCTGATTTTTTTGTTCTGATGTTCTGATTTTTTTGTTCTGATGTTCTGATTTTTTTGTTCTGATGTTCTGATTTTTTGTTCTGATTTTTTTGTTCTGATTTTTTTGTTCTGATGTTCTGATTTTTTGTTCTGATTTTTTTGTTCTGATGTTCTGATTTTTTGTTCTGATTTTTTTGTTCTGATGTTCTGATTTTTTGTTCTGATTATTTTGTTCTGATTTTTTTGTTCTGATGTTCTGATTTTTTTGTTCTGATGTTCTGATTTTTTGTTCTGATTTTTTTGTTCTGATGTTCTGATTTTTTTGTTCTGATGTTCTGATTTTTTTGTTCTGATGTTCTGATTTTTTTGTTCTGATGTTCTGATTTTTTTGTTCTGATGTTCTGATTTTTTTGTTCTGATGTTCTGATTTTTTGTTCTGATTTTTTTGTTCTGATGTTCTGATTTTTTTGTTCTGATGTTCTGATTTTTTGTTCTGATGTTCTGATTTTTTGTTCTGATGTTCTGATTTTTTTGTTCTGATGTTCTGATTTTTTGTTCTGATTTTTTTGTTCTGATGTTCTGATTTTTTGTTCTGATTTTTTTGTTCTGATGTTCTGATTTTTTGTTCTGATGTTCTGATTTTTTTGTTCTGATGTTCTGATTTTTTGTTCTGATTTTTTTGTTCTGATGTTCTGATTTTTTTGTTCTGATGTTCTGATTTTTTGTTCTGATTTTTTTGTTCTGATGTTCTGATTTTTTTGTTCTGATGTTCCGATTTTTTTGTTCTGATTTTCCCGGCCTACCCTCCGTAGCAGCACAAAAAGGTTTTTCCGGCGAAGATTCAGTTGGTCGTAAACTTGTTCAGAATCATCCAATCGAGCTGATTTTGGTGTCATTCAATCTCTCGATATCCCTCCTAATCCCCAAATCCACAACATCCATCTCTCCAAATTTATTGATATCTACCTTAATCCACCGACTAATAAAACTTATGTTTCTTTTTTTAATTAAGATTTTAAAAATGTTAGAAAATCAGGAGAAAAAAATCAAAAAAAATCTGAAGAAAAAAATCAGAAGAAGAAAATTATAAAAAATTTCCTGGGAAAAAATAACTTGGGGCGCCTATTCGTCCCGCGCCTATTCGTCTCGCGCCTATTTGTCTCGGCGCCTATTCGGCCGCGCCTATTCGTCCGCGCCTATTCGGCCGCGCCTATTCGTCATGTATCGATATTTACCCTATAAAGGGTATATTTAGGAAGGAAAAATTTAAATTAATAAAATATTTAGTAGTCTTCGCAAATTAAATAAATAAAATTCTCAAACAAAATAACTATTAAATTTAGAAAACTTTTTTTTACTTTTATTATTAAAAAATAATTTATAAAAATTTGGTGTTAATTTTTTAATTAAAAATTTTTCTAGAATTATTTTTAAAAATTAATTTAAATTTTATTTTTAAATAAATTTATTATTTATTAATTTATTAATCAATTATTAATCATTAATTATTGTTTAACGTGATTAAGGGCAAGAAAGGGAGAAGGAGAGGATATATCCCCTTATTACTCCCCCTCAAAAATTTAAAAACTACTAAATTGATTTATATGTATCTATTCTTTTTTAATTAAAATTAAAAATTTTAAATTATTAGCAAATCTAAATAAATATTTAAATTAAATTAATTTAAATTTTTATAAATTTAAACAATGCGTCAAATTATTATATCGAAATTCCTTCTATTTTCCATAATAATTTTGCCATTTGAAGTGATTGCCCCCAAAAATAGTATTTTTAACAATAATTAAATGTAAATATAAAGTTAAATTTTAAGAATGGAATCCTTTTAAAAATATAAAAAATATTGGAAGTAGCAGCAGTGGTACAGGTCTAAATAAATAAATAAATTAATTAATTAAATTTAAAAAAGACATACTTATAAGATTTAATTATATATAACTTTCATAAAAATTTTCGGAGTTAACATAATAATTTGTCAATAACTACTACATTTAATTCAAAATATAAATGTGTCTTTTATTTTTATCTTTTTATCTCTCCTTTAAAATAAATTGAGAAAGAGTGTAAATATTTACTGGCACAAATAGAAATGCCAAAAATTAATTTAGAAATTAAAAAAAAATTTATTTAAGTTCCAAAGTATCAAATAAAAGAAGGCGATGCTAAAATTATAACCTTTAAAATAATTGATCTTATCAAAGAAAAACTTTTTCAAGAAAATAATTTAGCACAGGAAAATATTGTTAATCAAGTAAATATTTAATTTAAAAAAAATAATTTTTAATTAAAGAATTCAATTAAAATTTTATTAAATCAAATAAATTTTAACGAAGAAATTAAAAATAGAGAAATTAATTTAATTTCTGACCGTGAGGAAGTAATATATGGATATTGTGAAAAAAGATTAAATAAATCGAGAAATAAACATAAACAGTTTGAATCACAAGATTATTTAAATTCTTATAATTTTTGTAAAGTTGGGTTTTTATTTGCTTTTGTTAAATTTTTTTCAGAGGAGGGAATATTTGTGAATGAAACTGAGGAGTGGAAAAATGTATATTTTAATAAAAATTTTAATTTAAAATTTTTTAAAAATTTTAAGGAGACAAATAATTTTATAAATATTTCTTATGAAAGTTGGGTAGAAGCTAAAAAAATTATATTGGGCAAGTCTAAGCTATTCAAAGAGGAAAATAATGATGAATATTTAATTAGAGAAATTAAAGCAATAATGATGAAAACTAAAGAAGTATTTTTTAAATTATTTAAAATTATTTAAAGAGAAAATTTAAATAATATTCCTTAAAAATAGAATATTTAAAACAAATTAAAAGTTTTTTTAAATAAAATTAATATGTACTATTCTATGAATTAAATAAAAAATATTTAGTATAAGAAAAATGTAAAAAAGCTCAATTTGGAGGAAATTGAAAAAGTAATTGATAACAAATATGAAATTGAGGAGTTAAATGAATTTGATTGAAAATATCTTTAATGATGAAAAGAAAATATTATTTATCGTTATTTGGCGAAACCAAACTTTTACTGGGAAAACTGAACAAATTTTTAAAAAATTCGATTTATCAAACTTGAAAAAACTTTGCATCCTTTATAACTAAAAACTAGTGTTGTTCCACAACGGGGGGATGATTTTACGGGGAAATTTTGATAAATCAAACAATTTGCGCTGCAGGCGAAAATTTTGGAAAAAAATTTTTTGGAATTTTGGAAGACAAAAACGGGGAATTTTCAAAGGGAATTGAAAATTCCCCGACTTTAGGGGACGAGGAACAACCCTACTAAAAATTCTGATTTTTTAGTATAATTATTTAACAATTTTAGATATTAAATACACATTATTTAATTATTTATCAAAATATGTATTTATTTTTTAAAAGTAAAAGGAAATCTTTTTAAACACAATTTATTTTTCATATTAAAATTTATGTCTAAAAAATACAAATTTAAAGTATAGGAGTTCCAAAAGCTATTTGTCTCTTTTCAATATCCAATTCATTAATCCCTCTAACAAATTTAAAAAATCCATTTAATTCTCCCCAATTACTTCCAAAAGAATTTATTCCAAGCCAATATTTTTGAAAACTTCCATCAGAACAGGTATAATTCCCATAACCAATTAAACGAACAGCATGTCCAATACAACCACTGATAGAGTCTCTACCTGCGCAGGGACTTTCTATATAATTGTAAATACCCGATTTGTAATTCTGAAAAAAATATATTTTTTAAACAAATTATTTGAAGACAGAATGTATGCTAATTAATAACAGGTTAATGAGAGATGGTGTATTGGGGCTCCAAAAATATTTTTTAATTTTTTGAAAATTGAGGCTATTCCTGACATGAGTCTAGGAATTGCTCTATTGCTCTTATGCAGATCCACTTAGATAAATATTTTCCTTGACACAGATAATTAGCATTTCTCCTATATCATAATATATCAGATTTTAAATACCTCAACAAAATCTCTGTGGAGCAAAAACGAAGCACTGATTGATCCACCATTAAATATGGCTTCTTTCATTTCTTTTTCCCAAGTTTTTTGGCCTTTAGGCAAGTCTTTAGCATATAAAGCTCTGACATTTTTTGCTAAATATAATAATAGCATTAATTTTTTCCCAATTTATACCTTTTCTTTTGTCAAGTTCATATTCAAAAGTTTCATTTCCGTAAGCTGTATTTGAACAAATATCTTTACAGTTCTTTTTAAAGGCATATTGAGGTGTAGTTGTTGCCTCTTCAATTGGTGGAAATGGATATGGAATACATCCACCCATTTGGAAATTATGTCCACTAACAACTCCAACCTTTTCAAACCACTGCCAGGCTACACCTGATGAACCGCCAGTACAGCTAAAATATATTTTTTAGAGAGTAAAAAATTATTTTATTTTTGATCATAAAATTATTTTTTTGTTTAAATGGAGAAAAAATGATTGTAATTTTAGTTTGGAAGAGCGATGGAATAATCTCGAAACACGGATATTTTTGAATAAGCTATAGTCCCAGATCCATTTTCCATTTTTATTTTACATAAACTAACGCATCACGATTAGGAGAATCAGAACAGACAGCAGTATCATATGCAGAAGCAAAAAAAGAGTCTATCACTTCTATTGGTATTTTATTTTTAACCATTTCAATACATCTACGATCAGTAAAAGTGGAAGTAGCAGAAATTGCCCAACAATCTTTACAAAGTGATTGGTCTCGAATATTGTTAATTCTTTTTAAAAAAAATATTTTTATTTCAAATTATTATATAGGATTACATTTCTTTACATTCTGGCCATTTATCTCGAATATCAAAAACATAATCGCTGCAAGTTATATTTGCTTAAAATTATTTTTTAAATTTAATCTAAACTCCAAATAATTTATTTACTCAATTCCCCCTCATCATTTTCCAAAACAAATTTTTCAACAAATTTTAATTCTGGTTCAGTAACATTAGAAGGTTCTATTCTTGGAAGAGAACGAGGTTCTGCTTCTTCTATACCCGGAGGCAAAACATCCCCACCAAGCATTTCAATTTCTTCATCACTTAACAAAGCTAAATGTTCATTTATACCGCTCTAAAAATTAAATTAAAAAACAAATTTTTTAATTAAAATTTAATTTTAAACCTTCCATTTCCCTTTTAATCCTTTTACTTTTTCCTTTCCTTTACGTAATTTTGATAAATTTTTATTTTTTCGACCTAATCTCGTTTCTTTTTCAGATTTTCTTAAATTATTTCTTCCTTTAATTATTTTTGTTTTAATTTCCAATTCTTTTTGTTTTTCCTCATTTTCCAAGTCTTTTTTCTTTTCATTTATTTTTGGATGATTTTTATTTCCTTCTTTTTTCTTCTCTTCATTTACTTCCTTTGTCGTATCATTTTTTGGTTTTTCTTCAATTTTTATTTTGTCCTGTTTTTCTTCCAAAGAATTATTATTTTTAATTTCATCTGCTAATAAATTAATTAAAATTTTATTTTCTTTTTCATCTTTTTTGGAATTATTATTATCTTCTTTTTTAGATTCAACTTCGCCTCTCTCAGGTTTAACTTCTTTGTCAATTATTTCAGTTATGTTGTTAGTCTACATATAAAATACTTACATAGATAATTTAATTTTTTTATTATTTTAAAATAAAGTCGGATCTCATTTTTAAATACTCCAAAAGAATTAGAAAAATCGTATTTAAAATCAAGGGGTAACTTAAATTGAGAGTTAAGTATTTAATCAAAAAAATTTTAGTCTATTCAATAATGAGTTTTTTGCTAAAATTTAATAAAAGTTTTTTTATAAAAACCTCCCAAAAATTGTTATCAAATAAAATTATGAATCAAATACGATTGAATATAACCAAACTCAAACAGTATGTTTGGACAATAATACATATGTTCATTATTTACCTCGTCTTTTTGTTTATGATGTTTTTTATTTTCATGATTATTGGCAGTTGTTAAAACAAAAATACAAATAATATTAAATAATAAAAAATAAAATAAAAATAAATTAATTGATTTTCTGGTCATTTCCTGGTCTCAAAACAAAATAAATTCTTAAAAATCAAAGAAAATGAACAAAAATTGTTGTTATTATTTAGTAGAAACAATTTTTATTTTTATCTTCCTCTAATAAATTTACCTTTTACTATTAATGTCGATTTTGTTGAAGGCCTTTTCTCTCATCGTTCTCAAAGTTTAGTAACGCAACAAGTTTTTAAATATATAAATTATGCAGAAAATAAAGGGCGTTCTTTTTAATATATACCGTTCCAGCAATATTAACAATTTTCTTTAGTAAAAAATAAATAAATAAAATAAATTTTAAAAACAATTTAATTAAATGAAAAGAATTATTTTTAAATTAGACATAAATAAGGCAATTGTTGACTTGAATGGAAGTTAAATTTTGTAGGATTTTAATTTGATATGTTCAAGCTTATTTTTTAGAGGACAATCAAAGATGTTTTATTTTTTTGAAGAAAACTAAAATTGTTTTTTTTTCTAAATAAATTATTAAACATACAGTGCCGGAAATAAGATAGGATCAAAGCCGTTAACTTAGTTTTTCATCTTATCCCTTTTTTATTGGCATTTAGGAAAAAAGTTTCAGCACAAAAATTTTAGGACAGGACCTTGATAATTAAAATCAAAAATATCGACTTTGTCTACATAACTTATTTGAAAAGTGTCTAATATTGAGATTTAATAAATTAAACTTAATTAGAAGGAAATCACAAATTAGTATGGGATAATAAAGAAAGTACAAATAAATTATACATTAGCACCTTCAACATCCTTTAACGATATCCACAACTATTTAATATTTATAAGATGGAAAAGCAAGAAAAATATGCTTCGGCTTTGTTTTATTAATGGAAATTTTGAAATAATTGGAATTTGATTTTGAAAATAAAATAATTGTTTTTTCTAAATTTCATACTTTTAACTTTTTTAATTAAAAAAGTATAGGATAAAATAAAATTATCAGAAAATTAAAAGATTTCTTCCAAAAATTCAATCGGTTTTATCAATTAAAAACATATTAACAGCTTACATATGTATATCCTCAAAACACATCCAAAATTTTGAATTATTAATTAAAATTATACACTCAGTAAAAATTTTTAAAAAATCCCAAATAATTCCAATTTACCTTTAAATATTTTTGTTTTTCATTTACATTTATTTCAATTCTTTCAGAAAAACAACTAGTTTTGTTTTCTCACTTTCCTCTCTTTTATTTAAATAAATAATGGACCAAAGCGGAAACTTTTCTGGACTTTTTAAAAAGAATGTTAAAATATATCGGATGTTGTGGACAGTTAAAATATTATATTTTTTTTTGAAATAAATGAAAGAAAAAATGTCAAAAAATAAATATATTTATTCTTTTGTTTTTCAAATAAAAATTTTTAATTTAATTTTTTTTCTGTTAAAGCTTCTGGCATATTTTCTTTTAAAAAACTTGTTTTTATTTATAAAAATGACCTGTAATAATCCCTCTTATTTTTAGTCATTCTTTTGGCCTTAAAAAAGAACACAAAAGAATTTAATCGAAAAAGTACTTCTTGGACAGCAAATAAATGAAAATTTAGTAATATTTGTTTAAAAAAAGGTTGTTGGAAGTTAATTCTATGGGATTAGACACCCCCCTCCCTCCTCCCTCATCCTTACATATTCGCGCAATTACATTTACTATTACTTTTGTTGTCCTTTATTAAAGCTCTAATTTTGTAATTGTTTTTTTTCTAAAAATAGATTTGAATTTTAATAATAATTTTTAATAAAAATAAATTATAGAAAATTAATTCATTTTTAGAAATGAATTCCAACAGAATTAACAATAATAACATTCGACAACAACAACAACAAATAATTGATGGACAACAATTAATTCAATCACGTTCAAGTATTTATTCTTCTGATGGATTTTCTTGTTCATCTGACAGTTTACCTGCCCCTTTACTTTATCAAAGAAATTCTTCAAATATTCTAGAATTTGAACAGAATCAACAAAATATTCATTTAAATCAAAACAATAATAGTCAAGTTCAAACAAATTTGGCTTGGGATACTTTTAGGTTATTACCTCCAGAACCTGATAAAAATAATAAAGGTGAATATCGAATTGTTGCTTTAATCATTTTTTAAATTAAAAAATTTTCTCTTTAATTATTATATCCCTAATTTTTTAAATTTAATCTTTATAGCCAATTTATATATCATCTTTCTTCAAATACTCAAATTATTAACATTCTTTGTACTTTTTATTATCACACTTAGCAGCTCTATAATTTCTAAATTAATTTTGCTTGTAATGGCGGCAGGTTTAGGACAATCTGGTAAAAATATAAGTATTTGTCCAGACAAAATACCCGGTAAATTTTTGAAATTATTTTTTAAATTTTAAATATTATTTTTCAGAATCTACAGAAAATAGGGTTATTATTTCACCAAAAAATGCGGCAAAATGGGCCTGGGCCCTTCTATTGTCTTTATGTTTACCTGAGTAATTAAAATTATTTTTTTTAATTTAATTTTTCTTAACTAAAAAAGATTATTTTGTTTTGCTCGTTCTCTACATCGAAGTATGTTCAGAAAAGTTAGAGGCCTTGCTTTTGCTCATTTTTTAATTGTTATTATTTATTTTAATTAAATTTTACTTAGGATGGATTTTGAAAATAAACTTCAGAGGACTAATTAAGATTGCGCCCCGATTCAGGCTAAATTTAACCGTTGAACCCCGACTCCGAAAGTTCAACTCCAACAAATCTGAACCTCAATTTTCTAATTTTTGGGGTTCGTTGACGAAAAATAAATATGCGTTTTAGACATTATTTTAAATTTATTTTTTGTATGAAATGATGGGTTTGGTTAATAAAGTTCAAAATAAAACTAAGACCAGAACCAGATCTTTACAATAAAACTTAATTTATCTGAACTTTTGAAACCAAATAAATAATTATCGTATTTGTTATAGGAGAATGATCCTTCGGACATAGCAAACGACTAGAGCTTTTCCCACATTCACCCCTCTCTCCTTGCAACCAGACAAGATCCCAACTCCGGATCGGGGCGCTATTAAATTGTTAAAATAATTAAATTTTGAATTAAATAATTTATTTCAAGATGTTCACAGTAGAAAGTGCTCATGCATTTGGATTGGGTGCCTTAACTTTTAAAATTATGCCAAATATTTCAGCCATTACCAGTAATTTCTACTAAAAATTAAAAATAATCATTTACTTATTCAAGTTCTTCAATTAGCAAATTCTTTGTGTTTAATTCCTTCAATATTACTTTTATTTAGTCGACCTATTAATCGCTGGCTTCCATTATTTTTATTAATTGATACTAGTGCAATTATTGCTCAATTAAGTGCTTTTATTTGGAAGAAATATTTTGTAAATTTTTTAAAAAAATATTAAAAGTAATTATTTACATAAAATTCTTTTAGCCGATTGACAATTTTATATTTTTATGTACTTTTTTAATTTCCATTACTTGGTGGCAGAATTTTATGCATCCAAAATCGTTTTTTCCGTTAACAAGATTTTTTGCTTATTATGCAACAAAAATACGTGAATGCCGTTCTAAGGCTTATTTGGTGAGAGAGAAATATTTTTGAGAGTTTTTTTTCAAATACTTCCATTGTTTGGAAATGAGAGAAAAGTTTGGAGAAAATATTAGACTTTAAAAAATCAAATATTTAATTTTGGAATTCGATTGGTTTCTAAACTCAAAATATTTATAGAAAAAGCAATCACAAAAATATAATTTTTAAATTAAAAATAAATACCTATATTATTTAAATTATTAATTTTAAAAAGATAATTTCGCCATGGAAATGTTTAATTTTTACTTTTTGTATGTTTCAATTTGTTCCTTCAAATAATGTTCCAATTAATTATTTACTTCAAAAAGACCCCTTTGGAGAACATTTAATTACCATAAATGCCTATAATTTAAATCAAACACAATTAAATTTATTTCAAAAAAGAATGGAAGAATTACAAAGAATTAATGAGGGTTATAGTAAATATCAACAACAAATATTAACCCCAAAAATTAACTTAAATAGAAAAATTGTTGAAGAAATAAATGGATTAATTAATGGAACAAAAAATAATTTTAAAAATAAAAAAATAATTGTTGAAAGAAAAATTAAAGAAAAAATTAAAAGGGAAAGAAGAAAAGTTGAGAAAAAGGAGGAGGAAGAAGAGGAAGATGTAGCTGCTTATAATGTTTGCAATTTTTTAAAGAAATTTAAAAGCCCTCTCCCTTAAAACAAATATCTGTGATAAAGAAAAAGTTGAGCAAAAGTTTAGCCACCTGGAAGGATTCGAACCTGCGACCTCCTCACAGTTATTGTTAATCGCTTTCGCTCACCATATACAGAAGTCTCTTGAACTCCGGGGCAGCATTTTAACCCCCGCCATTTTAAATGCTATAGGTGAATCATCCTTTCAATAGTCTGATGATTTATTTAGTGAAGAAATAAATTCACAAGAAATCCCCATATTCTTCCATTATCTCCCACAGCCAAAGACTCCACAGCTAAATCGAATCCATGTATAAATTCTTGTTTTTTTCTTCTCTCGATTAAAAGGAATTCTAAAATATTTTTTGTCTAAAATTCTATTTAAATTATTTTAAAAAAATTAAAGATTTATGAGGACCGTATAGAATTAAACCAATTTACAACAGCTTTTGATGCCCTCTGGTTAGCCTTTATTCAAATTGGAAGTTCTTTAATTTGTCAATTAAGTGCTAAATTTGCTTGCAAAGTATGCACTTTATTTATCTAATTAATTCTTTTTTGAATCAAAAAAGGTTTTAATGCAAAGAATGGGGTTGGCACTTCCAGTGTTTTTGTCTGTTCCAATTAGTATAATATTACTTTCAAATTTTTGTCAAAAAAGAGCAAAAGATTCGTGTTATTTAAATGATTGGATAAGTAAAGAATTATTTTGGAAATGCCCTTCTAGGTAATTAATTAATTAAATTTAATTATAAAAATTATTTCTAGATCCTTAACTTGGAATCGTTTTTGGAGAGAATTTTCAAATATTTTGTGGTTGGGGTGGTGGTTATCACAATCTTGGTTTTTTGTTGTTTTTATTTTATACTCCTTTTCTTATCAATTCTTAGGGTTACAATACACATTTGGTTTCCTAAACAGGAGAGATTAGCTAAATCTGACGAGTATTTTCCTTTAATTTTTTTATAAAAATCTTTAAAATTAGTTTGTTCCTCCTCGGCTATTTTGATGGAGTATTTCCTGAACAATGTATTTCTTTGGATCGGAGAAGAGACGATAAAATTCGAATTCGATCTGATGTAAATAAAATTAAAATATTTTTTAAATTAATTTAAAAAAATTAAAAAGGAAATTGAAACTGAGGATGAAGATGATGGAAATGGAAGTACACATACTTGTGAATCAGCTGCTTCTGGAAATTCTCCTAGGCCTACAGCTGGTTTAATTAATGCCACATCTATTAGTAGTAGTATTAGTAATACTAGTCAAAGGTCAGATGGAGGATTAATAAGGTAAATAAATAGGTAATTGTATATGCTAGGCATAATTGCCCCCCCCCCTCCCTCAATAACAATTTCATGTCTGATAAATACTATCTTCTACCAGGCATAAAACCTGCTTCCCCTGAAAAACGTGTGTTAACCAATAAACCATCCATTCATGTATTGATGTAAGTATTCACGGAATTTATATTAATTCATTCACGGAACCTATGTTTATCCGAACATCTGAGTTTTAGTTTTATGTCATAAATTATAAGATATATTCCATATTTTATAAGATTGCCCTCTCGTTGGAAAGCCTTTTATTTTCTATAATTAAGGGAGTTACCAAGTAGCGCCGATACTATTTGTAAAATTTATGTTTGCGCAACTATGTGGCACGAAAGTGCATTAGAAATGGGTTGTATGTTGAAATCCATTTTTCGACTTGACGAGGTGATAAAAAAATTTAAAAAAGTAATTTTTTAATTTAAAAAAAGGACCAATGTGCACGTAGAAATGCTCAACGTTATTTGAAGGTAAAAGAATATTTTTCTATATAAAATTCAATTAATTTAGATTGTAGACCCTGATTATTATGAATTTGAAGCACATATTTATTTGGATGATGCTTTTGAATTAAATGAACATAATAATCCAATACCTAATAAATTTGTTTATCAATTACTTGGAAGTATGAATGAAGCTGCCTCGTTAGTTTTTTAAATGAAGTTGGGAAAATAATATTTTTTATTTGAAGTTCTGTACACCAAACACAACTTCAACTACGTACACCCAAAATTTGCATTACTCCCTATGGGGGTAGAATTAGCTATGTTTTGCCTGGACGAAATAGGCTTTCTATTCATCTTAAAAATAGGTAATTAATTAATTAATTAATTAATTATAGGGAAATAATTATTTTTTAACTTTCTAGATTCCTTATCAGACAAAGAAAACGTTGGAGCCAAGTAAGCTTTTGTTTTTTATTAAACACCTAACTACAAAAATTAAGGTTATGTATCTTTATTTTCTTCTTGGATTTCGTCTCACTCTTCGTGTTAATGACAATAAAAGGAGAGAATTACTTGCAGAAAATACTGTAGGCTATTTTAATATAAAACAATTAGCATAAATAATTTGGAATTATTAATTAGATTATAATATAATATTTAAATTACACCTAAAGACAAATCTTTAAATATAAATTTATAATTTGTCTAATAATATAAATTCTTTTTGCTCAATTTGCCCAATTTTTATTTAAGATTAAGAAAGAATAGTTAATTCTAAATACTACATATTTTTCCCTTTGTCCTTTAATAAAGTGTCCAATACCGATAGTTACTATCAAATATTCGAGACAAATTCTATAGTCCCAAAAGTTCTAAACTTTACATTTCCTTGTAGCTTATAATTTTTCAAAGTTTATACTAACATTGGATGGAGATGTTGATTTCCAACCAGAATGTGTACATTTATTAGTTGATTTGATGAGGAAAAATCGTCGATTAGGTGCTGCTTGTGGTCGTATCCATCCTCGTGGTTCTGGTAAAATAAATAAATTTTTTTGATTATTTCTTAAAAAGGAATAATGATTTGGTATCAAAAATTCGAATATGCCGTTGGGCATTGGTTACAAAAAGCTACTGAGCACATGATTGGGTAGATAAAAATTTAATTTAGAAATTAAATTAATAAATAGTTGTGTTCTATGTTCTCCTGGCTGTTTTTCACTTTTTCGATCATCTGCTTTAATTGATGATAATGTGGCGCGTAAATATGCAACTAAAGTTTATATAAATATATTTTTTTTATTAATTAATTAAAAGTCTGAAAAGCCTTTCCATTATGTTCAATATGATCAAGGAGAGGATCGCTGGTTATGCACTTTACTTCTTCAACGAGGCTATCGGTTATTTGATTTTAAAGTTGAAAATAAATTTAAAAAAATATTTTTATGCTTGAAAATTAGCTTGATTTTATCTATCATCGGTTTTTTCGATATTTATCGAACAAAAATCAATTGAGTTATCTCTCCAGTCTATAATTAGTTTACTTTATTTGTGATCTCGATAACTCCTATTACTAAGAGATTTTGGTAATCCAAACATAAATTAGTGCTTTTTTAAGATAGACAATAATCTGAAAAGAATCGGAGATTGATGTATTTGTATATGCTAAAATAATCACCCTCTCTCGAAACCCCCTCCCTATTAATTACAAACTCCAGCGAGAGATCGAAACAATAACTACCCAGGGTAATTATTTCAGCATTTACGGTATGTAAACTTCTCTAAGAGTTTGCAAAAAAAATATAATTTTTATAAAAAAATTTTTTAAGAGTTGAATATTGTGCAGCCTCGGATGCTTTAACTTTTGCACCAGAAGGTTTTAAAGAATTTTTCAATCAACGTAGAAGATGGATTCCCTCTACAATGGCTAATATAATAGATTTACTTCAAGACTACAAAAATGTTGTTAAAGTAAATGATTCTGTGTCTATTTGGTATATTGCCTATCAATTAGTTATGTTATTCTCGTCTGTTTTGGGACCTGGAACTATTTTCTTAATGGTGAAATTAAAATAAATATTTTGTAAATTTAAATTTATGTAGATTGTTGGGGCTATTTCTATTTCTTTTAATGTTGATACACGTTTGGCTCTATTAATTGTTACAACACCTGTTGTGTGTTTTTGTATTTGTTGTTTGACTTGTAGTACTGACACTCAGGTTGTTAACTTTAACAAATGAGACTTCTTAATCCACAGCCCCTTTTGGGGAAAATATATTTAATTATATTATCACTTTGGTTAATCTTAGGAATTTGCTCCAAAATTTTAACGTATTAATAATAAAAATATATTATTAATACTCTAGTTATTATTGGCACAAATAATTGGAGCACTTTTTGCAATGTTAATGACTGCAGTAATTGTGGGGACTTCATTACAAATTCAAAAAGATGGAATTCTCTCCCCTCATTCAATATTTTTGTTTACAGTTTTAGGCAGTTGGACATTTTCTGCTCTTTTACATCCACTTGAATTTTTATGTCTTTTACCTTGTGGACTGTATTTTTTGGCAATTCCTTGCATGTAAAATTTATATTTAGTTAATTAAAAATCTAGAAATGACTGCATTCTCTCAAAAGTTTTCAGTCTTTTTTGGGATTCGTTTAAAGTTTATTTTGACTTAAAATTTAAAAAGGGGTACACCACGATATATCGCCGAGTATGCCTATAACTTCGTTCAACATTGTCGAATCCGGGAGGCCTTGATATAGTTTGATTCAGCTTGTCGAGCCGCATCGAATCATACTAGGGCGTCCCTGATTCTACAATTTTGAAGGAAGTTATAGCTCGGCAGTATATCGGTCTGCTCCCTTAAAAAATTCATTAGAATTTTAAAAAAATCAAAATTAATGTTTAGGTACATGTTATTACCAATTTATTCACTTTGTAATTTAAATACAGTCAGTTGGGGAACTCGTGAGAATAATACAGTTTCTGGTTATTTCTCTCAATTATTCAAAGATTAATTTTATTTTTTTAGAAAAAAATAAAAACAAAATTCATTTAATTAAAGAAAAAAATGGTAAGAAATTTAACAAAAATATTTTTTAAAGAAATTTTTTGTAAAAATGTTTAGGAGAGATTTCGATGGGTTGTGGGAATTTCTGTCGAATTGTTTGTTGTGTTCAAAATTCTGAAAATTCCCAAGAACCTTTAGAAGTTCGCCGTCTTGGAGAAGGACTTAAAATTATTGAAAAGAAATTGGATAGTCTTGATAGAAGAAGTAAAAATGAAAATATTAAAACCGAAAATGAAAGGGAAGAAGAAAATAAAAAGGAAGAAGAAAAAGTTAAGGAAATGGACTTTAAAAGATGGATTGAATTAAAACCTTTTAATAGGTTTTTTAGAATAAGAAAATTTGTTGATATTTAATAAAAAAAATATTAAGTTTTGAACCTGCTGTATTAAATCCAGATGAAGAATCTTTTTGGCAGGAAATGATTGATAAATATTTGAAACCTATTTATTCAGATTCTCAAGAACAAGGTTACTACTGGGCACTTTATTTGTAAAATAGCTATCTTATTTCCTCTATTAGTAGAATGCCCCCTCTAATAGAACCCTTTAGAAAGTGATTGAAAAATAGAATGCCCGGGCATTCTATGGTAATAAAAATATATAATTTTCGTAATATCCTGCTCACTTTCTAGCTTTCGCAAGTGTTAGATACATATATTGCGAACTAACTTTTGCGGATAATTAGATTACCCTTTTCTGGATACTTTATGAAAAGACAAAAAATATTTGACAAATATGTATAAATTTGTAATTTAAATATTTAGAAAGAATACAGCAAGGCCTTAATGAACTTAGAAATAATGTGAGTTTACTTTAAAAAACATATTTTTATGTTAATTATTAAAGTGTTGTTCTGCCTTTTTTATGGTTAACAGTGTATTTATTATTGTTGTATTAATACTTCAATTACAAAAAGATTGTTTGCATATTGGTATTTTCTAAATAAAATTAAGAAGTATTTTTGAAATTAAGAATGGCCTCTTGGCCCGTTAGTTAATCAGACACGAGTTCAATGTGGAGGTGGTGGTGGTGACTTTGACCCTGAGGGGGAAGAGTGGGTAATGAGCAGATTGCAATTAGAGCCAATGGGATTCGTTTTTATTGTCTTCTTTCTTGTTATACTTTTTATACAGGTAAAAAGCTGATTGTCTTAAATGGACCTTGTATTATACCTAAAATTATCCATAATTGTACTTTTTGTGGGAATAAATAACTCTTTGGCATCCTCCCGTCATCCTTCATTTGAATTTCGAATAAAATTTAATTTCAAATCAATTTTTTCCTTAAAAAGTTTCTTGCCATGCTCTTTCACCGTTTCGGTACAATTACCCATATAATTGCCTCTACTGAACTTTGTTGTTCTCAACAAACTTTTGATAAACTTAGTGAGGATGAATTAGTAGCTCATAATGCTGTTGAGATTGCTAGGTAATTAAAATTATTTTAAAGGAAATATGCCGTTTTTTGTTAAAGAATTTTGTGAAATTAATTTTTAAAATTAATTTAAATATTAAATATCATCAATTAGTGAAAATAAAAATAAATTTTAATTTTTTTCAGAGAACTTCAATCATTTAAAGGTCTAAATATAAATATACCACAACAACAACAAAATACTAACATAACTCAACAACAAAAATATTTTATACAACCAAATCAACAACAATTCCAACAACAACAAAATTTAAATAATCAAATATTTAATATTAATTTACACCAACAACAGCCAACAACATCCTCCAATAAAATGGATACTTTAGATGCTGCTTTTAAAAAAAGATTTTTTGCTTTATCAACAACAAATAATCAACAAAAACAAATTATTGGAAATAAAAGTTTTGGAAGAAATTTTACTTTAAAGAAAAGAACATTGAGAGCAATTGAACAAAGAGGAGGGGGAGGGAATGTTTGGAAATTTTTTTAATTAAAATTAAATTTTGTTTTAATTTTTAGCAAAGAATTTCAAAAAATCCAAATATTCTTCAATCATTTTCTGACAGTGAGGAGGAAGGAGTATTTGAAGTAAATAAAAAACAAAGAAATGAAGGCCCAGCAAGATGTCATCAATTAGAAGAACTTTTTAGAAAAAATAATAAAAAAGGGCCGAATAATAAATTAGTTAGGGGAAATGGAAAAAATAAAAAAATATCTTGGAATGAATAAAATGTTTTTTTGTTTATTTTTAAATTATTGTATTATAATAAAAAATAAATTAGGTATATTAATTTACTGAACTAAGAAAGGGAATAAAATTTTAGAGGACATCAAGAACTAATCATAAAATTAATTAAATTTAATTAATTAATTACACGCTTTATTTAATTAAAAAATATTTAAAATTAATTAAAATTTTATTTAATCAAATTAAATTATTTCCTTTTCACAACCATCTCATAAAAATATTTATTCATTCATTTACTTCTCAATATGGCCAAGATCCATAAGGGTATGGATAAAGAGACGATGGCGGTTCTGAACTAGCCCTTTTGTCCTTCACAATTCGGTCACTATCTATTTTCTTATTTTCAATTTGAATGTCCACATCAGTTGAGGAATTTATGGTAGTCGAATTGTCAATGATTTCTTTAAAAAAGAATTTTTTATTTAAAGTTTGAATATTTTTAATTAAAAATAAAACAAAAAATAAATAAGATTAATCCTCTTTAATTCCCCTAAATCTTTCTATACACCTTTCGAGTTCATTAATTCATTAACTATACAATTTTAAATAAAAATTTCTTACCAATTTCTTGAGGCATTTAAATATTTTTAGAGAATTTTGTTAAATTAATAATATAAAAAATATTTATCTAAAAAATTAAATTAAAAAAGATAAGAAAAAAATAACCAAATTTATTAACAAATATTTACTTAGATAAATAGCATCTTTGCATTCATTCTGCAAAAATAACTTCCTTTTTTTTCTAAAAGTAAATATGTTGATGTATAGAATTTTTTATTTATCAAGAAAACACAAAGTATGAGCTAAACTGGCCGTGTTAAATAAATAAAAAATTTAAATTTAGAAAAATGTTAAAAACAAAAATATAAAAAGTGTATAAATTAAGAAAAAAGATCTTTTTTAAATGTCTGGGTGGTGATATAAAATGATAATTTAACATTTTTAATTTATAAATTTTAAAAATTTAGAACTTTAAAAAATTATTTTATTTTTTTGTCGGTGCAAAAGTTTATCTACAGTTTGCAAAAATTGGATTTTTAGAAAAATAAATGGCAGAAAAAATACCAAAAAAATTCTGAGGATATTTCCATTGATACTGAGTTAAAAATAAAAAAGAACGAAGTCCGTGACAGTTTTCATCATCGAGATCTCAAATCACAAAAATCAACGGGAAAACGGGGTACAGTACTTTAAAAATTATTTTAACCCCCCAGGGCTTATATAAAAATTTTCTTTTGAGCTCATTTGAAAGCCCATAAAATTTACTATAAGATTGCCCAGGCTCAATTTTTTCGATAAAAAATTCATGGAGATAAGGGTCGAGGAATTTAATAATTTATCATTTTTAGTCTAAACCTCCCAAAATACCCCACATTTTTACTCATTTTTAATTTCACAGTAAGTAACCCACACGTAAATACTATACAGATTTTTTTACAAATACGAGACCAATGGTATTTTGTAGCAAATTTTATGGGCTTTCTAATGAGCCCAAAAAGAATTTTTGATACAGGCCCTAGGGAGCTAAAATATTTTTTGAAGTACTGTAACCCCATTTCCCTTTGATTTTCGAGATTTGAGATCTCGATGAAAAAATTAGCTAGAAATATTGTTCTTTCTAATTTTATATTCAACATCAATCGAAATGTCCACAGAAATTTTTTTGTGTTTTTATTGCCATCTATTCATCTAAAAATTTAATTTTTGCAAAGTGTAGATAAACTTTTGCACCGAAAAAAATTGAAGCAGTTTTGGAAACTGGTGTATATTTTAATAAGTACTGGGGGTTATTTTTAAAACTATGGCTTATTAGAAAGAGCACTCTTTACTTAATAATAATAAAAATAATCCATGTCATCTAAACGAATTCTTCACGAGATATACTGTTTTAAATAAATTTTCAGTCAGTGTAGATAAACTTTTGCACCGCAGTGTATGAACAAAACATGATTTACAACCACTATAAAATGTATATTTGGAGTAAATTTTGGATAAGATAATTTTGTTTTCTTTAAATTAAAAAAAATTTCCTAAATATTTTATTTTAAAATAATTATAAAATTATTCTTTTCCTTCATTAATTTCTAGAGAACAACAAAAAATAATTATAGATTAATTTATTTAAATTAAAAAAATATTTTTTAATCAAAATTATAATTTCGTCAAATTAAAATTATTTTTTACAACCATCTTATAAAAATATTTTTTCGTTCATTTCCTTCTCAATATGGCCAAGATCCATAAGGGTATGGATAAATAGATGTCGGTTCTGTGTTAGTCTTTTTATCCATCACAATTTGTTTACCTTCAATTTTTTCACTTTGAATACCCCCAGCATTTGAAGAATTTATGTTAGTCGACTTGTTAGTGATTTCTTTAAAATAAAAACAAATTTTTAAAATTTTTTCTAAGAAAACTTTTAAAAAAAATTTATTACCAATTTCAGTTGAAGGCATTTAAATATTTTTAGTTAATAAAATAATAAAAATAATATTTATCTAAAAAATACTTTAAATTTAAAATAAATAAATAATCTATGTATTTATAATGAATTATTTTATCTATATTTATCTATATTTAAATAAAATCTTTGTAGTCATTTAGCGAAAATTATTTCCTTTTTTTTTTCATCTCATGCTCACAATAATCAATCAAAAATAACAAAAATATATTTTATAGTTTTATCATTAAAAAATTAAAAATTATGTTGATATTTAAAATTAAAGAAAATAATAATTGTTAATGTAATTAAAATAAACATAGTTATAGGGAATTTTTAAAATTAAAGTATTTTCTCTTCACAACAATTATAAAATGATATTGAAAATTTTGGATAAAACACCAACTTGATTTTAATATAATTTAAAAATTATTTTAAAATATTTATTAAATTAATAATTATTCTTGATCATCATTTTACAAACGGGTGTATATTTAAAAATGTATAGTGATTAAAAGACTAAAGGAGGTCCAAAGTACGTTATTTAATTAAAATAAAGAATTAAATTAAATATTTTATTATTTTGATTAAAATAAAGGAAAAATAAAAATAATTAAATAAGTAGTATATCTTTAAAAATGTCTGAACAAAACCTTAAATTTTAAATTTTGAAATTAAATTGTGACCTCGATAATGAGTTGTTAATTTAAAAAAGTAACTGATTGGAAAAATCAGTTACTTTTTTTACACTCATTTTTCAAAAAAAATTACTGGCACGGTTTATACGTCTCCATTGTGTCAAGACAATAATATCTCAGCAAATTCAATTACATAACGTGATTGACGAGGATAATGGAAGTATTTTGAAACTTGGAAAGAAATGCACAATTCCTAAACCAGGTTAGGAATTAATTGGACATGTAAAGGTTGAGTGGACGTATAAACTGGACAAGAGGCAAATCACCTTCAGATGAAAATTAATAATTTATTTATTTTATTTTCAATAAAATACCTACAAACATTTGTGTAAATATAAACATAACTATAATTGATTAATTATTTCCCTATATATTTGGATTGCGTACAAAACGATAACATTCCTGACACAACAAGGAACGTCCCTTCTTTTTTTTGCTTTTTCATTATTTTGTAAAATTCATCCAAAAGGTAAATTGCTTAATTAATTAAATCTTATTAATTCTAAATGATTAAAAATATTTTGACTGTTACGAGAAAACTGTCACAACAAAATTATTTTTTTATTTGGAATAATATAAAATTATGTCAATCATCATTATTCTATTTTCAAAGGAATTATCATTCATTGAACAATGAAGAGTTCTTTAAAAAGTTTTTTTGTATTGGGAAAGAAGTACAAAATGCTTTATTTGAGGGAAAGCCAATTGTAGCTTTGGAAAGTGCTTTAATTACTAATGGATTAGAATATCCTATTAATCTTAAGTTTGTTTTTTGAAAGGGGTTTTCTAATAATCAAGACTATAACTAATCTAAAAATAATCTAGTTCCTAATTCCGTGAATTATTAAAATTTGAATATATTTTGCAGAGTTGCACTTAAACTGCAGGAAATTATTCGTAATAATGGTGCAGTCCCTGCCACAATTACAATACTTGATGGAAAAATAAGAGTTGGAATTGAAAATAAAGAATTGGAAAGAATTGCCGAACCGAATAATCAAAAATGTTCTTTAAGAGATTTGGCAAATTTCCTCGTCCAGAAGGTGAAAATGATTAAAATGTTTTTTCTCATATAGAATTTCCAACATCTAGAAGATTGGTGGCACAACAGTTGCCGCAACAATGTGGATTGCACATCAAGCTGGGATCAAAGTTTTTAGTACTGGGGGAATTGGTGGAGTACATAAAGGAGGGGAAAAATGTAAGGGAAAAATATATTCTCAAAGTTCCTTTTTTAAAGCATTAGACATAAGTGCTGATTTGGTAGAGCTAGGTCGGTGTCCTATAGCTATTGTCTGTGCCGGTGTTAAATCTATTTTAGACATTGGTAGAACATTAGAATTCTTAGTTTGTTTTCTGAGTTATAATTTTTTTTAAATCCAAATTTAAATAGGAAACACAAGGTGTAAATGTTCTTGTTTTCGACAAAAAACCAAACTTTCCCGGCTTTTTCATACCTCAAACAGAGTTTCTGGCACCACATTGCACTGACTCAATAGAAGAAATATCTGACATAATTGGTTAAAAACATAATTATTTTTTTATAATTTTTTTATAAAAAGTTTGTTCTCAACAATTGGGTCTACAAAAAGGTATTTTGATTGCCTGTCCAATCCCTGTTGAAGATAAATCCAAATCAGAATTAGTTCAGCATTCTATTAATCAAGCATTAAATGAAGCTAATTCAAAAAATATTTTTGGAAATAAAGTAACTCCATTTGTACTTAAAAGAGTTGCTGAATTGAGTGGAGGAGAGAGTTTAAGGCTTAGTAAGTTAATAATAATAAAAATATTTTTTACATAAAATTATTTTTAGATATTTCTTTATTAGAAAATAATGCAAGAATAGCTGCCCAATTAGCTAATTTATATACAAATAAAATTATAAATACCCCTACAACGATGGAAGATGAAAATAAAATATTTGTTTCCTCCCAAATAAAAAATACTAAAAATGAGAAACCTTTAGTTGTGAGTAGTAAATTAATTAATTTAAAATTAAAAAATTATTATTTAAAAGTTTTGTATTGGTGCTTCTATTGTTGATTTAGAAGTATTACAAAAAGAAAATTTTAAAAATTCTCCAAAAGTTAATATTTCCTCTTATTTACCTTCAAATATTGTACAAAGAGTAGGAGGTGTTGCTCGCAATCATGCAGAGGCTCTTGCTCGTTTAGGAATTGATGTTCTTTTATTTTCTGCTTTTGGCACAGATTTAAATGGAAAGGCTGATTTTGGATCTAATTTTCTTTTAGAAAAATTGGAGGGATTAAAGAATCTGGTTTTTAAAGAATAATTTAAATAAATTAATTTAATTAAAAAATAGAATTTCTCTCATTCATTATTTTGTAAATATTTGAGGACAGCTACGTCTATTTCAATTAGCAATTCTTCTAAAGTAAAATTTTGATATCTGAAAAATATTTTTAATTCAAATTTAGGGAATTATACAAGGATTTATTTCTGCAGACGAACTTCTAAGCAAAATAGATTCTGAATATGTAAATATAATTTAAATTTATTAAAATAATAATTTCAAACTCCCTCGGATAATTGCTTTCATTTAAATAATTTTGGCTTCAATATCCTCCTTTTCCTCCTTCAAATAGTTCTATAATTTATATCCGCGGTATTTTTGTGCCGCTGCCAAAAATAATTTTTTAAATGTTTAGCTTCATACCCAAAATGCGAAACGAGGAATTAAAAACTCAAAAATGCCAGAACCCGCGAAGAGCGAAATCAACACATGCCTATTGTGTTTATTTATAGTTCAAAATTTAATTTTTAGATTGATAAAATTTCCAACTTATTTAAATCTGCCGATTTTCTCTTAATTGATGCAAATTTAACCTCTGAAGCTATTAAAAGAATTAATTATTGGGCAAACAAAACAAATACAAAAAGTTAATTAATAATCATATTATATTTAAAAAAATTTTTTTTTAAGTTTGGTTAGAACCAACAAATTCTTTAAAAATACCTAAAATATTTGAGGCTTTGGGAGATTGGCCATTAACCAAAATAGATGTTTTCTCTCCAAATTTAGATGAATTACGGTCATTTTCTGAGAATTTTAGTCAAAGGGTTGGAAAAAGTGAAGCAAAAGAATGCAGGGACTTTATTACAAATATAGAAGGTATACATATAATAGATTTTTTCAAATATTTGATGATCTTTATTGATATTAAAAGACACTCTTGGGACTAAAAATTATATATGTATTATAATAAAGTTCTCTCCACTCATCCAGTGGCCATATACGCAAATTGATGTGGACATATTTTGAGATAAACTATAATGAGGCCCCCCAACTACATATATCCAACTAAATCAGAATTTCTAAATTATGTATGTAGAGAAAACTTAAATTAATTTTTTTCATTTTGGGACTTCAGTTTTAATAATTAGAAAAATTATTATTATTTAATAATTCCTATTCTTATTTAGAACATCTCCTAAATTCAACAATTAACTCCAACTTCCATCAAAATATTTCCAATATAAAATTACCCCAATCACTCCAACCAAAACAACATTTACTAATTACTTGTGATTGTTTTGGTGTTTTACTTTTTTCCCGTTCAAATAATAATGAATTTAAAATTGAATATTTGGATGCTCCAAAAATCTGTTCAGAAAAATTAATTTCAGTTTCCGGTGCTGGAGATTGGTAAAAAGAAATTTTTTTTAAGTAATTTTTTAAATTTATTTTAGCTTTAATAGTGGATTTCTTTTTGGAATTTTAAACAATTTAAGTTTAAAAGAATGTCTTGAATTTGGTAGAAAATGTGCTGAGTTAAGCTTGATTAGTGTAGATACAGTGCCAGAAACAATTAATAAAGATATATTTAAAGTCTAAAATTAAACCAAAATATTAAATTTATATTAATGTTCCCTTCCTTTCCAGCATTCAGATTTCTGATGAAAAGTAAAGTTAACAAAATAATCTGAGTTTCCGAACTTCTCCCCAAATTTTAATTTTATTTTTGACAAATCTAATTAACGTTGGATTCAGAATTTCTAAACAAAACTTATTTTAAATATTTTAAACGATTTCTTTAATTTAAACGTTAATCATAAGATTCCCTAAATGGGAAAAATCGTTAAACATTATGATTTATTAATCAATATATCTTATATATATCTTATATATGTCTTATATACATATGTATTGCTTATAATTGCCCTTTACACACGCAAGCGCCTCGCCTTCATTTTACATTAAATTTTAAAAATTAAAAAAAAATTTTTTTAATTTAAATTTAAAAAATGTTTTAAAATTTTTTAATATTCATTCAAAAACAATTTAAATGTTGTTTAAAACTATTATTTTAAGTCTTTTATTATTTAATTTAAAAAATGATTGTTTAGGAGGTAATTGTTATTTATCATTACTTTGAATAAAAATTTAATTATTAGATAGAAACAATTCAAGCGATAAGAAAAAATCGGATAATATACAGCCGGCAATTTGTGGAGTTCCTCCTTATGGCGGGGAAAAAGAATTTTTGCCCGATGCCCAATTATTCAGTAACAATTTATTGAAAATTAAGGATTCCGAGTTATTTGATATTTTTGTGCCTCTTATAAACTTACAAAGAAGGACTATACTCAGCGATTTTTGTGAAAGAATTTTGGGAATTTATGATAAAGAAAATTATTTTCAAAATTGCTTAGATAAATTATTTCCTATAAAATCAGAAGGAGAAGAAACTGAAAAGGATAAAAAAATTTATCTTCCTTTACTATTTAGAGAATTATTTGTTGCAATGTTTGAATCGCCACAATTACTAGAAGCGATTTACTTAAATCGGTCAGCAATAAGTAGAAACCGGGCCGAGACGAGATCTCGATTCTCATACAATACTCCCAGTCCGGTCTCTAGTAATAATACATATCACTGTCCAAACTACATTTTAGGACAAATAGTATTTAGCCGGCAAAATCACATTCATTTATAGAATCGGAGTAGGGTTCCGTAACAGTTCTTCATGTCCAGAACCTACACCCACTTGGTCTGGGACCGTTAGTTACCATATTTCTCGAAATTAACGGTCCCAAACCATATGAGCGTAGGTCATATGGTTCACCGATCTCCAACTGTTAACTCTAGAAAAATTAAATTCGCTAAAATGTAATTTTTGGATTAAAATGTAATTTTATCGGCCAGCAATAAGTAGAAAACTGACCGAGACAAGATTTCGATAGAAAATTACATATATCACAATTATTTTAGACAAATAATTAAAGCAAGAGAGAGTAAAGAGTATATTGATATGGATACAATTTTTGAAGTAATTCTAACAAATTCGAAAAAGTTATTTGATGAAATTTGTCAAATATACATAAGATATTTTGGAAAAGATTTATTAGAGGAAATTAAAGAAATGACTAAAAAAGAGACTTTAAAAATATATTTTCTGAAGAATAAAAAGTCTGTTAAATTAATTGCGACGAAAGATTTGAAAACATTTTTATATAAAATTGCAGAAGATTTGAGAGGAGATAAAGAACCGATTGATGTGCTTAATGAGGTTTGTAGATTTGTTTTTTCTAAAGGAACAAAGGACGGTTGGGACAGGAGACATGAAATAAAGGAAGGGTCTGGAAGGTTTTGAGTACTCAAATTTCTTCTCCTTTTTAAGAGGGGGATTCCGATTTTTATTACAAAAATTTTATTTAAATCCTTTGAATTAAGATAAGCCAGCAATTTTATGCTGCAAATAAAAAATCAAAAAGTTTATTTAATCGTTTCTTCGGTCAAAATAAAGTCGATCAGATCAATTTATTGTTAAATAATACAATGGAAATGATTGGGTTAAAATCACAAAACTTTGACAAAACACAAAATAATTCAATTCACCCAATTGTTAAACAACTGGAGAATAATATCACACAACCAGAAATTGAAGGAATTGTACAACGCCATTTTAGTGAAAGAATTTTTTCAGCAATAGAGCGTAAAGGTAAAAAAACACGATAAATAATAGATATGTATGAAGTAACTGGGGCTTATCTATCTTTATTGTAATCTCCTTCAAGTAAACTATTGTGTTTGGTAAGAATTCAAAGAAATTCATGATTTAAACTAAGGCTCGTTACAAGCGGTTGGCCGGATCGAAAAATGGTGTTTTTGGCTAATTAACCAAAACCGAAAACTGGGGGGCCAAACACCGGCTTAACAAAAACCGGAAGTACCAACCGGAAGATAACCGGCTATGTCCAACTCTAATTTATAACTAAAAACAAGTTACAGTTTTGTAACTTAAGCCATTTTCAATGTAAATATTCCTGAAAGCCTTGTTAAGGGAACTATTAGAAATGTTATAGAGAATTTTAAAAAATTAATTACTTAATTAAATAATTTTAATTTAAATAAAATTCCAGAATATTATGAATTAATTCGTTTATTAATTTCGCGTTCAGAAAAGGATTTGGCAAGTATTTCAAAGAATTTTTTAACAAAAGATAAAAAACGTTTTAAAATTATTAAACAAAATTTAAACAAAATAAAAGATAAATTATATGCTAATTCAGTCGGAAAATTGCTTTATATCCCAAGTTATGTTGAAAACAAAAAATTAAATAGAAAAGAGGAAGATGAACTTATTAAATCAAATAAATGGCATGAAAATATTTGTAAAATAAAAATGAAAGAAATATTTAAAAATTATTTGGAAAAATTTCAATTTGAAAATTTAAAAATAAAAATTGATAATTTTCTTGAAATGTATAGAATTAAATTTATTGAGGAAAATGTGGGGGATATAAAGGGAAAGTCGGATAAAAAAGAAGTTTCTTCAGAAGAATGTGAAAATTATATTTATGAATTTAAAATTGGAGCACTTTTTGCTTATAAAGAACAACATAAACTAGCTATTAAATGTTCAATTCAGTTAATGAATTATATTTATAGAGAAGTGCAAAAATATTGCGGAGAAAATTTTCTTTATTTAGATACCCACAAAAATTTTAATTCGAAAACTTGTAAAAAAGCTAGAAATTTATTTGAAGCAAAAAAGGATTATGAAATGAGTAAATACGAAGAAGAAGAGAAAATGAAAGAGGAAGAGGAGAAAATGAGAGAGGAAGAAGAGAAGATGAAAGAGGAAGAAGAGAAAATGAAAGAGGAAGAGGAGAAGAATAAAATGGAATAGAAGCAATTTGTAGTTGGAAGAAGATACATAAGTATAAAACAATGAGAATGTGTTAAATTTTCTAGTAATTTTTTATTAAAGACCATGTTAATATTTGAAGCAATTTGAATTAGAAAAAAACAATTTTTAACCTTCATTATTCTTCGTTATATAATTTTTTCAATGTACATATTTATGTAAATAATTTTTGTATATAATTTTTCTTATAAATCATTCCAAATTTATTTTGTAGTTTTAATTCAGAGAATTATTAGCGGTTTTTAAATTGATTGTAATTAAATATTATGGTGCTTAAAACTTTGTGATCGATCTCTAAAAACCTCTAAAAACGCATAAAGATTTTTTGATAATTTAAATGGGAAATTTCGAAATAAATCATTTCTCTCTCCCTCAATTTAGTTAAACTTTCTATTAATTTTTTCTTTTCCTAATTTGCGAATAAATAGAAAATTTTATCCCTTTAAAGAAGCGAACTTATTTTATTTATTAAAGCGAATGAACAACAGGAATGCTAAAAATTATAGGTCGATAGTTTCATAATAAAAATTGGTTTGGGAGAGATTTCAACAAAAAATAAATATTTTAATGTTAAATGCTTTGGATTTTTTATTTTTTAATTTAATTTAATTTTCCAAAAATTAAATGCTTTTGGGAAAAATTCAGAAAATTAGATTTTAATTTAAAATCTTCCCTATCAATATAGAAATCTTTATTAAAATTTGTTTATATTTTTTAAAAATATTTTCAGAATTTTATTATTTATTAATTTTGATTAATGACAAATAAAAACTTTGATACAAAAGGAGCAGAATATGTTAATAAAAATATGCCAATGATTGGAATTGGTATAGAAAATTAATTAAAAATAATTAAATATATTTATTAGGTACTTATCAAATAAATTCTGAAAAAATAATTTTTGAAGTTTTGGATTCGGCTTTAGATGTTGGTTATAGATTAATAGATACAGCACAAATATATAAAAATGAAAAATATATTGGTAAAGCTCTTCAGGAATTAATGCCTAAATATAAAATTAAAAGGTTAGAGAATAAATAAATTTTTAAAAATTTTATAATTTTTAGAAAAAATTTTATAAAAAATATTCATACTTCAAAGGGAAGTTGGCTTTTTGAACCTAAAAAACTTTCCTTTTTTAACCTATTTTGACAATCGAAATTATTGAGCTAGTAAAGGGCCTATCCCTGAAAATAGCAAAAGGGTTTGATGGCCTTACTTCGACGTCCTTACGAGCATTAAAAAAGTTAAAAAATAAAATAAATTTTTAAATCCAAATAAAATTAAAAATAATTTCACAGAGAGGATATATTTATAACAACGAAACTAGCACCAAGTAACCAGGGAATCAAAAATTGTCGTCAATCTGTGTTAGACTCGTTAGAAAAATTACAAATTGAATATTTAGATTTATTGCTTATTCACTGGCCTGGGACTTCTAAATTGAGAAAAAATGATCCCAAAAATTCTTATTTGAGAGCAGAAAGTTGGAAAGAAATGGAGAAATTACAGAGTATTAAAAATTAAATTAAAAATAATTTTTTCCAAATTTTAGAAGAAGGCTTAATTCGCGCTATCGGTGTTTCCAATTATAACGTTAACCATTTAGAGGAATTACTGGTAAAAGCAGAAATATTACCAGCTGTAAATATAAAATAAAATATTTTAATTTATATTAAAAAATAGGTAAATCAATGTGAATGTCATCCACACTGGTACCAGCCAGATTTAATTGAATTTTGTTGTCGAAATGGAATACATTTTCAGGTATAAGCTGGCCTGGGGTTATTTGACTAGCTTAGATTTGTTTTTAAATAACAGTTAACAATGAAACCTAAACTCAAAATAAGTACAGTTATAATTCAATAAAAAACAAGTAGAGTTCAGGACATTGTTAAGCATTTAATTCCTAAGGCTGTGCAGTAAGCGGCGTGGTGTAACTGTTAATACATCAGTCCGGTCTACTGAAGATGCTGGTACAGTCCCAGCCGCTGAATAACCTTTTGCACTAGCTGAAAGGAGAAAAATAGCTATGCCCTAGCTCTGCTTTACTACATGGAATAATCCAGATAACGCTCTAGCTTTCCTTGCAAATTTTAGAACTTTTCCTCACCCATTTAAACCTCCAAACAAACTTTTTACATTTTTAGGCCTACAGCAGTTTTGGAAGTCAATCAAACCATCAAGATTTATTTTCCGATGAAAAAATTATGAGAATGGCAAACAAATATAATTGTAAAGTACAAGATTTTCTTCTAGGTTGGGCGTTAACACAAGGAATGAGTGTACTCCCTCGAAGTAAAAACCCAGAACATGTCCGTGCAAACTTTATAGGAGCTAATAATATAAAAGTAAATATTGAAGATGTCGAAGCAGTTAGATTGAAACCTGACGAAAAAATAAAATATTGTTGGGACCCAGAAGGATTAAAATAAGAAGAATCGGAGTAGAAAAAATTTTAATTTGCAAAATTTTTGTTTTAGATTATTTTTTGTTCTATTTATTTTATTTTCAAAGATTCAAACATTTATCATTTAATAAAATTTTTAAAAATTGATTTTCATAACATTTTATATCATTAAATTATTTTCTTTAAAAAGTGGATCGGACAAATCCAACAAATAATTTTTTGTAAAGACAAGAATTTGTAAAATCTCAAAAATAAAAATTTGACATCTGGCAAACATGGCTTATGGTTATCCAAAAGTAATATATGGGGCATTGTCCAATCCACGGGGCAGTCAAAAAAATTCTAAAACAATTTCAGTTTTAAATATTTCTAATTTTTAAAAAATTTATTCAGACATTCTCATAACATTTTTCAACAATTAAATGAGTTTTCTGTCTAAAATTAACAACTCTCATAAACATTTAAAGAAGGCTAACAATAATTTAAACAGATTTTTTTAAAGAATAAAGTGAAATAAATAAAAGCTTTAAGGAGTATTGTCAAAAACAAAGAAGAACATCGCTTTAAAAAATAAAACAAAAAGTTCTTTCAACAATAAATTAAAGATTCAAAAAAATAAAAAATTTCAATTTAAGTATTTTTAAAATTATAAAAAAAATTTTTTTTTAATAAATTATATTCGAATAACCTTTCTTTAATTCTTTACCAGTCATCATTTTCTGGATCACCTTCCGGCACTGGAGGAAGCGTCTCTTCATCAAGCTTTTCAGTCGCGGCAGGCTTCTCTTCTTCATCCTTCTTGTCATTTTTCTCTTCATTCTCATCTTTCTTCTCTGGGAGATCATTATTCTCCTTTTCATCCTTCTTTTCTTCTGCCTCATTATTATTATTAGCAGCAAAACTATCACCGCCTTCACCATCACCAAAACCTCCCGTTTGATTTCCACCTCCAAAAGAAGAACCACCAAACGGTACCCCACTGTTCCAACTCGGGGTAGTCTCTTCTGGAGGCAATTTTCCCTCGGATGCTTGAACGAGCCATTCCGGAGGTTCTTGGCCAACAGTTTGAACACCCTAAAATTCTTAAATTTATTGAATAATTTGCAAAATTTCAAACCTGCACAAGCTCCTTAGCTAAATCCATGTCATCAAGTGGGTCAAAGAATGAAGTAGAAATGCCTTCTTTTAAACGTCCCGTACGACCTATGCGATGGACATAGATTACATATTCTGTTGGCAAGTCAAGGTTGATAACCTGAAACAAAAAATTAATAAAGCGTTTAGAATTGTCGTAAGTTAAGTAAAACTTAAAGACAAAACCCAATGTCTAAGATAAAGGCATTTAGATGAGTATGAATTTAAGAGTTCTATCCTCCCCACGGAAATTTGGAAAAAATTGAAAGTAAATATTCTGACAAGAACAGTTATATGTACAAATTCTAAATTTTCTGACTCCTGTACTCATTATTATCCTAAAATTCCCTATTCCCCAACAAATGTCATACATGGTCAAGGCCTTTAATGTCAATTCCTCTAGAGCAAACATCAGTTGTTACCACAATATTGTGTTTTCCATCCCTAAATTCATTCAATGATTGTTCTCGCAACTTTTGTGGCCGATCTCTAAAATTATTTATAAAATAGAAAAATTTGATAATTATAAATTTTACCCATTGATAGTAGTTGACTTGAGACCATTAACATTAAGGAATGTCGAGACGACGTCAGCCGTGCGTTTCATTTTTACAAAGACCATAGTTCGTTTTTTGTTCGGATTGTCAGCTGCAAAATTAAATTGAAAATTTAGTAAAGGCACAAAATAAAATTATTGGACATTTAAATAGGGACAAACAAACAACTTTTCGTCAAAAATTTGTTTAAGGAAGTAGCATCCATATATAGATATTATGGAAATAAATATAATAAAATTTACGATTTTCTTTTTTGGCATCTTCCTCCTCTTGTTTAAGCAATTTCAAAAGTTCATTGTTCTTTTCACCACGCGAAACTTTCATAAACTTTTGAATAATACGCGGGTTAGCATCCACCAATTTACGATTTGAAACCATCACATTTTCCTTTTTGAGCCACTCGCTCGCCCACACTTGAACTTCTGGTGGAAAAGTGGCACTAAAAAGCAGAGTTTGACGGTCCTCATTCTGAAAAATAAAAAAATATATAAAATATTTTTACAATAAAAAACCTTTGGCCATCCGTTCACTTTAGTTAAACGACGCAGATCACGTGCAAAACTGTCTTCAAGTAACTGGTCAGCTTCATCCAAAACCAAAATTTTCATTAATTCAAAGTCAAGCTTAAATTTTTAAAAAATTATAAAAATAAAAGAAATAAATCACAAATTCATTCATAAAAAAGTCGGTAAGACGGCCAGGAGTCCCAACAAGAATATCACAACCACTAGTTGAAATATGCTTCAAATTTTCTTTATGCTTGAACATTCCATAAGCTTTAGCAACAGAAACACCAGTTTCTTAAAAAGAGAAATTAATATGTGATCAAAATATTGGATAGATAACAACATAAACCTTATAGGAAACCTAAGTTAATGGGAGAATAATAGTAATAAAAAAAAATCCAAATAAAAAAGTAAGCTTATCCCCCAAACAAAAAAAAGCCAATTAATTTTACAAATTTATTTAAAAAAATAAGTTACCATCAGCCAATTTTCTTGCTTGATCGTATAGTTGAATTGCCAATTCACGTGTTGGTTCAATTATAAGCGCATACGGGCAAACTCGTTTCGACTTAAATTCCTCCTTCTTCTTTAACACCATAATTTTATTGATAATGGGCAACAAAAATGCTGCGCTCTTTCCACTTCCAGATTCAGCATGGCCTTTGACATCATGTCCTATAATTTGAAAAAGTAAATTCCAATTAAGAAAATTCAAACCGTCCATAATCAAAGGAATAGCAAGAGATTGAATTTTTCGCAAACGAATGTATTGAGCCTTTTCAATATTTTCTTTCAGTTTTGGTTCAAAGTTGGCTTCACCCCAATCACTATAAAGAAAAAATTTTAAGGTAAAAAAAAAGTTAAAACAAACTCGAGAACTTGAGTTGCAGATTCAAGCCCAGTAACAACGCATTCTTCATCCTCTTCACAAATATTTTTATACTGTTCAGCAGCCTTAATATCTTCAGCACGGATATCTTCAATTGTGCGGTCAACTGGGACATGAGGAGTATCTCGAGCACGTTCTTCTTCAGCTAAAAAAGAAAGGTTTGAAGAGCATGTAAATTTAGGGACAAATTAAAGACAAACATACCAAAAATCATTAAAAAATTTTCCCAGTTTCAGGGGGAGGCTATAGCCCCAGAAGCCACCCCTGGCTACCTAAGCCCTTGATGGAAATAAAGTGAAGTTGAGGACCAATTTAAAGTAAGTCTAACCATTCTTAATAATGAAAGGAAAAAGGAGGGGTAAACTAAATTCACTTTTACCCAAAAAAACTAACAAGCATAAGGTCGAAAAGTTGTTTGTCCACCGTTGTCCTCAAAGCGGCGCCCTCCGCCTGCAAATGATCCACGTGCACCTCCACCATCACCAAATGTGCGTGCACCTCCACCCTCGCCAAACGTGCGTGATCCTCCACCATCGCCAAATGCACGTGAACCTCCACCATCCCCAAATGTGCGCCCACGTCCACCAAAACCGCGAGGCTTGTCTCCATCATTATTAGTGCTATCTGCATTATTTCCAGCCCCACCTCCAAAAGACGAACCATTTTCACCAAAACGAGGTCCTCCAGCACCACGGCCTCGGAATCCTGAACCTCTTCCACGTCCTCCTTCTCCCCCAGCATCCGTAGAGTTATTGTCTTCGTTAGACTTAGAAGTCGCAAAAGCTAAAAATTAATTTAAAATACAATTAACAAAGACTAAAACCTCCTCTTCCACGTCCACCAAAACCTCCCCTTCCACGGGTATTATTTTCATTAGAGTCACTATTCGCAGGACGATCACCAAAATCAGTGCCATCAGCTCCCTCTGCTTGGCGGGAAGTGAATCCTCCTCTGCCATTTCCTCTCCCAAATGATCCGCGTCTTGGTCCAATTGTCTCTGGCTCTGTAGGCGAAACACGTTCAGACTTTGTATTAGAATCCTCTTTGTTATCATCAGTTTGTGCTTGACCTCCAAATGAGGAATGAGTTGTTCCACGTCCACGTCCTTTAAATTAACAAAAAAATCAAATAATTTAAGGTAATTACAAACCTCGGCCTCTTGGACCTGCAGGATTCAAAGGTGCGGTGTTTGCCCCAGTTGCGGCTCTCGAGCCAAAGGACCCAAAGGTCCGCCGATCATTTTGTTCCCTAGGCTCCTCTGAAATATTAACCATATTCAACTTTTTTAATTTAACAAAGCTATAAAATATTGATTAAAATTTTTTGAATAAATTTGCAGAGAAAAAATAAACAAAAAATAAAAAGTACACCAATAAAAATAAATAGATAAAAAAGGTTTTTAAATCCAATAAGAACGCTGATATCCTCACCGTTAGATACATATCCATAAAAATCCCTTGATATCCCCATTAATTCCTCGGCATCTCCTCAAAGCTACCTTAATCCCCCAGATCCGTCTTAATCTGCCAAATTCATCCCTATCTTTAATTTACGTTTTGTCCCAAAGACCGCCGGATAAAAATTGATAAAAGTTCCGTGAATGTTTCGCGAGGACTCAAAACGTCGGAGCAGGTCGTTTCAGTACGCACGTTTCAGTCTGGACGGTTCAGTTCCACCTACAGTACTCAGGTTTAGTCCCAATGGAGAGATGAGGAATTAGGAGTGATTAAGAGGGTATTTGGAGATTAACAGAGATATTGAGGGATTTGGGGAGAAATGAAGGATATACAGAAATTAGAAAAATTTTGCGGAGATATCGAGGGATCTGTGAGAAGAACCGGGGATTTGTGAGGATTAAGACGGATGTAGAGGATAAGAGGAATTGAAGGCTTGGGTTGGAATTAAAATTGGATCGGTTTCATATCCCCATAATTTCAACAATATTTATTATTTATTTATTCTTTAATTGCTTCACTTTAATAAATTTTCAAAATTATTTTCCTTTAAACACAATTTCACATTATTTTATTTTTAATTGTTAATATTATATGGTTGTGTTCTGTTTTGAAATATTCTAATAATATCTTCATCAACAGATCTATGCAATATTGACTGTTCTAAACAAACAATTCTCTGATTTGGAATTATTGTGTGATTTTCGCTATAAGCTACTTGTTCAATATTTGTTCCCCTCAAATATTTAATAAAATAAAAAATATAAATTGTTCCATTTCCATTTAAATTAACATGTTGATCAAACTCCATATGATAATTTTCATCATATTCCATTTCTCCAGGTTCATCTTCAAATTGTTGAGGTAAAGTTTGATTAATATGAGGTTGGTGGTCTTCTAATGGTTGTAGTTGATTGTATTGATTTCGATGGTAAAGAGTAAAATTAAAATAGCCCATAATATTTTGTAAATAAACAAAGCTTGGATTAATGTAATATAATGGATGGTTTGGATTTGGATGATTAAGTATTGAACGAGCATATTCAATTGCTTTATATGAATTATTAAATAATTGCTCACGAAGTTCTTCTAAAAATTATTTTTTTAAACTAATGAATTATGGGAGCATTTAGGTATTTTATAAAATAACAAAATAGTTGTTCAATCTTTTTAACTGAGAACATTAAAAAGTTGAGGAATTTATTTTCCCCCAAAATCCTCATCCATCTTAGCAGCGATATCGGGGGTTTAGGGATTAATCACTCAATATTTCCCTTACTTCTCAAATATCCTCTTAATCTTTTCAACTCTCCTTATATCTCCTCTATATTCCCTTCAACATGCCTTGATATACTCTTAATCCACCCAGACCCCTTGATATCTCTGCGAGGTATCTGGTCGAGGAATCCACCAAATACGTAAACAAAATTATAATTTTCTAAACTATAGTTATTTTTTACCTTTCATATATGACTTCATTTCAGTTAATTCAACATTATTAATAGAATAATATTCATATTTAAGATCAAATTCATTAAAAGGTGGGGGTGCTTGAATAATTATTAAATTTAAATAAAAAATGGAAAATATCAATAATTTGACACTTTTCATTAACAAAATATTTATCTGAATAAAAAATTTTAAGAAAAATATTTATGACTGTTTTTAGATACATAGTATATAAATTTTAATTTTTTTTCGCAAAATAACAACAACGTTTTCTTAGATCTTAATTTATAAAGTCCTAGAAGCTTATAAAAAAGGGAAATATATTTTTTTGAAGTTTTCTCTTTAAATTAAAAAAATAAAATAATAATTTTTTTTATTCTTAAAAGAATGAATCAGCAGATTAAACGAGAATTTTATATCTAAAATTAAATAAATTTTTGAATAATTCAAATTTAAAAAATTTTTTTATACATATGTACATATCTGCCTAATGCTTTAAATAGACTTAATATTAAGAATATTCAAAAGAAATTAAAAATTTAATATTTCTATTTAAGGAAAGTACTTTTGAATTTAAAGTTTGAATAAAAACAAAATTTGTAGAATATTTTAAAAATTATTGAAGGGTTTAAAGAGAAAATTTATTTTTATTTATTTATTAAGTTCACTTTTGCTAGTAAACTAGGAATATCACGATTGAAAAAAAAGTCGGGTCAGGTTTCGGGTCGGAAGAGGTTCAGTCGACTCGGGTCAAGACCTAGATTTGGGAGCAGAATCAGCAGATTAAACGAGATATCAAAAGATCAAAAATTGAGGAATAGGAAGGGATCATAAGGATTTTGAGAGATATCGAGAAATTAAGAGAATTATATTATGATCGCTCCCTCGATCCCTTGTTATTTCCTCAAACTCGATAAGAATATTTTTTATAAAACTTCAGTTCATAAACAGAATTAAGAAATACAAATTAAATTGAAAAAATTTTGTGATTTTCAGCAATTAAATCTTTTCTTGTTCTCTTCAGTTAATTAATATTATACTTTTGAGGACGTGCTTGAAGAATTGAAATAATACTTCCATCAATAGCTCTATGTGTTATTTGTTGTCCAAAATTAATTGTTAAATTATTTTTAATAATTCTGTGTATTTCACTATATTCAAATCTTTCAATATTATTTACATGTTGACATCTAATATAGTAAAATATATCAATTGTTCCACTTCTACGTATTTTAATATTTTGATTAAATCGGTCAGAAATTCCTCCACCATTCATTTGTTGATATTCCCCAATTTGTAAAATTCCGTTAGAATGGACTTGATTTACTGTTAAATTTCTAATTTGATTATTTTGGTTTGGATGGTATAAAATAAAATCATATTTCCCTAAAACTAAATTTCCGTCGTTTATCTGTTGTCTTAAATGTAATGGACTATTTGGATTTGCTGGTCTATTTGCTTCTTGATATTTTCCTCTGGCGAAATCAATTGCCTTATAGGCATTAGCAAACACCGTCTGACGAAGTTCAGCTTAAAATAAGTTTAAAATTATTATACTGTCATTAAATTACTAAATATAATTAAATTTTGTTTAGCCTACCTAGCATACTCGGTAACATATGATTCATTAGAACATCATTTAATGAATAATATTCATATTCAAGAATAAATTCATGCATTGGCGGGGGTGCTTGAATTAATATTAAATTTAAATTAATAATTAAAAATAATATTAAGAGAATATTTTTAAACATTTTAATTTTTTAAATTTTACTTATTTAGAAGCATTAAAATAGAAATTTAAAAATAAATTTAAAAAGATGGAAATTCATAGCACGTTCAAGACGAGAATATTATTAATAAATAATTTTTTTAAGTTTAAAAAAATATTTTTTAAAGGTAATCCAAACTTTGTAAATTATTTCTAACAATACGGGAATAATTTTTAGTCTATTTTTAGAAAATATTTACTGTTAAAATATTTGGATTAAATTTGATTAACCTTTTTTAAGCAGTGAATTATTACCCCAGCTGTCGCGAAGGACTGTAGATTCTTGGTAAATCTTCGGATACACGGAACTAACCGAAGAACCAAGCAGTTAAATCCTTGGTTCTTCGGTTCGGTACAAACCAACTAGCCGCGAACTGTCAAGTTATGATTAAAAGCTTCAACATTTTTCGATTTCAACACGGATGGATAAATTTTTTCTTAAATAAGATTATCGTATTATATTACGATACTTTGGATATTATAAACTTTTGGCACTAATATGTTTTTAAAATTATTGGAATACATATTAAATATCTTTACTCTTATTTTATTCAATTTTTTAAAATAAATTTTGCAAAAAAAGAATAAATTTCTAAAAATTAATTTTGTAATATTGAGGACGGAATTGATCAATTGAAATAATAGTTCCATCAACAGCTCTGTGTGTTACTTGTTGAATAAAAGTTAAAATTAAGCTTTCTCTCATAATTCTATGCCTTTCACTATATTCAAATCTTTCAATATTATTTCGATTTCGACATCTAATATAATAAAATAAATCCAAAGTTCCATTTGGATAAAGAGCTATAAGGTGGTTAAATTGATTTTGAACACCTCCTCCATTTGTATGTTCATCTTCCCAAATTTCTAGTGTTCCATTAGAATGTGGTTCATTAAATCTGAGAGTTCTAACTAAATTATTTTGATTTGCTGGATAGAGGATAAAATCATAATTTGCATGGATCATATTTTGTACAGCAACCGTATCCAGATAAATTAATTGCTCATTTTGATTAGCACCAGGGTTTGCCTGATGGACTCTTAAACGTGCAAATTCAATTGCTTTATATGCATTGTAAAACAATTGTTGACGAAGTTCGCCTAAATATTATATAAATAGATTTTCTTCAGCCTAGTAAATATAATGATACAATCAAAAATATTTCATTTTTTCACTAATAGAAAATCTTAATAATAAAATAATTTTTTAATTCAAAAAAAATTAAATAAACGAAATTAAATTAAAAGTTGTTTGAGAGGTTAATCACAAACGCACAATAGATCTATTTTTACAATTTAATCCCGGAGTTTCTACGTCCCTGTTTCTTTGGAAAAAAAGGAAGAATGAAATTCATAAGATAAATAAAAAATAATATTAAAATAAATAAATACTTCCTTTTCAAATTAATTTCTTAATTAACCTTTTATATGTGGCAATATAAATTCTAATTGATCACCATTTAACTCGTAATATTCATGTTCAAGATTAAAATGACTCATTGGTGGCGGGGCTTTAATTAATATTAAATTAAAATAATTAATTAAAAATAATATTAAGAGAATATTCTTTAACATTTTAATTCGTTTTTTTAATTTTCTAAATAAAATTATAATTAAATTTAATGAATTTAGACAATAAATCTTTGTACTTTCAAGGAGTAAATCTACCTACACACTATCTACTGTATATACTCTATTAATTACCCTGGGTAACTATTGTTTCGACCTTACTCTGGAGAGGGTAATTAATAGAGGCGGGGCACTAATAGAGGCAGAGCATTAAGAATTATTCGAGGGAGGGTAATTAATAGAGTATACACGGTATGTTAACAACCAATCTTGAATCTTTAATTCAATGAAAATGCAAAGGAAAGTAGAATGATTGAAGAAGAATGCCCCTTTTTATTTTTAAATATTAAATTTGAAAGACGTGTTTATAAAATCGGCCCACATGTAGGTCTATGAATAATTAAAATATTTATATCTTCAAACTTGTCTCGAATGGTTTATATTGAAGCAAGAATATTGAAAAATAATTTAAAAAATAATATTCATAAATTCTGAACTACATATTTTTAGAAAATTATACTTTAATGCATAATTTTAAAATCTCTTCATATGATAGTGGAAACTTCAATTAACTTTGGGATAAATAATTTTTGCAAAAAATTTTAATGGAGTGAGTAATAAATTTAATTACTCACTTCTTAATAACTTACTTCTTAATTACTCACCTGAATTAATTACACACCTCTGGAGTAAGTTTATTATTTGAGGGAAAGTAATTATTATTTTGACCTGCGTATCTTTTTTTTATCATAGGCTAATAAACAAGTACATCCCCTAACCAGGAGGTAATATAATAAATTTATTTTATAATTTTATTAAAATATAAAATAAAATTAATATTTTATATAATTTTTATTTATTCGTTACTCAACATTTAGCCCCCTGAACAAAAGTCTTATGGTTGGATCGCTCTTTGTCACCACGTATCAATGTTCTATGAACTAGTAATCTACCGGTATTATAGCCTTACAATATTTCTTTTATTTATCTTTGCTTGATATCTCTTGATAATGATGAAATTACCCCATTTCAATAATTTCATTAATACATTTCAACCAAATTTTTGTAAAAATGAGTGACATTTCAAAAAAAATTTTTTCAAATAAATATGGGTGAAAAATATTATATTTATAAATTTAATCAAAAGAATTTTTTCTTTAAAAAATATATTTATCTATATTTATTTTTTATTTCAAATTTAATTAATATTATAATTTTGAATTCGACTTTGTAAAATCCATATAATAGTCCAATCACTAGCTCTGTGTGTTATTGCTTGTTCAAAAATTAATTTTAAAGTATCTTGATAATATCCGTGTAATTCACTATAAGAAAACTTTTGTGTAGTATTTCTGTATTGCCATTTCATAAAATAAAAAGACTGGCTGTATATGAAAGGAATGCGGCACTCAATTTTTTTCCCTTATTCTTAAAAATGGTTAATTTTCTTTTATTTTTCTCTCTATTTTTGTTTTTTGCCTACGACTACAAATGCAAAAGGATTAATTTTCTTTTATTTTTTTTATTTCGTTCGTTTGACTGACCGAGTTCGTCCGTGTTTGTCTGTCCGAGTTCGTCCGTGTTTGTCTGTCCGAGTTCGTCCGTGTTTGACTGACCGAGTTCGTCCGTGTTTGTCTGTCCGAGTTCGTCCGTGTTTGACTGACCGAGTTCGTCCGTGTTTGTCTGTCCGAGTTCGTCCGTGTTTGTCTGTCCGAGTTCGTCCGTGTTTGTCTGTCCGGTCCGTGTTTTGTCAATCTGACACATTGGTCAGTTAAAACTCGGACAGACAAACTCGGACAGACAAACACGGACGAACTCGGACAGACAAACACGGACGAACTCGGACAGACAAACTCGGACAGACAAACACGGACGAACTCGGACAGACAAACTCGGACAGACAAACACGGACGAACTCGGTCAGTCAAACGAACGAGTCCACCCCTGAAGACCTACACCCCCAAGACCTACACCCTGAGGACCTACACCCTGAAGACCTACTGACCCTGAAGACCTACACCCTGAAGACCTATTTACCCCGAAGACCTACAACTTTTTGATCAACTCAAATTGTTTATTTTTTTCCTTTACGAGTTTAATAGGTGAGTCTGAGGGATTAAAAGGGATCACTATCCATTTTAACACTCAAAATCCTCGATATCCACCTTAATCCCTCTTTATCTCCTTTAAAACATTCAAATCCATCGATATCCCCCTTAATCCCGCCTAGTTCCTCTTTACCTCCTTTAAATTCCCCGATTAGACTCGTAAAGGAAAAAAATAAACAATTTGAGTTGATCAAAAAGTTGTAGGTCTTCGGGGTAAATAGGTCTTCAGGGTGTAGGTCTTCAGGGTCAGTAGGTCTTCAGGGTGTAGGTCCTCAGGGTGTAGGTCTTGGGGGTGTAGGTCTTCAGGGTTGACCCCAAACGAACGAAATAAAAAAAATAAAAGAAAATTAATCCTTTTGCATTTGTAGTCGTAGGCAAAAATCAAAAATAGAGAGAAAAATAAAAGAAAATTAACCATTTTTAAGAATAAGGGAAAAAAATTGAGTGCCGCATTCCTTTCATATACAGCCAAAAGACTCAATCCTTCCATCTTCATATAATTTAACATTATTATTAAAATGATCTTCTTCTTCTTCGTCTGAATTTTCTTCATCGTCTTCTGCCTCTTCATAATATTTATTAATAAAAGGTTTGTGGTTATCGTGATCTACAACCAAATTACTTTGATTTTGTCTATAAAATCTAAAATCGAAAGCAATTGTTGTTGAGTTTTCGAACATTGAAGTTTGGTCAGCAAAATAAATTGGCTCGTTTGCTGGGTAATGGTGTGCTATGTCTTCTATTTGTTGACGGGCAACGTAAATTGCTTTAAATGCATTGAGAAATAAACGATGCCGAATTTCTTCTTAAATTAAAATATTTAAAGACTTCTCATTTATATTGAAATTTTAATTTAAATATTAAAGAAAATTTAAAAACTTAAAATTAATTTCTTTTTTCAAGAAATTTTTTGGATGGGGGAAAACAATAAACAAAACCTAAACGATACCCCTACCTAAGAGAAGTTGTTTTAGTCCCATGCGGTATTCGTAATGGAGGTCCGGCTGTATTTAAGTTTTTAAACATTCACTTTCCGTTAACCTTTTATATGTAAAGGAATCTTAAAAATTTCGACATTGTTCATTGAGTAATATTCATATTGAAGAATAAAGTCCTCATATGGAGGTTCTGGTTGTGGTATTGCTTGAAGGATGACAAAATTTAAATGAAAAAATAAAAATAATAAAGCAATTTTTGTAGCAAACATTTTTTTACTAAAATAAAATTAATGTTGTTGTTTTAATGAATGCCTTTAAGTGAAAGATAATAGGACTAAAAATTATAATTTAGGATAATTTTGGTTTATTGTGATGTGATCAGATTTAAACATAAATTTTGTGTTCATTTTATTTATTTAAGAAGATATAAATTTCTAATACATATTTAAATAATTAAATAAATTTTTAAATCAAAAATATAAAAACCCTCCAAATATTAAAATAATAAAAATATTCTAAATAAATAATTTAAATTGGGATAAAAAAGTTTTGAAAGTTTAAATGCCCTTAATATTTAATTTTAATACAATTAAAAAATTATTTATAATTATATTTTCCTCTAGATTTTATTTTTATTTATTTATTCATATAATCGCTACAAAATACAGGGTGCGTAAAAAGTTCCCGGAATTTTTATAATTTCAATTGATGGGTTTAAACTTTGATTTTTACAAAAAAGTTTGCTGATAATCATTAGCACTAATTTTTGGTTCAGAAATTTTTTTGCACTAAATTTTGGTTACCTTATACATATTTTACTAAATTTAATTTAAAATTCCAAAATAAATAAATATTTATTTAAATCCCTTTTATCTTCTGTTTATAAGTAGAAATTATTAAAAGAATATTTAAAATTAAATACTATATTGCCATGACAACTAAATATTTATGGTTTTCCTAACCAAAAACATCAAAAAATATTATATTATTTTTGTCTAATAACTTTTTGTAAATAAATATCTAAATTATAATGAAAATATTTCTCTTAAAAACTTTAATTAATAAGAATTGAGAAAAATGGAAGGAACGTCTACTAATTCCTTTGTAACAGAAAATGGAATTAGTGGGTTACTAGCAGCACTAGATGAAGGAGGTACAGGTCCTTTGGTTGAAGCTATTGAACTGGGAGATTTAGAGCAAATGCAACATTGGTATTTGTTATTATCTAAGGTAATTAAAGGAAAAAAAAATTTTTCTGAATTTCAAATCATTATTATTTCCCCCAATCTAAACCCAAAAAATCTAAAGAGAAAAAAATAATTTTAAATTAAAGGTTTCAGTAGATGAATTGTTAGATGCTGTTGAAGGAAACAACCTTTCTGTTGAAGATTTATATGGAATATTTCGTGCTGTTCACTTATTAATGCAATGGGAACATACACAATCTAATGAATTAAAAGTATGTAGAATTTAAAATAATTTATTTAAATTATTTTGTTTAAATTAAAAGGAAATTGTGGAACGTGAAATAGCTAGTGCAGCAGAACAAGAACAAAAATGGGAAACTGAACGTGAAACACTCCAAGATGAATTAAACTCTCTTCGAGAACAAAAAAATACTTTCTCTTCTTCATTAAATGTTAATAATTTACACGAAGCATTCCGAGCAGAAATTGATGCTTTGGCAGAAGAAAATTTACAATTAAAAAGAAAATCTGTTGAACTTGAAAAAGAATTAAATGAACAACGAGAAAGAGCAAACAATTTGGATAATAAAGCTTTGGGTATTGAAAGAGAAAGGGCTTTACTTGCTAATAATGTAAATAAATTAATTGATAATTTATAAAAATTTAAAAATTAAAGCAAATTCAATTAGAAGAAAATATTCGAGAATTACATCGGAGGATGAATACTAGAAGTGAGTCTATACAGCGTGACCAAAAATGGGAAACTAGCAAACTTAAACAAAGAGATGAGCAAGCACTTATCCTTAGTGAACAAGTAATTATCTTCAAAATCTGTTATAGTTTTGCCTAATATGTATAAGTAATTTCATTGTTACATACTCTTTGGATTTTGAAATTTAGAATTACGTGTTTCCATATGCTTCCATAATTAGGCGTATCCTTAGACGGCTTCCCTACCCCACTCCACTTTAAAAAATTCACCTTAAATCGAGGTGTAAACAGGACTTGAGGTTGTTAAAATAATAAGTACATAACTAAATAAAGCCTTAATAAATCTGAAGGTTCGAGAACTAGCTGCCCAAAATGATGAACTCAGAGCAGAAGCTGATCGCCTAAGTCGAGCATTAGAACAAGCAACGGAATTGGTAAAAGAAAATGCTTTTAAATTTGCTGAATTTGATGAACAATTGTCAGAAGCAGAACATCAACTTGAGAAAATGGGGACAGATAATAAAGAATTGAGAGAATTAATTGAAAATAAAGAATTGGTGTTCCTTTTAAATTTAATTAAAATAAATAAAATAATTAAGGAAGCAAAACGTAAAGTAGATGCAGCAGAATTAGATAATAGGCAACTGGCTGAAGTGCTACAATCAAAGGATGCATTAATTGAAAGATTAAGAAATCAAATACAAAATCAAAAAGTTTAAAAAAAAAATTTTTCTAAAAAATCCCCTCCTTTAAAAGTTGGAAATTGAACAATTTCGATTATCAACAGAAATATTAGCAACAGAACCGGACCTTCATCAAAAGGAATTGGAGTTAGATAATTTACGTCAAGAACTAATAGCAGCAACAGAAACTGCTAAAAGATTATTTGGAAATGAACTTGTTGAAGATATAGAGGAGGAAAATAATTTGGTTGTTACAGATAATACAAATTCTGAATTACGAATTAGATTAATTCAGGTATTTTAATAAATTGTTAAAGTCTGTCAATATTTTTTTAATAATAATATCCCATTCCTCTCTTCAATATTAATGGGAATGCTTAAATTTTGTAGCATTTTTGGAATATTTGTAAGAGAGGTAAAAGTTTAGTTTAGGGCAAGTACTATCAATCCTGCGGCAGTTATTGCTAGGAACTTGCACTCACCAAGTACAGGTTCTATGTCAACCGCTCTATCAGGGTTGTTGACAGATCAACCTTATCATTGATAATATATTTTACCCCCCCCCCCCCCTTGTCTTCTTCCTTAAAGTAATATGAGGGGCATCTATAATTTCTTAACGGACCAAATATATTTTTAAAATTTCAAAAAAAAAGATGGACCAAGAATTAGCTCGATCAGAAAAGAAATATTTGGAAGAACAACGTCATCAAGTCGAATTAGAAGAATTATTACAACAAAAAGAGTTGGATGCTGTCCGGTTAATGACTGATTGTCAAAGATATAGAAAAATAGCTTTTGGCGACAGAGATTTAGAAATGAAGAAAATTGAAAGACAATTAAATTTTAGAGATAAACAAATACAAAAATTAAGGAAAAAATGTTCAGAATTGTATTTGGAAGTTGAAAGGCTTACAGAAAAAAGTAATTAAATAAAAGTTTAAAAAATAGATATTCTTTTAATTTTAAAGGAGAATCTTTTGAGAAGGAAAAGAAAATAATTTCTGAAGAAGATGATAAAACAATAAAAGAAGAGGAGGAAAAGGAAGAAGTTAAATTGAAGGAAAAAGAAGAAGAAATTCTAAAAGAAGAAAGAAAAGGGGAAGAAGAAGAATATGTAGATGAATGGATGGAAAATGATGAAAAAGAAGAAGAAAAGGAGATTGAAATTGTTAAAATTGAAGTAGAAAGGCCAAAACAATTAAAGAGAAAAAGATTGAGTAAAGACAAAATTATTGAAGAAGCAACGACAATTAGTGCTCTAAGCACTGAACTTGGTCTACTTATTGAGGTGAAAGTATTTATGTACATAAATACATCATTGGGGCCAATTTGGGCAAGTAATGTCCCCAGTCTTTTATTGTTAGCACACAAAAGAAATTTGACAAAAACCCCCATAGAAATAAATCCAATCCTTTTTCAATACTAGGCTTAATTTTTTAATATTATGAGAAGGGGATATTCGGGAAATTTTTTAATTCTAATTAATTAATTTAATTAAAAGGAGATTGAAGAAAAAAATAAAGAAATAAAAAATCTAGAGAAATCTTATGAAGAAAGAGGGCGTCATTTAATAGAAGCTAAAAAATCGGAAGAAAATATTCGGAAAGAATTAAATTCTGTAAAGGAAATTATTTTATTTGGTAATCAAAATAATGAAAAAGAAGAAGAATATAAAGATCCATTAGAAGAATTAGATAATTTAGAAAATACTAATAATTATATTTTTAATGAGGTTAATTTAAAATAATTATTTATTTAAATCCCCATATAGGCTTCTTTATTCAACCCTTTTATTCCCTTTAAAATCACCAAAAGGGGGCATGGCCTCCCAAAAAGAGGGCGAAATCGGTCAAAAAGGTGGCAAAAAAGGAGGCATTATTTTAAAAACTTAAAAATGATTCAAGTTTCAAATAAAAAGCAAGCTTTAATCAGGCTAAGAAGCCAGATTTCTTCCATTTTCAGAAAAGATCAAAAAGGTGGCAATGAGAAAAAAAGGGCGAGAAGGCCAAAAGGGGGCAAATGCCTCCTAAATGAGGTAAAAGGGACACCCTGGTATGCATCTAAGTTTGACTGTATTCCACCTCAATTCCTTTTTTTCACAATTACCAAAAATTAAAAAAAGATATTTTTAGATTAAATCACGTGAACATTTGGAAGAATTAGAAATAGAAAATGTTGAATTAAAAAGATTTTTTGAAAATCTTGCCCAAACAGGAAATGAAAAAGAACGTAGAATGACAGAAGAAGCACGTCGTCTTTTATATTTAGCTATTAGAGAAGGAAAACTTGAAAGGCGGGTTAAAATCAGTGCACGTTTGAGACAGGCAATGTGTGAAGGTTTTTAATGAATAAATAAATAAATATTTTTGAATAATTAAAAAAGAATTATCTCAAATGCGTAACAGGCTTTGTAGACTGCTTACTGGCGAGGTGGGAATATTTTTTAAAAATTAATTTTGAATTTTAATAAAAATAAACAAACTATTTTTAGAAAATATGTAAAATTATTTTTAAAAAAGTTTTTTCATTTAAAAATAATTTGATAAAAAAATTTGATATAATATTTAATAGGAATCACGTAGTCGTCAATTAGCCTTTGAGAATGAAGCAAAAATATTTGAATTAGCTCGGCTTCAAGTATGTTTTTACTATTTTTTTAATCAACTCACTCACTTAAATTGGATTAGTTACCTACAGTATATACTCTATTAATTACCCTGGGTAATTATTTTTCAACCTCTCTATGGAGGGAGTAATTAATAGAGGCGAGGTAATTGATAGAGGTTATTTTATGTAGGCTAATTATAACTATTTTCAAGGGGGTAATTATTAATTCAACCTTTTGCTGTAGGGGGTAATTAATAGAGGCGGGGTGTGATTATTTGAAGGAGGGTAATTAATAGAGTATATACGGTGAGTAATGTAAAAGAAATTTTTCCAAACATACCCATTTAACAATACCTTTGGTGGATATCTGTTTATTCGTTTATTTATCCTTCCAGATGTCCATCCCTTCCCCTTACATTATCATTAAAAATAAAATTTCTTTACTAATCTAGAATGCTTTACTCCATTCTGTCCCTTTAAACGAATATAATCGCCTTTTACGAGAACACAAAAGAATACTTAGAGAACGTTTTTTAACTTCCTCCCCAGATATTGGCTATTATTCTGCAACAACTTCAAGTTTAAAAACCAATTCGGAAGATGAAGAGGAGTCAGAATATATTCAATTAAATAAAATAAATATTTCAAAATCTGGACTTTTATTTGGAGATAATGAAAATATAAATAAAATTTTATTGAAGAATAAAAAATTAGAAGAAATTAATGAAATTCTAATTGGCCAGAATGAGTCTTTGAAAGCAGAAAAAAGGAAAACAGAAACAGAATTAGCTGAAATGAATGCTTTTCTGGATGATTTGGAAGCTGAAACTGAATTAAAATCTATGCGTAATTAAATAATAAATAAATTTGTGTTTAAATTTATTTTTAGTTGCCAATATTGAAAGAAGATTCCTTCATGCTATTAGAGAGCAATTCGATGCAACAGAAGAAAGAGAAAGTTTACAAAATGAATTGAGGAGGATTGAACGTAAATTTAGGTACTTAAATTATTTAATTTAGTAAGAGCGAGGTAAAAGTTTAATCCCGGGCAGGCTTCGATCCTGGCAGTTATTGCTAAAAGCTTTCGCTTACCGCTTACAGGTGCTCTACCAACTGAGCTACTGGGACGCTGCTTTCATCTTCTCTTTTAGTAGATCTTAAACCCCCCCCCTAGTGAGCGTTTTAAATGCTAGCCAGCTGGATCTTTTCTGGATCTTTCTCTTCCTACAAATTTTTATTTTAAATAAGACAATAGGCATTAACATATACAAGTAATTAACAACAACAGTATCTATTTATTTATTACATATATCTATTTAACACGTTCATAGCCAGAAGGCTTTGTTTTCCCCGACTCCTGACTTCCTTTGTGTTTTGCATCTTTTTGGGGGCCTTTATTCTTTTCCTTGCTTTTCTTTTTGTCGCGCACCGAAGCCGCCATTATATCACTGGATTCCATCTTTGTTTGGACATGGTGAATTCTATACAACAGAAATCCTGCAGCAAGAATGCTAAAAGTTTAAATTATTATTAGAGGAATAGTTCGGAGAATTGTTCAAATTTTGGACAGAATCTTGCACTGAAACCCAGGACCCTGTTTGTTCCCAAATCAAGCCCCCTATTTATTTTGCCCCAATATGCCCCCTATCCCAATTCAGAAATACTTACACCAAGATGGCACATATAGCTATTACAATGAGGATTATCGATGTATTATTGCTCTTCTTCGTTCCTCCCACCACTACTGTTGGCCCGGCTGTTGTAGTTGTTGTTTCTTTGACTAACACCGTTGTTTCATTAGAGACCGATCCAACAGTTGTTGTGGTAGTGGTCTCCTCATCAGCTTTTGTAGTCTCTTCCTTATCGGTGCTCTTCTCCACAGTACTATTTGTAGTTGTCAATTCTGAAGTCGTTATTTCATTATCTCCTGGAACGGTAGGCAGCTCTGTGGGAGGTTCTGTTGGATTTTCCGGATTCTCGATTACCTGTCCTGCCGAATTTTCTTCGCCCGAGCACTAAAAAAACTTTTATGAGAAAAGTTTATTTAAAAAAACAACCCAACCCGAATTCCGCTAGCCAAGAGAACCACCAATACAAATAATACCTTCCATCGTTGTTTCTGTTGATTTGGAGTCGACACAAAAGTAATGAAGAACATTGGAGAAAACGCAGAAAAGAAGACTGATTTGAAGAATATTTGAAGTTAAAATTTAAAAGTTTATTAGTTTTTATATCATAATTTTATCCGAAGAGTTTTATATAGCTATTTAATTCCTAAGGATAATGCAGTAGGCGGCGTGGTGTATGGCTTACAACACATCAGTCCGGTCTACTGAAGATGCTGGTTCGCACCCAGCCGCCGATTAACCTTTTGCACTAGTTGAAGGAGAGAAATAGCTATAGCCCAGCTGCTTTACTGTTTTAATTATTATTAGTTTTATTTAAGAGAATCACGTGAAGAATGGCTAACTGAACGTCAATCACTTGTTCAATATTTAAGCCAAATGTACTCAACAATACAAAAATTACTTCGAGAAAGAATTCTTCAAAATATTCCAATTTCAACATCTCAATTGGAAGCTTTAGCTAATAAATTAAGAAATATTAATGAAAAAGAAGTTGAATTACAAAGAAAAGAAAAAAGAAATGAAGAAAAAGAGAAGGCTTTGGAAAATGAAGAAAATTTAAAAAATTCAAAAATTTCGGCATTTGAGACAATAATGGAAAATAATTGGGAATTAGAACAAATTAACCAGTCATTACAAGGATATCAATTAAATGTTCTTAGTTTATCTGCTGAATTACAAAGAACAAAACAAAAGGTGAAAAGGGATGGGAAAGATATTAAATTTTGAATTAATTAATTAAGTATTGTTGGCAGACAATTAATTAATACTAGTAGTTAAAATAACTTTACCGTATTTACTCGATTAATTCCCCTGGGGAATTATTTTTTCAACCCCTCCTTGGCATGGGGAGGAAATGGGAGAAAAAAATCAAGGGAGGGAAATTACCTATTCGAGTTTTGGCATTTGAACGTGCAGTAGGGTATTTGGGGGTGGGGAATTATTGTTTCAACCCAACTCTAGCATGGGGGGAATTAATCGAGAAGAGGGAATTATTTGAGGTAGGGGAATTAATCGAGAAAATACGATAATTTCTTTATTACTCCATTATTAAGGCTGGCTGTTCCAAATATAATCCCGGTTATCTTTAAATTTTCGGTGATTCTCTGGGAACTTTTCCATTATTAATTCATTTTTCTTTCATTTCAAATTAATTAATTTAGTTAGAGAATTCAGAAAAGGAAATCTTTCTTAAAACAAAAGAAATTGAAGAATTAAAATCAGAATTAAACGAATTTCAATTTGTTTTGGGAATTGATTTAAAGAAACTTGAACAGAACATTTCTAATAATAAAAAAATTAAAAAAGAAGAAAAAGAAAAATTAAATGAAAATAATGAAAAAGAATTAATTAATTTAAGTATTCAACCTCAAGGTAATTAGTATATTTATTTGAATTTTAAATAAATTATTCGATACTTTTCCGTTATACTCCGCAAAGTGCCAGCCGACTTCATCGACTATAACTTTTTGATGCTTGATCCGATACAAATGAATTTAATATCATTCGAAAGCCCTCGATAAACTGTATCTTTTTTCCATCTTGATGGATAATCCCTCCTTAAAAAGTCATACCAATAACTTGCAAATTAAGTGCCAAACAGCAAATCGAGTGCTAGCTGAGCAAAGTCGGCTGGCATTCAATTTGCGGTCGTATAACGGAAAAGTACCGCTTATTCTTTTTTTAATTACGTTAAATCTCGATATTAGTGGCCGGTTTATTTTCTAAATTTTTTTTAAAATCTTGACTTTAATTTCATTTTTAACGATCTTAATTTCATTTTTATCTATTTTCTCCTTTCTTCTCTTTTTTAAATTCCCTTCATTAAGAATTCCAAAAATTATTATTTTACATTTTCAATTTTCAAGTTTTGCCTTCTTCTGCCGCTACTTCTAATTTATTTGAAGATAAAAATATAAATAATAATGACCTTTCTGAAAAAACGCGTTTAATTGTTTTAAACAATAATGTAGAATGGGAAGAATATTTAAATAAATATAAAGAACAAGCAATTTTAATTGTTAATTCTTATAAAGTAAATTTATTATTTTTTAATTTAAATTTTTTTTTGAAATTTTTTAGGAGCAATTAGAAGCTAAAGAAAAAACTTTAAAAGAATATAGAGAATTAGTTGAACAATTAAAAACACAAAATGAGCAACAAAAACCTTTAATAGAAACAACTCAAGAATCGAAAGAAAATTTGCCAACAAAAATACAAAATCCTCTAAAAACTTCAAAAGAAGTTTTGATTGAAGAATCGCGGTCAGAACAGTGGGAAAGAAGAATAAATTCTCTTGAGGGACGTTTACGTTTATTGGAAACAGAAAATTCTGAATTAGAAAATGAAAGGAAAAGACTTGTGGATATTTTGAATAAACAAAGAGATTTAGTTAGAAATCGAAAAAATATACAAACACAAGTAATTTTAAAAAAATAATCGGACCTCCTCAAAATATTTTACTTTGAGGTATATTTTTTTAATTTTATTGGCCACAGGGTGCCTAAGCGATACCTTTTAAGCATCGTAAAGTCTAAATTTTTCAACTTTATACCTTTCAAGGGAGGTGGGTCGGAACAGTCAGAGAAGTCGGAAATCGGAACTGGCTCAAAAGTCGGAAATCGGAAATTAAAATTTTTTACGGAAATCGGAAGGAAAAAAACGTCGGAAATCGGAATTCCGACCCACCTCTGCTTACAAGGGAGGTCCGATTGTATAAAAATTTTTATTTGACTAATTTTATTGGTTTAGGTAAATTTTGATGTTGCTAAAATTGCTAAACAAAAAACAACAAATAAAATGGAAATTGAGCAAAACCAACCAAAAAATGAAGATTTAATTAAAAATCCATCACCAATTTCATCCCCAATACCCCCACAATCTGATAATGAAGATAATCAAGAAGAAGGAGAAGAAACAAAAAGAGAAAGCCAAACAGAAGAAGACAAAACAGAAGGGGAAGTCAGTGGGGCTGGAAGTTCAGATTCTGGTACTGTAGTGGATGATATTGGGCAAAATAGAGGAAGAAGAAGAAAAAGCATTATTTCAGGCTCTGGTATATTAATTAAAATTTTCTGTATTTCTTTAGTTACAATCTGACTATTATTTTATTTCGAGAATTATCGGACCTCGGTTTTGTTTACTCTCATGGTGCTGAAAAAATTGAATTTAAAATGTATCGTTTAGACATCCCTCCCCCCAAACATATGCTAAATAAATTTTAAAAACTCATCATAAATCGAAGAGTATATCTAAATCTTGGGTTTATCTAGATTCGAGGTATATTCTAAACTCTCTAATAATTTACAGAAAAATTAACTCGAAGTAAAAGCAGCACAGCCGCTACTCGAACAATTCCAACTAGAACAGAAATTAGAAAACCAGATGATTTGGAGAATTTAGTTTTGAAACATCGAAATGAGACAAGGCGGTTAAGGATGCGTTTAATTGAATTAGAGAGGAGAAATAAGGCAAGAAAAAAAATTAAATTTTGGAAAAATATAAATTTAATTTTCAAGGAATTATCAGAGGAATATAACTCTCTTAGAGAAAGGTCCAGAATATCTGTTAGGCCTCTCCGTCATGTAGATTCTAGCACTATAGAGACAACACTTAAAAAAGAAAATAATAGAATATTAAAAGAAAATTCTTTATTAAATAAGTCAAATGAAACTTTAAAAACTGAAGCAGAACAATTAAAAGAACGTTTAAGACGTGCTGAAATACATAGCAAGGTACTAGTTAAAATGGAGATAGTTTACAAGTTTTTGACTGCTGTGAATTAAAATTTGGATATAATTTCCTATCCAACGATAACCTTTTTTTGGTCATCCGCCTGTAATATTCTCAAATTAAAATAGAGACATTTTTCGCCTTTTTGGTCCTTTTCTTAAGAAAGAGTAGCAAAAGTTTAGCCACCGGGCAGGGTCGATCCTGCGACAACGCTGACAGTGCTCGCTCGGCCTTGCTCACACAATTGCAGGTGCTCTACCAACGAGCTACAGGGGCGACGACTAAAGCTTAATTTTTAAGGAATTATCAGAGGATTACCAGAATATCTGTTAGGCCTCTTCGTTCTTTTTTATCCTTTTAGATTGTTTAACCCCTCGTCTAAGCTTTTTAAATGCTCTAGGTGAATCATCCCTACACTTTTTAAAATCAGCTTCGACAAATTTTGTTCCTTTCTAGGCACGGGCGTAATTGGTTATTCTCAATATGTTAAAGAAAACTTTTTTTCTTATTTAAAAATTTAATTTTTTAATTTAATAAAAGGCAGGTGCAGAACTTTGGGAAACTCGAAAAAAACATGAACAAGCAATGGCTAACATACGTAAACGTTTGACTGAAGCAGAAGCACGTGAACGTGAATTACATGAAAGATTAGAAAGAAGAGAAAGACATATTGAACAAATGGGGAGAGTACAAAGTGATAAATTGGCTGATAATGATAAATTAAATATAGCTTTGCGTCAATGGAGAATTGAAAGAGAAGAATTAACAAAGAAAACAATTAGAACTGAAGAAGAAAAACAGGCAATAAATACACGATATTCTGAAGCAATAAATCGTTTAGATTTATTGGCGAAGGTATACAAATATTTGGGGAAGGGGGGGGGGTGTCAATAGAAAGTTGTTTTATTAGTTCTGAAAAAACATTGCCCTGCTTGTTTTGGAGTTCTTAAAGGGTTTTTATGCAATTAGAGGAGTCAAGAACATTTCCAAATTTAACTTTATTTATTAGAGGTTCCATATTGTATTTAAAGTTACCTACATATAACCAAAAGTTTAATTTACTCTAGTTGTAAATCTATTCCTTTCCAGTACTGGGTATGTCTCTGGGAGCCGGAGCTAAGATTTTAAAAGCTCGGAGCCAGAGCCAACAAATGCCCAATACCCAGCATGTTCCTTTCAACCAGATTCCCTTTCCTAATTAAGGCTTTATTCAAAATCTCAACCCAATATTGGCCTTTCTCTCAGAAAATTTTTTTAAACTTTCAGGAAAACAAATCATTACAAAAAAGAATTGCTCATTTACAACAAAATGAATTAAAAATATCCGGACAATTACAACAAACACAAAAACAAATAATTGAAGATAAAGAAGAAAAGAAGAAAGAATTAAAAGAAATAAATACACAAACAGATGATTTAATTATTCCCTCAGTTTCAATTCCTCCAACAACACCAACAACATTTTTGGAAAGTGAAAGAGAATTTAATATTTTAAGAGAAAGTCAATTAAATGAAACAAATAAATTTAATAAATTTATTGAAGTTGAGGAAAGGGAAAGAAAATTAAAAAATGAAAATAGAGCTTTAATTAAAGATTTAAGAAAGGTAGATTTAATTTTATTCGTCAAAAATTATAGTGAAAGTCTTCTTGATTATTAGGGAGAAACTATAATAATAATGAAAAAAGTCCCAAATATAAAAGTTGTGTTGACATTGACATCCCGGCATTTTTGGTTTTTAATAGGGTTATCGGGTTCACCAAATTCTTCGGTTAACCGAAATCGAACCGAAAATCTTCGGTTTTTAGGTTCGGTTTGAAGCTGACAATCCTAGTTTTTAACTATCGTTTTCTACTACAGTTGATTTAGATACACATTTGTACTGAAAAAATTTAACCTTTAAAATTAGGTCTACCTTAAATATATCTACCAAATATTTTGAAAGAGAATAATCATAACTCGAAAAAACCCCCAAAAACAATTGTTTATATACAAGAG